TTCTCCGCAAGAGGTTTCAGTAGAGGGTCTTCATTCCTCGTCGCGCGAACGAGCGGACAGTATGCTTCGCACAGCACACCCCGTTGCTTGCACCAGTTGACGATGTCTGGACGCGCAAGCCAGGGGTGAAGCTCGATCTGATTGATGCTGATAACTCCACCCTTACCCTTGCCCTCTTTGGCTTCAGTCTCTTTGATCCACGCTTCCAGTTCGTCCAGATGGTGCACACCGTAGTTCGATACACCGATTGATCGAATCTTGCCGTCTTGCACACCCTCAACGAGCGCTTTCCAGGCCCCGAGGCGGTTTTCTTTACCGCCGTAGGGACTATGTAGGAGGTAGAGATCCACGTAATCAAAACCGGTGTTCTTGAGTGTATTGTCGATGTGTTGTTTCGAGTTCTCGTAGCTCATGTCTTTTGGGGGTATCTTCGTGGTAAAAAACAGCTCCTTTCTTGGTATTCCTGACTTCTTCATCCCTTCCGCGGATGGTTGCTCATTCCGGTAGGCTACCGCGGAGTCCACGTGGCGATAGCCGACCTTGATTGCATGCTGAACCACTTCAGATGCAACGTCTGCTGGTGTTTGGTATACGCCATATCCAAGAACGGGGATTTTATACCCTGATGGCATGGCATATTGCGAGTTGATGGTAAGACCTGCCATGACAGCTGATGACGTATGGAAAGATCGGGGTGACTTTGGGAGGGGAATTTGAGAACGAATATGTGACAATCTTGTGAGAGCAGTACGCATAGCGCGATTGTAACAGAAGTGATGGAGATGGTAATGTCTCGGGCGTGTGTTGCTTATAACATGGGATAGATGTACGTTTGTACGAGGCTGTCGTGGTGAGACCTGGAAATAACGGAGATAAATTGCGGATGACTAAAGAAGCGGTAGTAACGAGTTCACCACCGAACAGGGAGCTACAACCACATCATCGTCACTCCATCGGCTTTTGGTGGACTTTCGTACTTCTCACGAAGCTCCTCAATGCTAAACGGATTGAGCGTGCATGACAGCCATATTACTTGGTATGTCCCAGATTGGCAATATTAACACTAATTCACATTGCGGCAAAAACACTCAATCCGGAAGAACATAACCGGGTTAATTTCTACTCATCATCATCACTCTGCATACGTTTTACCCAGCGAGCACTGCCTTTATTACGCTCTCTTACGCTCAACACTTATAGGCAGAGGAAGACAGGCATCACGCCTCTAGCTTTCATGCGTACCCTAGGCGGCTTCGCGGGCCTCAGCTGCACAGTATCCGAGAAAACGGGTCCCTTGTAAGCGCTAGAAGGGCCGAGGAAGATCTGGAGAAGGTACTGGCGAAAGCTGGTGGGGCGAACGCACGCGAATAGCCGCCTGATCACTATGGATAATTACATACCACGTTGCGCATGCGAGCCCACGGATCCTGAAACGTCCCGGCCCCCTCCTTTTTGGACCTCTGGGTCGCGTAAAGAGGATGTGATTTCTGCAAGAGGATAGCAGCTTGCAGGCCTGAACCGTGTTTCCGACTCACCGATAGACTGGCCCGTGGTTCGGTACCCCGGCAGCTGCTCAGGAGTCGATTTACGTTTCTGGACTCTATGGAGTGTAGCACGACAGCTGTCGAATATTAGCCGAAGACTCTTTGTACGACTCATTCTCGATGAATGCCGATCGCATTATCGGGATGAAGATCGATCTCTACCGTAGCTTTGAGGCTTGTCCGACCACCAGCGTGCGAACGAGTGGTTCAGCAAGTCTGCAGTACCACCGGTGAACCGCGAAGGGGATGTGCGCTGACAGGCACGTGCATGGTGACCTCATGGGGTCTAGCATCCGGTCGCTTTGTGCCACTTATAGAATCCCATGCGATGCGGCTAAAACATGTGCAGTTCAACAATATTTTCCTCCATCGACCAAATCTATCGTCAAGGTCGTAGAGACAGGGAATCCACTTCGCTTCCATTAACATGCTGATGTGGGGCGTAGATCATGAAACACTAACCCGGTCAAGTCAAATGCAGCTCCTCTGTCATGATGGCACAAGTTTCCTTTCCGTCTACATCATGACCCAGTCACAATGTTTCCCCGTGTGTTTGGTTCCCTCGAAGCAAACCTCAACCGTCGTTCAATGCGTCATCTTTTATTGCAGGGTTCCGTTCCTACTGATTCTTGTCTTATCTTGTGCTCGGCGATGCGGAGGGAATTCCGAATAATCGAACAATGTTACCTACTACGACTGTGCTAGTCTGCGTCCCGCGTCTGGGTCTTACCGCTATTAGGTGCCTATCCTCGGAGACAGAACATAGAATGCTATTGTCAGCAGTCAAACGACCAGCCAAGTGAGAACAGCGGCAGATTCCGAGCAGCTACGTGATGCGAAACGACGCAGGAACGTGGGGGTTTGCACCACACGTGGTCGACAAAGCTTATGACTGGTCACAGCACAACCTCGAAGGCTGGGTCGTAAACAATAAGCAGCCTATGGGGACTTCCAGAAGGGCTCGCGTGCGCTAAATCATCACTCTGAATAACACTCCTATTGGGAGTTTTAGGCGAAAAGCCGCTACCAGCCGTTGTTCACCTCGACCGTAGGGCCGTTCGGGCCGCTGGTGACATCGACGAGAGGTAAGCTGCGTACATGCGCAACGAACCGGTCTTCGACGTGGTCCGCGACAGCATTGACGAGCGGATGTAAGCTTACTGGGGCTTGTGACCTAAAAGTTCCCTCCTTCCGAGCAAGCCACTGGCAGTCACCAGGCGAATCGCAAATCGCCATCCACTAGATTCCGAAACGGGCTGACCAGTCAGAACCACCAGACGCATGATTATACATCGCGCCGGTCGACTAGCACCGTGCCCATGCAACTTCGTTCCATGTCCGAACTGAATCTGGCAGATTTGGTGATACACGTCAGACCGTATTCGAAAACTACTGTCAACGCGTCGATCCAGATTGCCGCGACAGTTTCGACAGTATCGTGCGAAAACTCTGATCTTCTCATGGCTGTGCTTACAGCTAGCAGCTAGATTCCAATGACCTGTCACCCCTCTGGGACGCACAGAGGGCCTTTCGGTGTAAAGGATGTTGCATGATTACAACCTAAAGACTGCGTGACAGCTGCTCTCGCCATGCATACCGGCGCCACCTGTACCGTTCGGAGAGCGACTGAGAGCTTAAGGGGAGCTCAGGATTGCGGGGCCTTTGATTGACGAATGTCTTCACGGCACATGTGAACCGAATTCGTGCGCAGCTCTCAACGTAATGTGGAGTTATAGCATTACGATCTTCGTTATGCCTACGTCAACCTCACCGAAAAGGCTCCTTTCCTCCGCAACTCCGGGCTGATATCAGCGCGTGAGGTTCTTCATGCGACTACATCACACAAGCTTGGTCAGTATAGTGGGCGTTATGTAAGGACTGCTCATCTTGCTGATCTGCTTGATCTACTCCCTAGGCACCTGCGCAGTAGCCGTGCTTTTCGATCACTCTGGTCCAAGCGGTCCGCCAGTGCTCGAAGCATCTGTAGAAGAGTGGTCTCGACCAGAGCCACCGAGAATGTGAAACTACCATAGTCAAGCAGTGGAGGATACAGGGATATATCACAAAGTTAGGTACGATGTGAGTGTCTGAGACTCCCTAGCATACTTGTTTGTGGGTCCCTGCACGCCACAACGGTGGACGTAAGTTGTACGGTCCTCGCGTGGAATAGGCACTGTACGACCTAGCTCACGCATAGGGCTGACTATGCCGACCAGTCATGAGTTGCACATGGAAAATACAAGGGATGCTGGCGTCGATCATGCTTCCTTACTCCTGACAGCTCTTAAACATGTACCAGTATGGTTGGAGAAGTGGGAGTGTGAAGGCACATGACCTATGTACAACGTACTGGCTAAGCGATAGGCTTGCCCGGAGATGACAGATCCTACCATGGTAGCAGATCGAGCAGTGCCGTACGTAACAGCCGATACGTAACGGTTCCAGATATGTGACGTGCGTCGAGGTACCTACGCATGCATTGGCATTTGTCGTGAAGCACGTCATATTGCACCGTACTGTAAGACAACCCGTGCCCTTTGACAGGTTTTGCAGGAACGCAATGTTACGTGTCTGTCTTTCCGCATAGCGGCAGCTCCAAGCAAGAAAGGCCCGATTGCGGCGCTGTCCATCTCTAAACCTTCTGGGTAAGGTATCGCACCACCACCGTGCCGCCCTCAAGACACGCGAGCCGCGCGGGTGAAAGCCAAATTCTGCCGCAAAAGTGCGTACTGCCACATGGCTGGCAACTGAATCGCTCTAACTTGACTACAAGCGAGCCTCTCACAGCTATCGATATTGACACCTTTGAAACAGTCGCGAGAAATCGATACAACCGTGATTGCGGCACAACTGTATCTGCATATTGCGGCGCAGTCAACGTCGGCATAAGTGGGTAACGGAGAAGCCTGCCCCGTTGGAGAAGGACGGAGGGACCAGACAAGAAAGGCCCCACAGGGCGGCATATGGTTAGTAAGGCTGTGCGAAAAATGCAGATTGCGACCGAATTGGAAAGCAAAAGGGTGGTTAGTATGACAGAATGCGCGACGCAGTTGTTCATTCCATGGTAGTAAACGCCTATACTGTGCTTTAAGAATACGACTGAGAAGACCTGCAGCAGGGGTAATGATATGCGCAATAGAGAAGGGGCCGCCCAGCTAGCCTGGGGCAAAAGACGATGACGATCGTTATAGAATTTGAAACAGTGAAGTTAAGCAAGGGTATCGAACGAAGAAGACAAGATAGAATGTGAACTTGAGGCGTTGCGCGCTGCTGCCTCAATGTTGCTGAGCCCCAAATCCCTATGCAAGCCGCCCGATTTTGCTAAACGCCATGTGTCTGTGCCGCATCCCGAGAGCGTTTGAACAGTGTCCATATGTGACAATCCCCAGTTGAAAGAACAAGAAGAAGACGGTACAGGATGATTCACCCGCATGCCTCAGCCGTACGCGAGGCTGACTAGGTGTGCAGGAAGTAGTTGCTATGCGACGGCTCGATGGGGCTCATCGCGTAGGGAGCAAAGCCCTGCTGGATGTGGTGCTCAAATTGGGCATATGGAATGGGCGCAGGATCGACCTCCTGCCATTTGCGTGAGCATTGTCGTGCTGTCCACTTCTCTGTAGCACCAAAGTCTTGCATCTAACAAAGTCAGTTCATATACTCGAGAGTCTTTGGGTGATGCATACCTTTTGTGCGATGATATCGAACTTGCTTGATGCCCAGTAATCATGTGCCTTGCGCAGTGCCTGAACGTCTGCATCGGCCCATATGCGCATGCGCTCTTTCAGTCGCTTGATACGCATCTGCAATGCTGGTATTTGATAATTCTTATTGAGGTCTGTCAGAAAGCGCGCTGCGATGTCCTTCCATGGCATGTTCTCATCTTCTTTGAGCCGTAGCAGTAGTCTGTCTTCCTCACTGAGCTCGAACTGTGTTGACATTTGCGAGTCTGATCGCTTTCTTCGCTTAGGCTCATCTTCTTCGTCGTCTTCCCGGTACCTCTTGGTCGCATGCGACCGAGGTGTCTCAAGGGGTAGAGGGGCGATTGGTGTGTACAAGCGTCGCGGTTGTGGTGATGTCATCTGGTTGGATGATAGTTCTGTTGACGGTTCACTCAACTGTGGACTGTGAGTCGGGAATGCTGAGTAGTATGCATCGTGGCTTGAGTGGATGCCTAGTGCGTTCATCCATGGGCCGTCTACTGCTGCTGAAGGCAGTGAGTCTAAGTTACTGTGAGACCGGTCCATGAGGCGGGACTGTCTCCTAAAACGAGACGTGGACTGACGAGGCACACTTCTTGCGTCGGACTGAGGCTCTTCTGAAGGACGTGTAGATTCTGGTACTACTGAGTCCCGGGAGTAGACCGTGCCTGGAGAGATGGCTGCTGATGGCTGCGTAGCGGAAACTGAAGCCCTCGTTGAGTATTGAAGCGTAGGGGCGGGCTGCGATAGGTTGATAGTTGATGTATGCGGAGGCACATAGTGGGGATACGAGACATAGCTGGTCTAGACAACCATATATGAGCAGCCGATCTCGCAACAAGGGTGAAGTACAAACCTCGCTATGGTACTCTGGGGCTGAAATCGAGGGGCACCAGCCAGGAGTCGGCTGACTATTCAGATCTTGAGAAGGGAGAGGACTTTCTGGTAAGTGTGGCATGTACGAGTGATGCGACTGTGGAGACATTGAGGGAGGTGAAGAGCCGGGCGCGGGGTAGTACTGAGGGTAATAGGGACTTGGCCACGAGGCGGGCTTGTCTTGGAGAAGATGCGGAGGGAGGATAGCACCTTCAAGTATAATAGACATGACAACAACGTCTGCCAGCTGGGTAAGAAGGGCCTTTTGTTGCTGCGCCTCTACTGTTGTGGTCGCTAATGTAGCAAGAAATGCAATCAAGACGGGCGGCAGCAGGAAGGAAGACGCGGCGCACGGTGGTGATATCCAGGCTTGAGCTGGATGACTAGGCTAGGGGAACGCCTCAGTCATATTTATCAAGATGGTAACGGTATAGCGGCCTCGAGTGCAGGTCACTTCTAGTGCGTCGACTCTATCGTGCCACCCCCCCAGTAGGCTTTGAAGGATGCTGCTGCTGCTGCGCACTGACTGTCAGGCCTGCACGTTAGCGCCCCGAGCTTTCACCCTGCTCTTCTCTTGTCTCCTCGCGGTTTGGCGGCCTCGACCCCGGCATGCCATGCCTTGCGCTTGAGCCGCGAATTGGCCAGGCATGCATGGTTGCTCACGGTTGTGTCCGGCCCATTTGCTGACCCGGAACGCTGTGCTGGGTTTCTAGGTGGTGTCCTGCAACGGCGGTGATCATGACCGTGTGGGCGTCGGTGCAGCCTTGCTATCGGAATCCGCTATACATCTGGCCAGCAAGGGTGTGTCCGCTACACTACATAGTAGCTAGTGCGCCTAGAGGTGGTTTTTGGAGGTGAAAGTCGAATGTAACCTTTAGTAAGGCGGCCACCCTTGACGTCGGCCCTGACGTCTGAGACTGCTCCCACAATCGCTACCCAGCAGGATAATCTCTTTCCGATGCAGCGTGATATTGGAGAGCTTGTCCGTGCTGGCGGCGCCATGGGATGCCGTCAACAAGGGTCGCACTCCATCGCGCAGCAACGAGGAAATTTGGCCAGCCGTGTCTTCCCATTCGGTGCGCCTGGATGGCTGTGCCGTTGACGTACCTTAAAGCGAGTAAATTGCCCCGTATGTAGTGGGTAAGCTGAGAGCGAAGGACTCAAAGGCGCTTAAATGCATGTTCGAGGTAATTCTTATTGGCCGCTAATATACGCTTCGGCTGGGTAAAGACCGCTAATTCGCTTCTTCTGTCCCCTTCCAACTCACCTCCTCTTCTTCGCACCTCTCAAGTAGCACCTGTCCACGATATCGGCGAAGATCACTGCCACCACTACTATCGACAACACGTCGCTAGCTAGCGTATAGACATGCTATGTCGCTTTCGCCCCACACCACGGGACTTGTTCCGTGGAGAACCGCCGACAAAGACCTTCCGCACAACGCTCAGTGGGTGTCACACCCCACCACCACGGTCCCATCCTACTAGTCAATCTGGGCTGTGCGTCGTTGAACGGCTAAAAGACTTTGTCTTGCAGCGGTCCAATCCCGAAAACCCCGCTCCGCTGTTGTCCTTCAACGGTAATCTTTGCTCATCGCATTGGTAGCTGCGTTTGATCAACGGCTCATTCCGGTAGAATGCTTGCGACATCATTTGTGTCGAAAAGCTACCCAGAAGGGAGTTCTGTAGAGCAGAGCGTTGGTTGTTGTTCGACGGCTGCGCACTGAACCTGCGACCGCAGCATACGGCGGCTCCAAACCTTGAAGCACTGCCTTTTGACACTTGGTATAGCTACATTCTTGTCTCCATTCACCTTGTCCTTCAATTCTGAGGCCGCATTCATTCTGCTGGACTCTAAATCTGCCTTGTTCAGTTTGGCTCACGCATTTGATGACTAAAACGAACCAGCTGTACATGAACCAGCACAGCGATAGTGTACGGACTAGCGATACCATAAGTATCATCAAAGGCTACGTCGTGAATGCTCCTACTGCAAACTTCTTGGGGTCTCCATACACCTTTGTGCCTAAGGCATTGCGAAGTGTCGAAGTTGGCCACTCACATCCCGGCTACTGCAAGTCTCCCTGACTTCGGCGGCATGTTCACCAGCCGAGATACGGAACACATGTTACCTTCTCGAAGTATGCGTTGGAGGATCTTGTACCTGGCCCAAGGATGGTGCCATCCGTTCCGTGTGCGCCACGTTGGAGGCCTTGGAGTCCTGATTCAAGCCTCCGTGATCTTCGCCGCCAAATGCACCGACACTCATATGGCACTGTAGTTCATTTACTGACCGCCTTATTGCATCCGAGGCTCGCGATGAAGCTTGGGAAGTGGTTACAAGGAGTCACGAGCTTTGCATTCTGGAATAGACCCGGGCGTAATTCGAGCCACGATCTCTGCTTGGCTCGTCCGCTGCGCCTCACACCGCCCGACTCTTATTGTGTCATACACTGCGGCATAGTGTTGTTCGTGTAGCACGAATAGATTCAGTCTCTTGATCTCCTATGGATCACAAAATATCGCGTACAAGCGCAGGACTGGGACAACCGTATGTATGATGCACTGGAGCGACTGCTAGATGTTGATGTGTCTCCTGCGGCCCCAGCAATGTACGTGGTATGCGCGCTAGATTGACATCACTTTTATGTCGATTAGAAGACACAGTGCATGAAGAAGAAACGTGTTATCGGTGGTCTGCAAGGCTACGATGAGAATTCGACCAAGCGGTTGGGAGTCTATATCCAGGTGGTGCATGGACCACCAACCTGTCAAGATACACAAGTAGGCAAGCGCGCGGGGGACCCGTTCCACAGTAGCATCTAGGCACTGGCTAAAATGGCTGGGTAGTCTCTGGTATCTAGAAGCCAGAGCACAGCTTTCCAGACTGGATTTGCAGTCCTCAGCCTTGCGTACCCATTCTCCATACTAGCTTGGCCACTAAGCTGCTTCTGGCGCACTAGCATGGACCCTTGGGAATGGATTGCCAAGCACGTTACATGTAGCGTGGTAGCTTGCGTCAAACCCGGGGAAGACATTACGCATCACCATCCAACAGACGCCATCAACTACGCGTTCTTTCCTAACTTCGACTCCAGCTCCTGCCGGAACTGGTGCTGGATATATCAGCATCGGTAACTCTTTATTGACTACCCTCACACCGGCACAGAGTGTCGGAAGCGCGCTTTGAGCCCCAACACGCCGGCGATAGGCGGCTGGCCTAGTGCTGTGTAGCCGTCGCATAGCATTATTCGTCCCTAAGATGGGGTTCAACCTCTTTCACATCCTCGGCGACGTTTCGCATACGTCATCAAAGCTCATACTGATATGGGCGATACACTCAAATAGCAGTGCTGAGGGTGAGTTGGCCTCAATCTCCACTTGAAGCATGTAACATGAGCTGACGTATGCAGGTGTCTCTCTCATCACTCAAGTCCTCTATGCGCTTGTCTTCGGCACGCGATATCTCGATATCTTCACTTCTTCGGCGACCAAGGATGGCTGGCATACGTGGAACTTCTCGTTGAAGGTGCGCAGAGCTGGCATGCCTCAACGCGGACGCGGCTAACCCGTCAGATCTTCTACACACTGTCATCACTGTACATCATCTTCTTGATGACGAGCGTATACGCACGCACACGCGAACGTGAGAAGGCATGGAAATTTGGCATGTACTGTCTGTTGGGCAGCGTACTCATGACTCCGTTCTGGTACCTCATCGTCAAGGATACCCTTCTTGGACATAACACCTTCCTCAAGGTAACATCTGGTTCCGCTCCTCCACAAATTGACCACTAACATTCGCAGGTCCTCTGGGTCTTCTCCGAAATCCTCGAGTCCGTCTGCGTTATCCCACAACTCCTGCTCCTCCGGCAAACTACTGTGCCCACCGTCCTCGACTCTTACTATCTCGTCACGCTCGGTACATACCGCTTCCTCTATGTTCTGAATTGGATCATGCGTGGCGCCAAAGAACCCGGCTATCGCGACCCCACGTCTTGGGTGTGGGGTACCATACAGACAGCACTCATAATCGATTTTGCGTGGGTGTACTGGACGCGACAGCGCGTGAAGCTTCGCCATGGCGGAGTGGTAGATTCGGATGACCTCGGTCGCGGATGGATTGTTGGACGCTTCGTGAGCAGGAAGAGCATGGATTTCGACTATGACGAGGAGACTGCTGGACAGCGCAACGACACCACACAGCCCAAGAACAAGTGGGGCCGGAGGGGCATCTCTGTGTCAGCAGACGAAGGTGTGGAAGGTGCGCCGAAGCGAACGACTCCAGAAAGAGCCAACGTGGATCCAGAAAGCCAACCGTTGGCCGACCCTGCCGCGTTCGAAGATGAGAGTGATGACGATGCGCCACCTGGTACTGCTACTTCAGTCGCCGAGCAGAGCGGTGTCAGGAGGGATGAATGGGACGACGATTTGGACGAGGATGCTACCGAACATGATGCAGCCTCGAAAGTCATCAGATAAGTCTACTGACATGTTTGTTGAGTAGAAGTACTGGGGTCATCCTGTTTCAGATACAACATCGTCACCGCCTTGCCTCATTGCATTGATCACAATTCTACAGCGATTTACTATATCAGTCTCACCGCGCGTGCATGTATAGAACGCGTATAACAAAGTTGCATCAGGCTGCGCTCGACCGATCTCTCTGTGTAGAATTGCATTATTGCCCATGCACTTACTTCTTTAGACACGGAGTCCATCACCGCGTCTAACCCCCCAAAGCCCCAAACCTGGTATCAGGGCCCGACTAGCATACCTACCTGTGGGTAAATCCACGTGCATACCATGCCAGCGCACTACAAAGTTGCAGTACATGATCCAGGGACGTGGGGGCGGGAAAAGACGCCATAATAGGCGTTTAGCAAGGCCCCAACTGCCGAACTCACGCTGACTTTCACACGTGGGGTCCGATATGCACGGTTCCCAATGATATGTTAGTTCATACACTCTTTACCGGTTTTGCCTGACACAATGGCGGATCTACAGCGCTGTGCTAGCCTGGCTTAGCGCTTGAGTTCGGATACCGAGGATATGGTATGCTGCATTGGGGCTGAATGGAGCTGAGGAACCGATGGTGCAGATGTGGACGTTAATCGCGTTGATTATTGGCTGCAACTCCTGGAAAGAGACGGAGCGAAAAGGAGATTGAGACCTTGATAGAAGAACTTGGTTAATCATTAAGAAAGGAAGCACATCGTGCCTATGAACGCCACCCAATGCAGGTATCATCATCGTCAAGATCTCGCCACATGCAAAACTCCGGTCAATGCTCTCTGCCACGCAGACATTATCCCTCTGGATACTAAAATCAACGCCATCCACGTGTCACCAAAAGGCAATCCCGACGTCTAGTACTTCAGGTCGACAGGCTGAACACGCCTCTTGTGCAGCTTAGTAGTTGAGTTTCCACTGCCGCAGACACCCTCAGGAATGTCGAAGCTGTTCGTCCTTCCTGTGGGCGCATATACCGCACCCTCACCCAGACCTCTCTTGGCAAATCCACTCCAGATCTCGCAAAGGTTGTTGCCACCCGTAAGCGCTTTGTCCGCATCCACAATGGCATCGCGAGCAGAAACGAAAGTAGGGTTGCAAGGTTGAAGTGCCATGCCGTCCATGACGACTTTCATAGCGAGGTACTTGCCATCAGTCGGCACGCCGTTGTCGTCAAAGGTAGGTAGCCAGTCGTCGTTCTTGCCATGCTTGTCAATGAGGTTCCAGAGGACCTCGTACAACATAGACGCCCAAATGTTACCGATGGGGTGGACCTTCTCGTACGAGTCTGCGTCGGAGTATACCTGAGGGTTTTGGTTCAGATCTGTAGAGTACAGGTAGTTCCTGATTCCAAGTGGACGGCCACTGATCCAGTCTCCCATTGGGTAGTCGGTGGCGCGAGTGTCACCAGGCTTGAGACGGATAGCTGTTGCGTAGAAATCGCTCCAGCCTTCTCCCATACCACCAGATTCCAGGAGAGACAGGCATCCTGCGTTTGCGGGTCCACCTGTTAGACGGTTAGAGAGGCCGTGCGTGTATTCGTGAATAACAACACCAGCGTCGAAACAGCTGTCGCGGTAAGGAGTTGTGCTGTTCCAGATATACATGCGCATGCGTGCTGGCTGACCATCGGGGGGTGTAGCGAAGTTGGCGTTGTTCAGGCCTGAGCCATCCTGAGAGTTGAGGTAGACAAAATCTTGGCCAGCACCACCCGCGCCGTTGTTGTTGATCTCAAAGTTTCCAGCCTTCTCGTTGAAACCTAGTGTGTGCAAAACATCATGGTACTTGTTGGCGGTGTAGAAGAGTTGGGTGACAGAGGCGTTGGCATAACCCTTCCAGTTGGTGTCGTTAAGCGAGAAGGGGTAGTCAAAGGTCAGAGACTCGCTGACAGGACGGGGAAGGTTGAGAAAACCGCTGTTCACGTTCTCCCAGTTGGTATGGGCAATACCGTTGTTGCCACGGGTTGTCTTGAATGACGTAGTGCCATCGCTGTGGTATCCGAATTCACTAGCCTTGGGAGAAAAGTCATCTTCCGTTAGCTGACGGTCTCCCTCAAACGGATCGTTGATACCCCAGGGGCTGGAAACTGTTAGTGGTGATCAGACATATTGTGGTCATTGCTGCTTACTAGACGTTGTAGGTAGCGTCCGCAGAGTAATCGACAACGGCATGTACCTTCTCGCCATCTTCCGCGTCGACGTATGTCAGAAGCCAGTTGCTCATGACATCAGTCTCGATTCTCCAGGTAAGAGCGAGCTTTCCCTCCTCATCGACAAGGTAGACGAGACGTGCTTCAGGCTCACTGACACATCCAGTGGTTTTCTTGATAGCATAAGTCTCGGCAGCTTCCTTCGCCTCAGCAATAGCTGACTCAGCGGAAATTGGCAGACCAAGAACATTGATAGCTGACTTGAGGGCATTGGCAGGTGCGGCACCATCCCTTTTGCTCAAACTAGGCGGTGCTGGGATGGCACCCTTGTAGAATGAGTTTCCGAAAGAAAAGACATTGCCATCACGACCAACCTGCTAGTTGTCAACCAATGATTTCGGGTGATGAAAAGCATGTTTATGTTATGTGGGACCGGGCGAAATTTAGAGGTTCATCAACTTACATTGACGTTGAAGTCAGCTGTATCGATGTCAAGACCGTTGGCGGTCTGTTTGAAGTAGAAGTGAGCTACTCCGTTATCGCCGACATAGGAGTCTTTGACGAGACGGAACTCAGCATCGGGGAGCGTAGCCTTGACCAGGTCGGTGGCAATGTCCTCAGCACTAGCACGCTTCGCAAGTGTGTTGATGTTAGGATCAGCCACAACGTCGGCCGTGTTCTTGTACGAGGCAGCGTGCTTCAGGCGGTATGAGTCCAGGTCGACAGCACGACGAGCAAGTGTGCTTCGGCCTTGCCATGTGGGTTGAGGGTGGCCATAGACGCTGATGGCTGACAGCGAAGCCAGCGACGCGAGGAGGACGGAACGCATCGTGATAACGAGTGAAGTAGAAATGATAGACTAGGGACAGAAGATGTGCTCAAAAGGAAAGCTTTGAAACAGTATAGCACTCCTCTTATACATGACCTGGTCCTCGCCACACTTGACCCCGAACGACTCTCCACACTCCGTCCTTGACCTGTTCGAGTATATGGAGCGAGTGAACGATTCGACACCAGGCGCGTACGTTAGTAGACTGCCCACGCGACAAGGGAACGATCACTGGCTTCCTTTCCTGGCCTAACTCCACGCGTAGTCGACCGGTGCAGTGGTAGGAAAATGATAGGGCGGAGGCTTGGCGACGTTGTTAAATAGGCAGGCAAGCTTCTTTGACCCTGGTTATATTGGCCTGGGCATTATATCTTGCATTGGATGCCAGAGGCGACGATCTTGACCTTCCGGATAGAGCCATGGCTCGGGAGATCACGAATGTTTCATGCGTTCACATGGAGCAGGCAAAGGCGCATTCGCGGTATTGGACACGGCAGCGACGGAGCCCCTGAAGTAGCGTGCCGTCGTTCCATCCGAGAAAACGAAGGACAGACGTGTCATTGCTTTGTTTTTGCCTGCAGGAACCCGTAGAATCGGAGCTTTGCAGACTGCCAACAAACACGAGGAGGCGCCGGCAGACAACTTGTCTCGTACAGAAGTCCTCTGGCACTGGATAGGTGCATGACGGAAGGACTAATTAGACACTTCGGTGTAGCCGCAGCTGTAGTGGAAAGATAGTAGGGCTGGGCGCATTGGTCGCCTGCCTGTTTAGCGGTAGTGTGTCCGTGATGTGGCTTTCGAGGCCCGCTCCGTGGAATTACGATCGCTGCCCAGAGAGGATCGAACGAGCAACATAACGGCGCATGTGGCTGCAACGGAAATGCAGGGTATCGCGGGAGCCTTTTGAAGGAAGACAAAGCGCAGGCGGGAGATGTGGTTGGAGGGACTCCAGCGCGAGATGAAGCGTGCCAAGAGAAATAGCTTAGCGGAAGGCCCCCCCTACACTCCTGGACGCATATAGATAAGAAGGACTGTATCTATCGATACTTGAGGACTGCGACGAACAGGGAGGCGCGTGAACATGTATACTGATCAAGGACGATAGGATGGCGCCACGGATCGACATTGTCAAAGCCATGCGGCATCCCACACTCGTCACGCCTTGTCACTAAAGCAGCCATCGGGCAATGTCGCCTCCGTGCCATCTCGCTCAACATACGGAGTGTGCAAGTCCTATTCCTGCTGTGCGCCATGTCTAGTTGTGGGTGCGCAAATTCAGTACATGTCTCACCTACAGTTCATGCGCATATATACCGTGCTATTATGTGGTGTCTTTTACAGTCCTATATCTGGCCCAAGCCTCGCGTACAGGAAAATTTAATCTTGCGTACCGTGTGTCTACTCCGAGAGTCTACATACATAGACCTGGGTGTCTCAACAGTTCATACACAGCTACTTGCGCTGTGCCATCAGAGTACAATTAGATTGCCAATCTTCACGCCTTGACTACGGAAGTAATACCTCCTCCTTATCCCCACCCCGTTCGCCCTTCTCAGTAGCTTGATTGTGTCCTCCCCTCCACCTACCATAATCATTGGGATAGGATTCGGTCTCAATATGCCCGTTGGCGTATGCTGCACATCATCAAGCAGCGGCTGCACAGGAGGTTGCGCTGGATCAGCATGTCTATTCTCCTCGTGATCTGGGAAGCTGACGATGACGACTAATTGGAGAGAGGCGGGGCTAGGTGGGTAAGCGGGGATGTTGTGCAACTTGGTCGAGAATGAGCAGTCCCCCCTAGGGATTGCTATAATCTGGTACTGTTTTGCTACTTCAAGAGGAAGGCGCTCGGTGCATAGTGTGGTAGCGTGTACGTAGACATTCGACCAGGTGAGGGGATTATTGGAGCTGTATGACATGTCCGGATCCTTGGTATCTGGCATTGGCGCTGCACCAGGCCCGGTGGGGAGGGCGGCAGGAAAGAAGTGGCGTTTTGCGTTTTGATAATCATTATTTTGTGATTTGGGGGCCGACGACGTCGAAGTGGGCGATGGGACAGAGAGCAGAGCTTGGAGTAATGAGAGAAAATTGGAGAGATAAGAAGGTTCGTTCTCAAGTGCCTCTGGGTCGACCTCCAAATCGATTACATCCGCAATGTCCAGGTCGGATAGGTTACTCATATCACCTAACGCATCGCTAAGGATGTCTGACAACGTGTTGGAAGATGCGGTCGCTGGCTGAGGCGGTACGTCGATGACCAAGTCTAGTGTATGCGAGTCTCGCGTTCTTGTAAAATATGGATCAAGTGGGTTGAAGTTGTCGATAGTTGAACGAGACATGAACACTTTCTCGTCTCGGCCCAGAGCTATATTAGAGATGGCGTAGATCCGGAACTGCTCATCAAGATCCAGTTTCTGTTCTATCGCGCGTGGCTTGTCTTGCTCGCGAACCATGCCAAGTCTGAGTCCACTCATCGAATTGACCAAGATACCTTCGTCTACCCTTTGGAGCGCACCGACCAGCGACGTACTGGGCATATTGGGAAAGGAGAGATCGAAGGTGGTTCTAACAGCCAATGGTGAGCTCGTTGCGTTATACGGAATGAGTGCTGGGGGCAAAGTCCACGGATAATAAGTGTAGTTGGAAGGCGAACTTATATCTGATAGAGAAACGCTGGGATGATCGGCACTGAATTCGACAAGCGGTGAGTCAAGTGTCTCAATAGTTGGCATGAGATGTAGTTTGGCAAGGCTCGCAGCATGGTAAACATCAGTACGAGCCGCTGTTGCAGAGATACTGAATGGCAGATGGGCTGGCGGGAGAGGGCATATCTCGGGCGCTTCGAAGACGGGAGAAGATCCTGACCGCGTTTTATGGACAGGACGTAACCGCTTTGGCACAATCAACGGGTGGCCTTCGGTAGTGAAGACAAATGGCGCGTCCCAGGTGTTGAGCGGATGCGACGGATCGAAGAGTAGAAAGAGGTATTTGGCAGTCTCGCCAAGGAAGAAACTCTCCATGCGATCGTTCAGCTCCCCAGTACGCACATCCTGCAGGCCGGCCCACCCACACTTGGTCCAACAACGTCTTTTGATATCGCGCAGCGCCATTTCCCCTACATGGAGGTACCAGGGGTCTTTTGTGGCTTGGTAAAGGTACCAAGTCGATTCGATCCACTCTGGTCGTCCGCCCCACCAGCGAAGGCCATGCTCGATGTTGCCAGTTGCAGTCGACCATCTTTCGGGCATGGCGGAGTAACGGGTCCAGAGAGCAGTGTAGAGCAGGTGCGTCTCGATGGCTTCGTCGAGCTTGCCAGCCATAGTCAGGAGTCCTTGGTAGAATGCGCTCAGGCTATCTATCCACCAGGCCCTGATGGCGCCTGTATACAAGTCAACTTGAGCATAGTGTGGATGCTGATGTTGGGCACCACGATAGATTTGTCGTTTGATTCCATCGTGAGCGTCGAGCCAAGTAGCTAGGAACGCGTCCGGTGAGTCAGTAGCCGCATTTTCTTGATCAAAGGGTAACCCGGAAAGAAGAATGTGCGATTTGAGAGCATACTCAAAGAAACTGTCGATGCCCGCTCCAATGCCCGTGTAGGAATTCACCCACTGCCCCGTCTCGGCATCGATACCGGCACCGATGAGCCCGATGCTACTTCTGCGGTGCCACACAGCCCAGAAAGCATCTTTGGCTAATGTCTCATACTTGGGGTCCCCAGTCAGTCGGCTCAGAACGGAAAACTCAAGGACCAGACTTCCGGCACCCGCGCTGCATGTCTCAGTGACTTCGGTCCCTTTGTCGTTTGGATCCCTCCCGCACTGGCCATGCTCGGCATCCATGTTGTTTGGTGACTTGGCGTAAAAGGGTACTCCGTATCGCAGATTGACTCGGGGGTAAGGCAGACCAGTCGGTGTGTTGAAGGCTGGTAGCAATCGATCGGTGAGATCTGTCGCGAGCCGCAGTAGTTGTCCGTCATAGACGAAGCCATTGGGCCAGAATATGCCTTGGCGTCCTTGTCTCTTCTCTGTTGTTGCATTGTAACCTCTGATGGGCAAGTCTCCAACAGCAAACTGGTGCGAGCTGAGCAGTCCGCCGACTCCGCGGATGACCGTCTCAAAGACCTGCACTTTGCTGTCCAAATCAAAGCCTCTTGCCCTGGCTCCTCGGCCACGGGGTCCCGGAGTGCCGTCGCCGTAGTTTTGTACCAATAGTTTGACACCGGCTTGGAAGTCGTCCAAGGCCTTGTTGGATGCAGGCGCATCGAGTGGAGGTGTAGAAGCAAGTATAGCGAGCGTGGACAGACTATCTATCAGCGTCAACGAGTAGTTTCCGAGAACGTCGTTGACTTCTATATGGGCGGGGTTCTGGCGGTCGCGAGTGAGGGGTGCGCACGTAAGCGGTCGCAGTTCGTCCTCGGGGAAGGCATGCTCCATGTAGTTGTCGTAACCATGGTAGAAGATGTCGCGTGTCTCTTGTCTCAGTTCAGATATGGCTTCATCCGTCATGCCATGACCGGGGGCCGTCCAGCAAGCCATGCACAGCAGGAATACGCATAGCGCATATCGCCGCAGAGGCCTTCCAGTCGGTCGCATAGGCAAAAGAGTCCCTGGGAGGCGACATGGAACTGAGGTCTATCAGCTGTGATGTCCGGTGCTGGTGCTCGACTGGTGAAGCCACGATTGCCATATGACATGGGCGAATTTCTGGCGAGGGAGGAGCGTCATTGCGCCAAGCCCTGCTCCATCAATTATTTCATCGCAACACTCGACCGACACGCCATCCTCCATGTTCCCGGCCCATGTCTTGTAGGGGCGCTTTTTCTTCTTAATTTGTAGTTTATCTCCCCCCCTGCCATCACAATGCTGCCTCGAGCCGCCCTCCGCGCACTGCGCACCCGGCCCGCACTGGCAGCTCCGCGCATCGCACCTATAGCTTCCACCTCGCAATGGACGCGCACCTACGCCAAAGTCGGCAAGCCAAAAGACAACACATGGAAACCCGCAGACCCAATCAAGTTCGACGAGGGCAACAAAGCGCGGCCCAACCCCGTCAACCCTTCAGAGCAGCCCGAGTTCGACACTGCGGCGGCACCCGACAAAAACACAACACCGACACGGCCCTCAAGACCAGTGGAGAGTGCAACCCAGGCCTCGAAACATGCGGGCAGTGACTTCAAAATGGGGGAGCAGGAAGAGATGTCGGGACCCAAGTCGCCCAGCGAGAACACAGACCCCACCACCGAAAGCCCAGAGTCGCAACAACCACAGAAGCCGCTGCCGGATCTGCGATACGGAATCCCCTCGACCTTCGCTGAGGAGCATGCCGAAGCCGAAGTCAAGGCCAAGAGAGACCCCAACGACCCAAACGAATTCTACGAGGACCCCACACCAGGCGCTGCGGGCGGTCGAGAGGGCGGTGGTGGCGGCGAACTCCCCAAATCCGCATACGAGACCAGTACCGACAGGCGGCGGAATCGCGTTGCAAACTGGTCCTATCTCGCCATGCTACTCTTTGGTACAACGGGTGCAGTCTTCATGGGCAGGAACTGGGAGAATGAAGAAGAGGAAGCAGCTCACATTGATGCTCCAAACGGTTGGACATTGGGAGGCATGTACGCTCGTGCAGCCGCCCGCATCAACGGACAAAAGGCATACTACACAGAGCCCACCTTCCAGAAGTTGCTACCAGACAAGGAAAAGATTCCTGGAGGCGCGCCCGAACTTACTCTGGTGCTGAGTCTGGAGGACCTGCTGCTACATTCAGAATGGACCACCAAGCATGGCTACCGACTAGCCAAGCGACCCGGTCTCGACTACTTCCTACGATACCTCAGCTCACAATACGAGCTCGTCATCTTTACCTCCGTCAAGTCCATGGATGCCGACCCCATCATTCGCAAGCTTGATCCATTCCGTCTCGTCATGTGGCCACTCTTCCGTGAAGCTACTCGCTTCGAAAAGGGCGAGTACATCAAGGTATGCTCCCACCGTCTTGCTTCTAGAGTCACTCTTGCTAATATTCTCCAGGACCTTTCCTACCTCAACCGTGACCTTTCCAAAGTCATCATGATCGACACCGACCCCTCGCACGTCAAACTCCAGCCCGAAAACGCCATCATCCTGCCCAAGTGGAAGGGAGAACCCGGAGACAAGGGCCTCGTAGCCATGATTCCTTTCCTTGAGTACCTCGCCATGATGTCTCAAACCGGCACCCCAATCGACGTACGCACCGTTCTCAAGTCCATGGAAGGCAAGGACATTCCTGTCGAGTACGCTCGTCGTGAAGCCAAACTCCGCGAACAGTTCCAGCGCGATCTCCAGGAACAGAAGAAGAAGACCAAGGGAAGCGCAGGCGGCATGTTCATGAAGAGTTTGGGTCTTGATGGGCCGAAGCAGGGCATGGTTCTCGGTGACCAAAACATCAGCCAGGGAATGTCAGAGGGCAAGATGATGATCGACATGTACCGCGATTTTAACAAGCAAAACTACATGCACCTGGACAAGCAAATTCGCGAGAACGGGGAGCAATGGCTCAAGGAGATGGCTGAGGAGGAAAAGAAGATGCAGGAAGCTCAACTCAACGACATGAAGGCAGGCGCATTCAGCTGGTTGGGTGGTTCAGCGCCTCAAACAGCCACTGTACCCTCAGCCGCGAGCGCCCCGGAGGCGGCGGCAAGTCATCAGGAGGGTGTTCAGCCGACGCAGACACGGTAGAGAGTTTCCGGAATGTACGTCTAAGGATTTGAAAGATACCACGAAAAGATACCGTTCCACTCTTATGCAGGCAGCACTGGAGTACTTCATCTGGATATGGGTATCTTGGATACTCACGATATGTACTATATATGTTGAAATACAGTAACACGAATGCATAGCAATATGTCGCGATTGCAATGACTTGAACAACACTTTCTTTCGTACATGCCTCGGCTCACGGCGTTAACACCGGACGTAATGGTGGGGCGGCGCGCATTCGTCCTTCGTCATGCATGTCCCAGCCGCCTGTACACTTCTTCCAATCCAACCCCAGCTCTGTAACTGTAAATCAACATCACCATGTTTCAATTCACATCTCTCGTATCGAATCCGTTTGCATCACGGTCTACACCGCCAGAATCACCGCCAGAGCCGCCCATCGTGTCCGAAGAAGCCGCGACCGTACCGGACCCGTTCCCTTTCCTTCGCCTGCCTTTGGAGCTCCGTGAACAAATATACTCTATATATTTCAGCCCTGCCAATCATCTCGTCAAGAGCACCGAACTAGAAGCCAAGGGTTTCTTTGGGGGCGTGTACCAATGGGACTTTGATGTCCTCAGGGTAAACAAGCAGGTGTGCGAGGAAGCAAAGAAGGTGTGGAGGAGAGAAAATATCTTTGTCAAGGTTGCTACACCCTGGCCTTCTGCGGGTATGTATCGGGTTTACTTGATGGCGACAGAAGGGGTTCCAGAGTTGCTCGAACGCGCCGCGACGACTCTCAGTGGAATTCGCGGACGCAGTGAGCTCCTCCTTTCTCTTCAGGATGCAACGCTGATATTCAACTTGGAGTCTTAGTGAACCACATCTCATCCGAGGGTCTGGTACCCATCGTGTGCACCGACGCCCGTGCCGACGCATTCACGTCGTATCATGCCGTTGTACAGATAACCGCACCGTTCCATGGAGTTGTGCCTGAACATATGGTCGTTATGCTTGTGGATGATTTGCACCTGTTTACCAAAACGTGGTACTATAGTGCACTGTCGTATCCTATGCTCAATGAGCGGCTGTCGACTACCTTTGTCCTGAGGAATCCGTATGCAGAGTACAACGATGAAGAGGAAGGCACAGCAGAAGCGCAGGAGGAGCAAGAAGGTCTAGGGATTCCAATTTCTCTGCAGCGGAAACTCTTGTTACCTTTCGAACACGTCAAAGGTCTCCATGGTACAAGCATACACGGCTACTCCCCCGCGGTACGCGAAGAACTTGCTCGCCTCCAAGCCAAACCTGTACCCACGTTGCGTGAATCCGTCGAAAGCGCCACAGACTTCATGCTAGCTGGAGACGCCGCGCTCGCATCCCCGTCAAATGCCGATACCAATAGTAAAGACGACCCTGACGCCGAAGCTGCAAACCGAGAAGCCGCCCTACAAGCTCTCGAGCTCTACAGAAAAGCATTTCATGCAATCCATATTCTGATCCACGGACGCACACGCCGCGTCCTCGCAGACGACTTCTTCCACGATAGTATAACGTCCGGTCGTTACGCCGGTCAAACTGGGATAACCATACGCGTCGTGCTACGCCTCAAACTCGTCTCACGAACCGTTGCAGCATACAACAAACTCGGTCAATGGGGTGAGGCTGCCTTCTGGGGCTTTCGTACGGTACAGATCCTGCAAGAATCGTTCAACACTGATTTCGAACATTTCTTGACCGACTTCATCGAGGGCTCTGATTCTGGTTTGGTTTATGTACGGGCTGGAGTTGCATTCTGGCATATGGAGAAGGACAAAGAGGCCTGGTTGGGAGAGCTGATTAGTTATGCTGATGAGCCTGTGGCTGAGAGTGGTCGGCTGTGGGCGGCGGCCCGGAGATTTGTTAAGCCTGCCGCGAGGGCAGATGTAAGGAAGGAGTTGCAGGATCATGGTGTACCACAAACGATGATCAACCTGTTTAGTGATGTAGCGACTAGGGAAGAAGCTGTTGAGAGTACCGTAGCTGATGATGGAAGTGGTACCAGCGAGGAGTAACGGTATTTGCGGTTAAGAATGCAGGCTTGTTTTACTACGAAGCGCATATAGCCGTCAAGAACACCGGCACTTCTCACAGACCATACACAAACGACATCTTCGCATCCGCATATCTGGTTGAATCCAACCTCTCGGCCTCAATCTGCTCTGCACTCCTTCCTTCTGCCCAAATCATCTTTCTTCTATTAACAGCTTTTAAGATGAACCTATACGCCGTGTACCCTATAAGCGCCGCAGCCACGAAGCCTAGTGTGGCGTAAAAAGGTGTCAGATATCTAGGCGCATATCGTTTCTTGTAGAGTTGTGAGCCGATCACGCCTGCAAGGTTGCCGAATCCGTTCACACCGAGAACGAGGGACCGTTTTCCAGGCTCGGGGTTGTTGCCACTGAGCCAGGCTACAGTCAGGGGAGCTGAGATGTAGCTTCCGAAAAGAAGGATGCAAAGACCTGCATACTGTGCGTGGTGGGACGGCGCGGTAACGGTGATGATCAGGCCGACGAGAGCAAAGAAAGTGCCAATGATAATGTGATAGCCCCGTTCTTTCCGGTAATCTGAGCTAAGGGCAAAGAGGTATAGACCTACGGCACCGCATACGAATGGCGGTACGGACATCTACATACAGTCACATCAGCTTAAACCACAGAATGGAGCATACGAGCAAAAGAACGTACCAAATTTGCGTCAATTGATGAGTATCCCAAGCCCTGCACAACTATAGGCATAAATACGGAGAACGCCTGGCTGGGTACACTAGCACAGATGTTGAAGAAGAGTAGAAACCAAAGTTTCCAGTCTTTGACTGTTTCAATAGCATCCCTCTTTGTAAGTCGATCCTGTTCTACACCGTCACCTCCGTAACTATGTGCAACCCATTTCGAGTTGTCTTTAATGATACGCTGCACAGCGAACACCTGTTCTTCGGCATCAAGGAACCAGGCTGATCCTGGTCCTTGCGGTAGCCAGAACCAAGCAATCATTGCAACGAATACCGTCAAGGCCCCTTCGATGATGAACAAGTACTGCCAATTATGCAGGCTGGTGCCGTTGAGATGGAAAATGCCGAATGCTGGTCTCGGTGTAAGAAAAACATTAGAGCGTACAGAAGATTACAGGGCATACCAATAGAGCCCGAGAAGGCGCCAGCAACAGCGTATTGTCCGTAGAAGAGTCCGATTCGCACAGCCATATCGTATCGGCCGTAAAAGGTGGAGAGATATGTGACGGCTGTAGGATAGAAACCCGCCTCGAAAGCGCCAATCATGAGTCTAACAGCAATGAGACTCCCCTTACCCCGGACAAAGGCGTGCGCCAGTGTAGAAACACCCCAGCCGATCTGTCTTGGATTTAACATTACATGCCACACGTGTTTACGGTAAACTCACCATTATAATGGTAATCCAGTGCTTTGCGCCCATCCATCTTCCTACGGCGGCCGAAGGAGGCTGAAGCAACACGAACGTGATGAAGAAAAGCGACACTGCTAGGTTGAGATCATCTGGGGTTGCGCCGATGTCTTTAGTGAACCCTGCATACGTTAGGACAGATCCTTTACGATCAGCATTCCGAAGATCTCACATACCTTGCGTCTCCGCATTTCCAACATTCGATCGATCTAAACCGTTGAACAGATACAACAGGGAAAGAAATGGTAGCAACGCAATATCCATCTTCCTGTTTACGCGTTTTGACATGGAGCGCGCCTCAGAACTGGTGGCTTCCCCTTCTGTCGACATTGCAATCGCTTCACCCATATTGGTGGTTGAACTCATCACTGTAGAGTTGCTACTGCGGGAACAAGGGAGCAAAAGATCATCTTCTTGAATAAAATCCATAGTGAAGGCAAGTTCCGTAAAGTAAAGATGGCCAAGCCTAGTCACCTTCACCATTTTCTAATTTCATTTGTACGTAATTGCTTTGGTGAGGCTCAAAAACGGATCCTTAACTCGCCTACAATGACCGATATCGATATGATACCGCCTCTCACCCCATTGAATTTGCCTGATCAAAGTTGTATACAGCTTGGCTTGCAGCAGTCCATGGATCGGAGCGTGCCAGGCTAAGCTTAGCCAATCGGAGGTCTCCGCACAGGGAGCCATCCCTGTCCGAATGTGGGTTTCGACATCGACACCTCCAAGGTGAGCCAAACGCGGTTCTGCAATGGTTGCTTATCTTGACGAGAATGGTAAAAGGGCAGCTTGGAAGAAGCTGGACATGACATCGTTGCCTTGTCCTCCGCGGCGAGATCAGCCAACATGGAAAGCTCTAGAAACATCTTCTATGCACCTTCGGCATCTCGAGTCGCAGAACTTTATGCACTACGAGCCGGTTCCAAGTTATTGTTCCGTGTATCGATCATGGCGTCAGCAAACCCCTGATAGCCCGACGGGGTGGTAAAAGCGACTCCCTTAGACCGTTCGCGATCGAGGGTCACTGTATTGCCGTGATTGGTTGACGGTTCCGCGGGCGTGGGAACACCGCGGGGAAAACAAGCTTCTTCGATGCCATTCGCCCGGAAGACAATCCCGGTGAACCAATCAAATGAGTAAGCTGTTGTGTAGCTTTAGCCCGTCACTTTGCATCCAGGTTTGCAGCTCTTGGTAGACAGTACCTGCTGTCATGTTCGATGGACTTCCTTGGATTTCTGGGCCTCGCTGGGCACTGTACTGCGGTCCAGGAGTACTAATGACTAGACCAGGGTCAGTTCCTTGCTCGAAGTGTCTATGACCATGAGACAGGTAGCGATCGACTAGAGCTTTGAGATCTTGTAAAACTTTGTAACAGTCTCTGGGGTAGTTGGTACCCGTTCTTGACTCCTCTTCAAAGGTGCGCATGGCAAAGTCTATCTCGGAGGCATACACTGCGGTGTTGAGCAGAGCCGGCGAGGCTTCAGTGCTAGAAGAGTGGAGAATCCGATCTAGTATCAGGATAACAGCTGCGTTGAAGACGAAGTGCAAACCGGCCTGCAGTAGCTTCCTCATTGACCGCAATCGTTGAGCTGACGACAAATTACGCTGGGCAGCCTCTGAGCAAGCTTGAATATATTTGCTATGCGCGTGTTGCTGCACAGACCAGTGGCCGTTCATGTAGCATTCAGCAACAGCTTGCTTGACAGCGGCAAGTATGATCGGTCGAGTTGCGAGGACAATGAGCTGGTTCGAAGCTAGATGCAGAGAGAGAACCGCAGGATCAGCGTCTATGTGGACAGCTAGTACCGATGGCAATTGCAGCTTCCAGTCTTCGAGCAATTCCAGAGCCTTATCCACGTGTAGGGTCGAATATCCACGTTGGTAGTGTCTCGGGGCGATTTTGAATGTTTCACAAACAATGAAGCCAGAGATACGTGATAGCTCGACGTGTGCTCGGAGGCCTGCACACGGTGGCATTGAGCTGAGGAAGTTAGTAATGCTTTCTGCTTCACCTATATGCAAATACTTACGGCACATCGCTTGGTAAAGGTAGCCTGATCGCTTCATCCAGTAGAGTTGGTGGGCGTCCCATCAGTACGGAAAGCCATCTATCCAATATATATAGGGTCCAGAAAGTGCGTTTACTCGCTTCGTCATTACATGACCTGAATGCCCCATGTATTATGGCAATATGAATTGCTAGGCTGACCTTGACGTTTGGAAACAAAGTCAACATATGCCATGAGTGCAGCGCGTACATGGATTTAACTTACATATACGTAAGCTGAATCTCTGCGGTTGAGTTCGATTAAATAGAATCCCATAAGGGTCAAGACCGGCACATCATCCAGAGTGAATCGCACGGTATCCAAAGGGTTTCCAAGAAGCTTTCGCGCGCGCTTGAAGAAAGCCCCTCCTGCATGCTGGTCTGACCGATGGAAAGTCGCATGATCAACAGACGTAGCCAGGGCGAAGCAGACATGATAAAATGCCAAGCGTCGGTGAGTGTCTTCAGTCGTCATTGCACTCATCGAAGGGGCTGCAGATGTGGGAAGCTTGCTGAGATCGCCCCACCCTGTACGGTATCAGTGAAAGTACCAGCGATGGCCGGCGCATAGCTTACAGTATATTCCGCCGGAGAGAAATTCGCCGTTGCCATCTTGAATATATGCTCGTAATTGGGCCAACATCAATGCCATATCTTCCTGATCGGGTAGCCATAGAGGATCCACACTTGGATTGGGAATTGGTCTCGAATCGTAGGTCTGATATGTTCCGATTGAAGCAACGAATGAAGACCCATCCGCAGACTCAGGCTGGAAGGTTAAAGGAACTAAGGTAAGCATGAATTGTTTCAAGTAATCCAAAAATGTCGCTCCAGATGTTTCGCCAAAGAATCTCGGGGTCCCACAAGGATCAACAAGCAGGCGGCCGTCGTTCGCACCGGCTTGGTCCAGTTCCATTGACACAGATAGGAAAGTCGGTGCGGTTGAACGCCCTGGCACGCCATGATCGAGCTGTCCAATGATTTCAGCGGCTTCTTCAGGTGCGGCAATCTTGAACCCCATCTCGAGTGCTGCACATCGCTTTCGCAAACGTTCGAGCTCGTCTCTCAAGGAGTGCTTATCCGATTCGGGTGCTGGATACTCGCATTGCCGTGAGGATTTGGTGCATCGTTGGCACGGCTGTTCTCCAGAACACCGAACCCGACGAACGTTGCACGCGTTGCATCTACCCTCTGCAGGTCAGCGATGAGTCCCAGAAGGTCTAAGCTTGGACTGCCCAGAATTTGAGCAACGCGCGCGTTTTCAGTGCTGCAAACGAGCCATGCTGACGTATGCAGACAACAAATGCTTGGGCGCCATCTATCGACATCTTGGTACCATGGCACCAAGAAACCGCGACCAATACGAAAGCGAAATACGGAGGTTGGGACTATACTCACGCTCTTACGACGCGCTTTCGTAATGACGGATCGACCTTGTGTCTTCTTGGATTAACAGGTAGTCGCTGTGGCTGGGGAGAGGAACTTTGGGAGGATGGTGTCAAGGTGGACTGCATCTCGGGCCGAACGGTTCAAGTTTGTTGCAGTATACCTAGTACTGCCATGGGTTGTGTGGAGAGAGATGTGGGTGAGGGACGGTAGCACCAAAGAAGGGAAGACGCGAGAGGTGCCGGAAGCGTGCAGCGCCTCTCGGATCCCACAAGCCTAGTTAAACGGCACGTCACCGCCATCGTTATGTTGAGATGTCTAGAGACAATTTTACAACTATCGCTTTCATGAAGGCGAAGAGGTTAGTATCGCGAATGCGATAAAAGAAACCTTTGCCACATGTTCATTCAGAATCACGATCCAATCATAGGATGTGGGTGTGCTTCCATGGCGAACGGCCGGGGGAATGGCAGGGTTGGCGGACTATCCTGTGGGACCCTGCTGCAGAGATCATACCACCCAGCACCACAATGCATGCCTACACGGAGGATACGAGCGGAGCGCCAAATCCGTAGGTTTTTTCTTTTACATGAACGCTGGTAATCATCATGGACATAGTTGTAGCAGTGATGTTTTACGCTAGAACTACCGACGTATACAAAGCGCGCGCCAGTGGGGGAAAAGAAAAGAAAGGTTTGATATTAGAAGGTTCTATACCAGCAATGGGTATAGAGATCAGATTAGACGCGGCTGGGACATCGATTCATAGGACGCCACACGGTGCGGATCGAAAGAAACCCGTGGGCTAATGCGTGTCAAGAATAGAAAAAGAAAAGAGAGGGACGAATTGCCGGTGAACGCGAACGCGACCTCGGCTTCGCCGCGTATCGTGAGGGCTCACTTCTCCAAATCCACGGCTAATTGCCACCTACAGGCCGTCCGTATCATGTATTTCGCCTCCTCTTCGCTCATCCAGTTCATTTCTTCACCCCCATTCCACTTGATTCCTACAATCTTTCCAGCGCCCTCGCCCTTTGTATCCATGACCACGAACAGTTCTGCCACCTTCAGTCCAGTCCAACTTCGGTGGAAATGGACCTTCAGTTTTCCTGTTTGATCAGGACCCTCGCTATATATATACCACTTATCATCCATGTCCTTTGGTGCATACCCAAGATATAACGAGTATATTTGCGAGGGTGGGAGGAAGATATTCCATGAGGTTATGAGGGGCTTGCCGGGAAACGGCATGGTTGGTAAAGCACTCGGAAGCACGCGTCGCCGCGGCTCTGGAGATGGCGGGGGTGTGATTTCGCTGCGGGCGTGTCGATCTGATGGTAGCTCGATGCGTTGGATATGTGCAACCATCTTGGGTTGTTGCGGTTTCGACGCATCGATGGCTATAACAGTGCTCTTGTTTGCGGGCGACGGCGGTGGTGTAAGGAAGTAGGACGGTGCATGTGAAGGACGGTGCTGTAACCTTCTCGGCGATTGCGGATTGGGTGACTGTAAACTGGGCGAATATGAACGAAGGCCTTCGTTCATTAGAAAAGGTGACGGAGGAGCGTCGCCTCGATCTCGTCTTGAGAAGCGCCGGAACAGTGACTTCTTTCTAGAGAGCGGCTGTGGTGATTCGAGAGCCATTGTCTTCAGTATTACCCCACCTGCGATTCTTCTTATTATGTCCTGGCTGTAAATGGCAATCCTCCAATATGATTTCAACGGCGAAACGAGAGTATGAATCAAAGTAATAGGCTTGTCCGTCTCACAAGGACAAGTGGGGAAGAGCAGGTGCACCGTGCAAGACAAATACGATGGTAGTACTCAGCCGCTCCCCTCGCGAGGGCTGAGTCTGGCTTTATTTAGCATGCACATTCCAACCTGCATGCGGACAAGCGAACACGCAGCAGCGCACCTAGATCCACTCCACAGGCACGGAACATGAGAACTCCTGCATGGGGTGGGCTGGCAAGCCTGAGTAAAGATTATGGCGCGTGATCGGCCTGAGGATGGCTGGAAAGAAGTTCTGGTGGTGGGCCGGCAATGGCAAGCGTCATGACCCAAACTTTGACGCGGGAAGCGCACGGCTTTTGCTGAGAAGTGCCCGATATAGCGCATCATCCTTCTCTTGGTCGAAGCGTCCATGGAACTTTATCATCGATTCGTTTGGTTCTCGGGTGAAACATATCCTACGCGTTTCCCCCCATTGTGAACCTTCTTGTACCCTGGGTCGTGAGCGTGATGGCTGTGTTCCCTAGAATCCTTCGCATACGTGTACCTCCCCACCAGGGTCGCTTCGCCAGCCTGCAAGCACGGCGATCACATCGGCTCCTCAAAGCCGAGCCTGCCAACGAACATAGGTTTCATACATATCGCGATTGCACAATCAAGCCAGTACAGGTGATTAGTGTGTGCCGCAGATAGCCCAGTTAATTGCCTTTGGTGCCGCAGTCTTGGGTTTTAGCTACTAACAAGGTCTGGTAGGCCCAATCACAGTTCCTTTATCACATCTCACGATCTGTGCTAAGCAAAGCTAACAATGGGTGGTTGGAACGCCAACGTAGCTCTACGACATGATCGATGTGACGGGTGGGGCGATCGTGACCTGTACAAGATTAGTTGGATTCCCACGACAAAACCAAGAGCACAAATGTGGCACAGGGTGTTCGCATCCTATTGAAGGCCAACAGCATGCCGCCAGAGAATTGATGGCGCAGTCTCTAGGTCAGCCTTTACACCCGCCTAGTTAGCCATTTACCATGACGTTCTCCTGGGTATACTTGGCGGAATGATCATTGATTCATGAGTTGAGCTCGTCATGATCATCAGAGCCCATCGGCCTGCTGGTGAGCGAACTCTACTATCATCTCTACAATAAAGTCTGGTCACACAGTTGCGAGTAACACTCTCTGGAGTGGCGGTATCCTCCAGTGGCCATATCCAGCATGTCCATGCACAACAAACTCCAGGATCAGAGTGATGCGGGGTGATAGCTTAGTGTGATAGCAGTTGTGTGCCCATGGTATAAACGAGACGGGTACGACAGCCAGCCACACCTGATACTAGCCGGAGCTACTGAATAATTTGCCGTAGTCCGCATAGTTCGCTGTTCAACTACAGGCCATCTAGAACATCATGTAGTCCATCTATTGAGCGCCTACGAAAGTTCAGCCGCAAGGGATCAGCGTAGTACATCGCAGACAAAGTTGTCCAGGCCGACTGCAAGCTCAAGTCAGAAATATTCGCCTTTGCAAGCATGACGTTTGGTCTAGAACAAGCAACAGTATTCCATTGTCCAATCAGACAATCGTCTCTTTCTGGTCTTTTGACCATGGCTTATTTGATAGCCCAGATTCAATCCAACTTCAGCACATTCACACCGGCGCTTAGAAAATTCAGGCTACCTGGCATACATAGCGTACTAGAGTTGGAACACACATTATATTTGGGCCACATTTCGTTTTCGCATGACCAGCTCCCACAGTCAAGATCAAGGAGACTCCAGGTGGATAGAGCGTAGACGCCTTCGCTAAGGTCATTGTTAGTGATTGTGGTTTGTACACTGGAACCATGATCTGGAAAGGGGAGACCATATTACATCAGGATGTAACAATAAAGACTTACTTCTCACACGACCAGCTCATTTTTACAGTCAAGTTGTAGACCTTCGGCACTGTCGTATCAAAATTCAAAGTCGCACTATCTGCCCAGCACCAGTCGTCGTCTCTCACTTCTCCTCCAGTAGGCGCGAAGTCGCATTCATAACTGGTAGAGGGGTTGAAAATGGCGAAAGAATTCGAGTTCTTAGCACTGCACGCGATAGCAACTTCAACTGCGCTGTTGATCAAGGTGAATTCAAGAAGGCCTTGTCTTGGACCTTGGGCGGAGGGAGATACCATAAGGTAGTAAGAGGAGAACTTTATGTTTTCGATGGAAAGGGAAGGGGAGTCAGCTCCAGCTGCCGTAAAGAGGAAGCATAGCGAGCACAATGGGTGAGTGAAACGTGATTGCCGTAGGGTTCGTAGATTTCCCCTGATTGCGTGAAACTGGATGGCAATGTTGGTGGAGGTTGAATACAAGAGGTAACTGCCCGAGGCTATAAGTAATGCGATTGCGCAGCCTACTTTAAGTCGATATCAATAAGCAATCCGCCAAGCATAGTTGGCATGGTGACATGCCGAGAAGGAGTACTTTGCTACGAAAAGCCACCAGTTGCAAGATGGCGGTTGTGTCCTCTAGTTGACGAATCGCTTGGCCGTACGTTGTTGCTGGTTTTCATAGACATGCCTGTCACATGTGTTGCCTTTGGGATAGTCTGCTATATACAATTGGTACCATGGACAAAGAAGCATTAGAGTACCTACAATCAGAATGTTTGGCGACAGAAAATGCTGGAAATCAAGGCAGCGTAGTAATTTTGCGCAAGTCTCATGTACGAACAGAGTCAATTCGGTCGTGTTATGGAAAAGCAAGCCCAAGTCCCAGCTTCGAAGTCAAACGCACCGTGTCCCGTAAGTCACCCACGGTATCCTCACTTTGTAAGCTACCGGATAGTCGAGCATTACACATGCTAAATGTTGAACTAATCCTACTCCTTGTAGGTGATAGTTTTCATCCTTAAGAACTCTTCAATACCCCAGTGCCCGTTGAATCGCCCAAATCCACTTGCCTTCGCACCGCCATGCGGTAAAGTCCACTCGTCATGCACTGTCATGGAGTTGATATGAATAGCTCTGTGTCTCTTTGTTAGCGATCAGATTTCAAAAGTAGTAACGTATGATCTACATCATGCGTTATTTGCAAAACTTACCCGCTTTCAATCTGCTTGGCAATGCGCAGACCGCGGCCAAGGTTCTCTGTGAATACAGCACCAGAAAGACCGTAGTCAGTGTCATTAGCGATCTCGATAGCTTCCTCATCACTAGAGATCTCTATGACAGAGACGGATGGTCCAAAAGATTCAGTGTGGAAAAGCTCCATGTTCTTGTTCACGCCATCAACGATGATGGGACGCATGCGTGTTCCGGAGGTTTCGTTCGTCTCCGGGTGTTTTTCATCGCTTTCGTGGTCACCATGTACGACTTTGGCGCCATTCTTGACTGCATCTGCGACAAGGCGTTTGTTCTTTTCTACACCCGGCGCAGCTACGAGAACCGGCGCGGGCTTGTCGCCGCCGAAGATACCCTCCACGGCGCCCTTGAAAGCTTCGATGAACTGTGGCTTGATGTTCTTGTGTACCAGAATGCGTTCCGAGCTCATGCAAATCTGGCCTGAATGCAGGAAGGCACCTAGTGCACATTGTGTCGCTGCTGTCTGCAAGTTGGCATCGTCGAGGACAATGGCGCTCGCTTTGCCACCTAGTTCGAGCAGAACAGGTTTGAGGTTTTTACCAGCTGTCGATGCGATTATGCGACCAACGGCAGTAGAGCCAGTGAAGTTAATCTTCTTGATAGCGGGCTCCTCAATTAGGGCAGTTGTCACCTGCGCTGCATCCTCAGGACGATGGAAGAGGACATTGAGCGCGCCCGCGGGAAGGCCGGCCTCGCTCAAGGCGCTGCCAATAGCCCACCATGTGCGAGGGCAGAACTCGCTACCCTTCAGGATGCAAGTGTTACCCGCAGCGAGAGGGTACAGAATTGATCGCATACCAAGCACATATGGGGCATTCCTGGTACTCACATAAGTTTCCCATGTACGATCATGGATGGGAAGATACATACCAAGGTGCAATGCCCAACACGACCCCATACGGCTCTTTGACGATCAGCGCACTAGTACCCTCCTCTTCACAGCTAGGAATATGTCCCATCACGGCGCTCAACCTTCCCGCCACATCTCTCAGCATATCCGCCATCTTAGGCACATTGAACCCGTTGCTGAACATGTCCGCAGCTCCAGTTTCAATCTTCATGTAGTCTGCGAATTCTTCCGCGCGCGCATCGATCACGTCGGCGGCCTTCAAGAAGATATTGCGTTTGGCGGAATGCCTCATCTTAGACCAAGTGGGAAAAGCAGCTTTTGCCGCTGACACGGCACTCTTGACATCTTCCAGAGAGGCGGCCGAAGAGGTCCATACTTGCTTGTGGGATGAAGGTGATGTTACAGGAAAAGTGGTTTTGGTTGTGACCTCCTTGCCGTTGATGAAGAGGGGTACAACATAGGACGGATCGGGCTTAACAACTGAGGGGTTAGACATTTTTCTTTTGTATCTCACACTCTTTGTTGCTGTTGGTGAGGCTGGCGTTGCTTTTTCACAATAGAATCAATGTAAAGAATAACGCGACGAGCGGTAGAAGTACCGGGTTGGATGGAAGAAGCTATCTCCATAGTATCCACATTACGTGCGCACCTGCTTCCGATCTCAGACCCTGAGGGCGCGCGCATGGCGAAATCGGCAATTGAGAAACGCGGTTCAGGGGGCGAGTGGACCGGCATGTGGAGACGGCACGGCTCAGAGACGAGTAGACGGAAGAAACCGACACATGAAAACCTCGGGAAGTGGACAAGATAAACATAAATCATCCCATATATTGCGTCGCGTAACAGCTTGCTCAGTAGGCGAAAATGTTGCGGAATAATTTCATGTCATTGTCACAGCCGCCAAGGCGGAGCTCCAGGTGCAAAATCCGGACGTTGCTTGCAAGGTGTGCGTGTTCAAGGAACGCCTAGAGGTTGTCTGTAATTTGTATAGTGTAAGTGTTCTTTAGCGACGGCTTATTCAAAGGTATCACGGTTGCCGTTATTGCACTCTCCAGACAGAGCCGTAATGACGTCAACTCTCTAGATCAGCGGGGTGTTATTGATGAATCTCCCGAGGTGTGACCGCAGGTAGTTACTTCACTCAAACTCATTCGATCGCAATTTATTTGAACTAGCGCTCAATGAGGGAAGACAAGTGCAGGTATGAGGTCGAAGGTTTATCCTTTCAAACCGATCAAAATTACTCGATACCATCAGGACTGCAGGCCTTTTGCGCACATACTACCTAGGTATATGTCTCTCACCGATTTTTGTTCCAGCTCAGAGACATGGTCTCAGAACTACGTAGCTCGAGTCTCTTGAAAAATCAACACACGCTTGATACGCTCCTCAAGTAAATAGAGAAGCTGTACGCACATTATGCCGCCTTCGTTTGGTAAATACGCAGTACTATGTGTAGCTTCACAAGTCGACAACAGATATTTGGTACTTCCTTCCATAAAAAAAAGGGCGTAGAATTTCAAAAGACATCTAAGTGCAAAACTGTTTTGCTTTATAAGGAAGCTGCATCAACTGCTAAAAAGGCACATTGGGCCAGGTAATGTTCGGAGCTGAGAGGTATCCCCCAAAACGAGATTGCTGGGATGTAGTGTAGTAGGCTCCTGAGGACTTCAACAGCCCCAAGAAGCTATAACGTGAGTGTATAGGTTGTTTAGAATGTTGGTGTTCACTTGTAGTGGTGATACATAAGCCTAACGAAGGAAACGAACTAGGGCACACTTTGTCTCGAACAAGTGTGGTTCATTTCGATATAGAAGCTCCAAAATTTTGGCATTGCAGTACTTTCCCGCTTATCCAGGAGAAACTCCTAATTATCAAATTTTGGGTGGCAATAAGTATCAGCAAACAGAACCTAATCATGTTAAGTTACTGCTCATTTCAAGATCGTTATGCCGAAATGATGCTCAGCAAAGGTAGCCATCATCGTGGATATCGCTCTTACATTAATCATGATCGCTATACAGATCGATCTCGTCTGATGAACGTGATGAATCTGTTGAGTCATCTTTCCAATCAGAAAAGTCTGCGTCCTCGTCGGTTCGTTCCACTACGAAATTTATGCCTTTTTCAACCGAAAAGAGTTCAACAAGGCGTTGCCAATCATACATCGCGAACGATGAGACTACAACCCGAACCTCCTTCAACCGAGGCACATGCGTAAGATGGGAAGATGCCACATTATCCAGCGCTTGAAGGTAGTGTTGGTCGTCCGTAGAAGGTCGAACAGGCGTTCGAAACGTCAGCAGCGACGCAGGCAATCTTTCCGTGATTGTGTCGGAGACTCTACTCATCATCATTCCTAATGGGCAGCTAAGCTCCTTAAGCGACACGAAGCCTTCGAGGCTGTCACGAAGATGAATTCCGCTATGCGTCCTTTCTTCGGCGATCGAGTCGCAGAAGATGTAAAGCGTCTCTAAGGAGGCCTTTTGACTATCCAAGGCTTCACACAACGTCTTCAATCGGTCTCCATTTGGTATCGGAGAGTCTGGCAGGTGATCTAGACATACGTCGTATCTGAATGTCTTTAGGGACCGTGCTGATGAGATCAACACTTCCAGAAGAAACTTAGTGTAGTAGGTACATTCGAGTTCAAGCTCGTCCAGATCGTTGCAGGCTTGGGGAATAAGACGCTGCAGTTTGAGTGCCGTTCTTTCGCCGTGTTCCCGATGACTTGCACATATGTTGCAGTCCGCCATACCGTATTCGTGAACCTCGCGCAATTGCAGCTTTCGTAATGATTGGAGTCGGAACAAAGGTGCGATGTCACTCAAGGATGTCGTTCTTGCTTCAAGTTTGATTGATCGAAGATGTTCGAACCGATGAGTCTGTCTGGATAGAGTACCCGCTGCCGCCTTGCTTATGAGATCGAACCAGGCGCGGCGTCGCGATCGATCTCTTGCAACGTCTAAGATGCTGAGATGTGTGATATTCGGGATATGCAACAACATTGCGTTTTGCAATGCTTCGTCATTACTACGGTCTTCGTTGCATTGAGTCGCCCATTCTTTCCAGTCCGACGTACCAAGCGCGCGCAGTCCTTCTTTAATAGTTTTCTTGTCCTTCGCAGTTGGGACATAACGTCGACCCTTGCGACATGTCCACAGGCCGAATGTGATGTCCACATCGTGAATAAATCCCGCAAGCTGCGGATTGAGAATCATAGTACGAAGAAATGTGTAAGGCTCGCAGAAATGGCTATTGTACTTAGTATAGAGCATATCAACGACAATCCGGTAAAAGCGCCGACTGGTCAATGCCAAATTGACCAGTGTAGGAAGTTGGAATTGGTTGAGGTCTATACCTGGTAGGTAGCCCAGTATTTCAAGAATCAACTCATCAGGAAGATCAGTCAATGTCGCAAGCGACCCAGCTGTACGAGATCTCAAGCCATTGTTCTTGAGTTTACGCTTGGTAGCGCGTCGACGCTTTGCATCTTGTGACGGAAGTAGCGGAAAGTCGCGCTCATTGATGATCGGCATTGTATGTGGCGACGCAGTTTCATTGGGACTGGCGTCAGGCGCAAATCGTATAAGGATGAGCAGTATGGATCTCGGGCCTTTTGTGATTTTAAAAAGAGCACGCCAGCTGAATTGGCGATTGCGAAACGGTTGAAGGGTGGCTGAAGTCAGTGGAAAGCAGGTGTTGGGCGTGTCAACACAGGTTTTGCGCTAAGCGGGCCTAATCAATCGACGCGCTACCCTGCCCTTCGCCTCGTGGTTGACGGCAACACCTAACGCCCTCCAGGTTTTACCGCCGTGCAACCAATTCCTCGCGTCCTTGCCTTTCGCTACCTGGAATCTCTCTACGCGTCGCAAGGGCGTATTGGACACTTCCAAAGTGACCGCTCTACAACGAAAACCTCGGGATTGAAGGTATCATTCCATCACTCGAAGCTGCGCCACCCGTTCCATCTAGTTCGCTTTCTTCGCCATGGAGCGCCTATCAGAAGAATTGCTAGACCACATAGTGTCTGAAGTCACCAACCCTTTGCCAAGTAGACATAAACCACTCTACAACGGCCTTCTCAGCTTATCGATGGTATCCCGTAAATTTTGTCGCATTGTAGAGCCGTATATCTACCGCTCTCTGATCGTGACCGCGAATAATGGAGAAAAATTGTTACGAACAACGAACACCCGTTCTGAGCTGCTACGACACGTTCGGGCCGTTTTCGTGGAGCAATATTGTCATGTTGCTGATGAGATTCAAGACTTCATCATGCACCTACCCAATCTACAAGAGCTAGACTTGGACATCATGGGCTCCTTCAAAGAATGTGGGCTTTCAGATATTGTACCAGTATTGAAGTTACGGGCCGTGACCACTCTGCGCCTCTCCGGTGTTGCAGCGAGAGAGACCGTGGCAATGTCTTTAGACGACTGGAAGTTCGAGAACAATACGGTCACTAGCCTGGACCTCTCTTTCTTCGAGCCCCAGGATGGGGAGGAACTCAGCGAAAAAATCCGGATCTTCGCGGCGGTTTTCCGCAACTTGAAATCTTTGAAGTTGCACGCCAACTACCAGTGGAATACTCACATTCCTATTTTGACTGGCTTTACGTTCCGCTGCCTCGTTTACTCATTCAAGCACGCCTTCGAGACAACTCTTCGCGAATTTAGCTTTGGGTACAACGATGATTATGGCCATTCGGAAGAGTTTGAGGTCTTAGGCCACAGCCTCGGTGCAAGGGAAATACTGAAAGCATCGCGGCTAGAGAATCTCAAGATAGACACAATCTGTTTGCAAAAGGCTAACCAAACAAACAAGCTAAGAAGTCTGTTACTTGAACCTTCGTGTCTACCTACGTCCTTACGTACACTATACGTGCGTCATATCGTTGCCCCGGGAAACCTAAATCCCGAGGAGAGGAATCTCATGCACTCAGACGAAGCTCAGTGTTTGTCACAGCTGGTGAATCTTGCGTCGCGAAGCTCGCGTTTTCCTAATCTGCAGAAACTCACACTAGCAATATTCCTACCTCCATTTTTCGAAGAGGTTGCTTCCAGAGTTGTAAAGATTCAAGCCCGGAAAGCTAAAATGCAGTTGGAATTAATGTTCATGTAAAGTCATGTGTAGAGCTGCTGCAGCTGCAATCGCTGACGAATGATTAGGCCTGAGCGGGACTACGTCAGCCATGATGTCTCCAGAGCTTGGCCGCAGTATGATCATGCTCGAGATCCCCGGGATCCATCCTATGATCAAACGATCATCCGTCGCTCCTAGCCGTGATTTTCTCACCACATCCGCGACTATCACCAACAATATCTTGCATACCGATGCTGGTTTACATGCAAGCTCGGGTCTCTGTGGCCGTACTGTCGACAGGGCTGGCGAGCAGCGGGGCCTCTGACTACTGTCCAGGTGGATTGATAAACAATGTCGAAACTGTGCCACAAGACTCGGTCCTGAGAGTAAGCTCAAACGATGTCCGAGCTGCAGTGCCTCAAAGATCGCCATCGGCTTCATGGGAGGAAGATCGCCGGATCCGAGCGCTAAAATCCGATTGGTTGTCTATATGAGGTTACGAAATCACTCAGCCACCTTCAGCGCCAACATTGCGAAGCCGCTGCGACGTATCGCAGGCAGTGCTGGAAGAGTCGGGCAATGCAGTCTACGAATACGCGTACAACTGGATCAGACAGAGCCTAATCTATATAAGTGCTACCCATGGACTCGATGCCGTGTCCATTCCACACATACAGGAGATTATTAGATCCAGCAAGATTCGACAATCCACACTTTACAGTATAAAACTCTACTGTCTCCACAGCAGTAACCCCGTATCTCCGCAGTACCATGTGTCGCGCACTTACTCTCTCCACGTCGAAACGCGACCAAAATACACCAAATATAGCAACCGCTAAACAACCCATTATCGGCGGAAATCTCAAGACAGGCCTCGAAAAGCTTACACGGGCTGTAGAACGAGGAGTCGACCGTCAAATCTTGAACGCTCAAATGCAGACTTATGGCACACCTCCGTCGTCCTCTCAGTCCTCGGAACAAACAACGAACATTGGCTCATGTAACACGAAACCGATTATCTGAGCGACGAGGGGACTTTATTGCGTAAACCACTATCTTTATGACGATACCGAGGGCCTGCGAAGGCTTGAACTCTGAAGTACAAACATTGTCCCTGGATCAGAAGACTGATTTTATCGTGTACGAGGATCGATCTGGGTCGTTGCATATTATGTTTGTATACAACATATCGAGAGGATGGTCGTGTTAGTAAAAAGAGCTGCAGAGTAGTCTTTGTCGGTTGTAAGATAAGTTTATGTGCATTCATGTAACATTCGATAGCAATCGCTTGTATTTTTAGTGTATTTTCAAACTTTAGAACTCTTTTACCTTCCCGATATTCTTAACAAGATTTGAATGTGCTAAGCTTGTCCTTTGAGTCAGTCTAATAGTGCAGCATAGATCGAGATATCATAGCCCGAGCCACTTAAGAACACAGCAAGGATAAGTACGAGAGATTCACGATTCTAGTGCGCACATTTTACATGCGCAGCCTGATGATGATATTGATGTTAGAGAAATAAGGAGTGGCAAGTATCCTAAGCAGATTTGCACATCGTCACAAGCTTAAAATGCCGTTGTACTCCAAGTGTCACATTCGTCGTGTTGCGGCAGCCCAAGAACAATTGCACCACGGAGCAAGATAGCCAGCTACTGCCGTGAAGGCGGAGAGTAACAGAGTTCAAAGTCTAGAGTTGCGAGCCCCACTCGGATTACCGCTGTCTGACTCCACCTACATCCGCATCTGTAGGCTTGAGATTGCTAGATGCATTCCCGTGGTCGGATTCATGATTTTGCTAATATATATAATTGCATTTGCTTGACTTTCTTCCATCAATTGAACATCAGTTCGATCACCAGCATCGGTGGTTTAGTGGTAAAATTAGCCGTTGCCATCCATCACAGGACAGTTTCGGCTAGCCCCGGGTTCGATTCCCGGCCGATGCATCTTGCTTTTTGCACCCTTTTTTGCATCCCCACCTAGAGGTTGTGGTAGTCCAGGAGTAGCGGAAATGGTCGAGCGAATTTGGATAGATGAGATTCGATAACCCTGCGCGCCTGATGTTTTTGCCAAGCCTGCGAACATCGCACACCAGAGTTTTTCTGCCCGATACCACGGCAGCATTGCGAGCATTACGATAGGCGCATGACCTTAAAGCTGTTAGGGTGGCTTGCAACTACAGATTATGATTAGACGGCAAGTGGCGGACCTTTATACACACCATCGGGCTTAGACTACAGGAAAGCAGAGACGCATCAATGTAGCTGCTGATATAGGAGTACAGCGTCGCATCGTCGCTGGAAAAAACATCCCTCGATATGAATGCTTGTTGTGAATATCCTGCCTTTGTAGTGGCCGAAACCCGCAATTGGCACAACAACCGCCTACTAGATCTGAGATATGATCTTGAGAAGGAGCCTAGCACTCTATATGTGTTTCCAACCTTTGTTCATGCACTGAGAGAAATAGGTATGGTACTCCGTCTCATACCATCGGGGTGCACGCAGACGGCTCGATATACAATCCCTTACTGGGCGATTCCCAGTTGACGAGTCCACTATGACCCCAAAGCTTGTTGCAAGAAGCTTCCACATTATCATACCAATGCACCACCTGTTCATAGTTGGCATGACAGTGAACGCGACAGAAGCTCCGGAAGGGAGTGTTAGACTAAGCCGCATTCAGAACTAGCGCCAACCACCAGTGCTAAGCGACACTCGAAATTCCCCAGTGTCGCAAACCGACGACATCGACCACCAACGAAGCCTCAACCAAGACCACCCGCCGTCAACACACAAATCGATCAAAATGGAGAACGAACGCGGAGAGCTCGTCGACCTTTACGTCCCCCGCAAAGTAAGCCAAATGCATGCCATCGCAATGAATGTCTGCTAACATGATACAGTGCGTGAGTATCCCACAACTAGCTACCTGACCCCGAAACGCGATACTAATATCCCCCAAGTCGGCCACCGGACGCATCATCAGGGCCAAGGACCACGCCTCTGTCCAGCTCAGCGTTGGCAAGGTTGACGAGAACGGCCGCTACACCGGCGACAACCAGGCCTACGCCATCTGCGGTTTCGTTCGCGCCATGGGTGAGGCCGACGACAGCTTCAACAGGCTCGCACAGAAGGACGGCTTCCTCAAGTCCGTCTGGAGCGCTAGCCGGTAAATGGTTGGGGATATGGAGTTGAGGTATGCACATTGCGACTCGGGTGAGGTGTCTGGGCTGCGGCTGACTGGGAGCAGGAATTCGGAATCTGAACTGCCCTTCGAGGGCGCAGGCATGCATTTCACGGCGACTTAGGCCTTCATCTCCTTTCTCCTGCGGATCAACGATATCACGAGGAATGGGAACCGGTTGAGACATGAATACCATGAAATTCACAAACCCTGTCACGTCTCATGCGCCTCCGCAGCCTCCGCCAAGACTCGGCTGTGATGTGTACTGTCGAATTTGTGAAGTCATGACGACGGCTGGGAGTGCTGCTTTCATGTTCGCTATACTGGCAATACATTGGTACAGGTGCTTACTTTGCAAACTGATTACGCGTCGTTTCTAGGTACATGGATCAACGCCTGCAGAAAAGCACTTACTCCCTGCCCCGATTCTCCGTTGCTGCCCAAGTTGCTACCCATCGCACCACATCCGCATGGGAGAACCGTCAAAACTCATAACAGGCATTGTGTGCGACATGTACATGGATAGCGTACCAACGCAACACAGAGCAAGAGCCTGTAATACACGGCCGCGTGGTCATACGCACTGTGTCTCTGCTGCATGCGAGGAAATTGTTTTGTTAACAACATACAAGCCCCAACGTGGATGTCCCTGAAGCCTACACTACAGTATGGCACAGCGTGCAAACTGACGCGAGTATACCTGACCCCCTATATCGAGCAGCATAGCATGTAAGGCGGGCACTGTCACTGTGTTCTGGCCCAATGTACCGAGCCAGCCCACCACACCTCGCTAAAACCCAAAGCCCCACGGACGACGTCTGCCAATGACCTGCTAAGCGTGGACCCGACAATGCGGGTGGTGCGATTGCTGTGTAACATTGGACGTAAAAGAGCAGAAGTCTGGACACCCACTCGTAGTACTGAGGTTACATGTGACGATACTTATCAGTACCGGAAGACAAGTATCCAGCGTCTATCAGTTTGCAGCAACTAAACGTCGGTTACCGATGGTGCCGAAGAAGCTCCATGCTGTTAGTTCCAGGACATATTGGTAGCCACCAATATACTGTCGCTGAAGAGTTTTCTCCATACAATCCTTGCAGCATGGATCTTACGCGCAGTACTGATCCTCAACAGAGTCGTATGTTGTATCACTGGGATTGCGGGGATGCAGCAACGATGCTTGGCAGCGGTCCGCTGGGAATGCACAGGGTGTTCACCGATCACGAGGCTTAGCGACCGATCAGATGAGTGCATTGCATGTGCGTGCATAGGGTGTGGCACGAGGCGAAAGGTACATGTGTGTGGTACTGAGGGCTGGTCATGTAGTACAGTCTTCGTCTGCCTCACGTAGATCACTTGAACTGGACGGCCGGATATGAAGGAGGATCAACCGATCCTCGGTAACGTCGGTGCGTTGACTCTCTTCATGTTCCTAGATTGCGTGGAGATAAAAAAAAAAGCGAGAAGCTAATATAGTATCTCTTGGACCAAGTGATACTATACACCTCATCCACACAAAAAGCGCGCATTCCAAGACGGACCTATCATCAAACTCGATGCCAGCGTGAATTACTAAACATGAGCTGATGACCTTCAAGAGATTGAGGCTCTAGGCTCAAGTATTTTGCTTTTCCCGTCTAGAAGTATATGCGGCTATACACACCTTGTAATATGATTGAATGGGTGCAAGTCGCATGACAACGGTAGGGCTGCAGGGCGCTAGGCTACGTTTTGTTTCCGAGTGGATACAGTACACGCGGAAGGTACCATCCATGCGAAGTAAGGCAAGTTCGATTTTGCCGCAGTCGAACGCCATATGATGACATAATGTTGAGGAAAATCCATAGCTGTAAGCGCGGCTATTGATAAATCCCATAGCGGTTCAGGTCCGCTCAGAGATTGCCGCTGTCCAAATACCCACCGCCTCCCCAAACCCAAGCATCGTCGCCGAACTGCCGAACAAGTACGTAGTATACACATTAATTCCCGCTCGCTACCAGAATACACGTGGCAGACCCACGTACTTTCAAGTCAGCTTCCCGCATCCCGGGGAAGCGGGCTGCCGCTTCAAAGGGGGACAGTCTTACATGTCTTGGCGCGCATACAAGCGGTGTGATTATGCAGTATACGGGCAGCTCCATCAATGTACACCGACGTATTGAAATGTGCGGATCCGACTTATTCTTCGACAGAAAGGATGCAGAATTTGATGTGTGGTGATATCAGACCGGACTCTGCGGGTCGGACGTAGATAGTAAGTGGATGGGTGTGCACAGTGGATGGTGGTCGTCGGGCCGATTCTCAGTGGTCGAGAATTGTCGCGGGCCGGAAAGTGTCGCACTGCGGATATCGCACTGTATAGGGACGACTGCGACGTTCCTCATTCATCGACGAGTCGGTGTTGTGGTCCCAGAATTCGGCTGCTGTTGATCTGGAATAGTATCAAGAGCAGCATTCCGAACCGCGGACACGGCTTTACTCTCCCCCACCTTCCAATCGTCGCCTTTGCGCACGATCTTCGATCGGTCCTTCTCTGCTTTCTTGAGTAGCATTTCCTGAATCTTTGCGTCGCGGCGTTTGCCTTGGACACAGTCGCAAAGACAGCCCTCGGTCGGACAGGCACCATCTGATAGTACCGGGTCAGCAAACCATGTTGATAGACAATTTGAATGCCCCCCATGTCCACAAAGTGGGCACCACGTCCAGAGTGTGGCTGCAGGCGGCGACCAATTGGCGGTAGTGGTCGGCGAGGGACCATCCGCGACCTGATCGTCATCATGGTCTGGATTCGACATGAGGGACGATCGTTGTCTTTTATGTTCTTTATCCTTGAAGGCCGAGCGCGACTTCGCCTTCGATTTCTTCTTTGCGGTGATCGATTCGAAAGCCGGGTATTTGGCCCAGCAAATCGGGCAGGGTGCCTGCGTTCGCTTGCATGATTCGCATCGCATCTTGTCTCTAGGATTGTTGATCGGTGACTTGCAGCTTAGGCACAGTAGGCCAACTTGTGTTTCTTTCAGCGCTTGCTCGTAGACGGCAGGATATGTCGGATACGCTAATCGACGGAGGGTAGCGGCGGAATTGAATAGCGACAAGGATTGTAGCTGCGCATGGTAGGTGTGAAGGATGGACTCTGCTTGGTAGGGATTGATACCAGTAGCTATCAGTTGGCTCAATTGCATCGAGAGTATGGCTTTTGCTTGTGCTTGAGTTAGACCTAAGGAGACAAAGGTATCACTGAAGGCGTTCAAGACGTCTCCCACATGAACATCTGGAGTATCAGTGGGGCCGTGAGTTTGTGGTAACAATGGAGCTAGAAGCAAAAGGAGAATCGAACTGAACTGTGCATCCGAAGCTTCCGTATGGTAATCGAGAAGATGATTCAGCAGTCCAATCACGGAATAGGGGGAACCAACTTCGGCATCAACGTGCACAGCCTGAAAATCAGACAGCAGTAATCCTTCCTCGGCTGCTGGGTCGAGAATCGGAGGCGCACCCCCGGACACATGTGGTAATGGAGCGGGTGGCTTAGGGACGTACGGCGATCTCACGTCCTCGAATACATCAGGCACAATGGTTCCGCTTGCCTCCATTTCAGCATTGAATTCGAACGATGACGAGGAGATACTCGTGAGCGCTTCGGAATCAGAACTGTCGTGACGGAGCAGTTGATTATTTCGTCGGAGATGTTCCATATCGCGAACAGCTCTTTCTCCACTGTCAAACCCATCCGCGGAACTTTGTGGATATATCTGGTTTGCATGAGCGATACTTTTGCCAATAGGCACTGTTGTTGGAGATATCGAGATACTCTTGCCTAACTCTCGATCTCCAGCGTTCCTTGGCTTTCCAAAGCTGGAGTGTTCCTGCACAGCTTGCCAGTCATCTGACAAAGACTGCTCCTGGCCTACTCGCGAATTGGTACTAGCGAAGGAGCTTGGCATGGAATTGCCCCTCTGAGAATCCGAGGACGCAGAGAACATGGTGAAGCTTTCACCAGAATCATGTCGCTCTAGTGGGGGAGGCACGTTCATGTTAGCGCCATGTGCGCTGTTCGGCGCGAGACTCAATGGGATTCGGGGCGATGCGCGGTAGCTGCCGACCAAAGCACGGCGTTCGTCAATGTCGTCTCCCGAGTGGTACCATTGTGGTCCACTGAACGTTCTTTGCGACGGTGCAAGTGTTTTGTTCGCATCGACAGGTGGTCCAGTTACAGCGGGCGGAAGCTGATCAATGTCCTCCTGATCAATATCGAGCAAGTCTGGTCTATGAGTATTGTTGACAGCTTGGTTCATGACTGGACGAGCAAGAGGGGTTGCGAGATTGGACGTGCTCTCTCGCATCGATGGCGATCGGGACGGTGATGCCGGCTTCTCTAGCGTACCCAAGATAGCTCGCACTGCAGGATTTGGGGGGATCGTCAAGCGCTTTTCGTGTGGCTCCATGTGCTCAGAGGACATTTGGTACATCTTCTCAGACTGTCGGAGCGCTGTGTTCTGCGATTGTAGCCTTCTTCGCTGTCTGTGTGACTCGGCACGTCGTCGTGTCGCCACAGCAATGGACGTACCAACGAGTCGCCATGCCTGCGCGAGCCTATAGAAGGCTGCCCGCTGTGCGTACTCGGCATTCTGCTCAAAGATCCTCTCCAGCCGGAGGAAGGAATCCAAGTCAGGTGGATCGGAAAGAGGTATGGTCTTATACTTCTGTGCGAGATACTCGAAAATCTGAGGGTTGGCCACGCCTGGCAATATGCCTCGTATTGCGACCTGATTTGGTCTGAATGATTCGCTATAGGCGACCATAGAATCACTGAGAAACATGACTTTGGGTGCAATGTCAGAGGGCGGGGTACTGCTAAACGATTTGGTTGACCTGTTACTGGCGGTGCGACCATGATGCCGCTTCATTGACGACATCAGGAAGCTGTCATCTAAGCTATCGTCCGCTGAGCTTCTAAGACTCCCTTTCTCAGGGCTATGGCGGCGTCTTGCACGTGGATCACCAAGGTACGTATCGTCGGGATATGCCAAGCCTGTAGAAGACGGCTGCCGAGACCTCTTCTGGGCAACAGCGGCGACTTCTCCACTTGGCGATACTGCAAGAGACTGCAGGTTGCGCCGATCTACGGTCTTTGGGGCGTGATGGACATCGTTTTGCTGGAAAATGCCCTCCTTCCCCACAGTCCACAGGGTGTCACGCGAGTGCCAAAGCATATCGGAGGGAGCACTAGGAAACTTATTAATCTCCCGAAATGGCAGGAACGGTCGACGGAAGTCCCACACATGGATGACGGAGTGTTCGCGATCATAAGACGTGGCGAGCTGTGTGCATTGGTAGGCGCCCTTCTCGTGGTACTCGTCGGACCAGTACGGTGGTCTCCAGCGCGCTTGGTAGACTGGGAACGGTGTGTGCAGGACGTAAGCAGCTTTCTGGCGGCGGCCAGTGATGGAGAAGTCCCAGACCTTGACCGTTCGATCGACGCCAGCACTGATTAGATGCTTGCCGTCTGGATGCCAGTCGATGGAGGTGCAGATGCGCTGGTCGTGAGCGGTAATCTTCTGCTTAGGACCCTTGTTATGGCGGAAATCCCATCGCTGGATGGTTCCGTTATCAGTACCGAAAGCGAATTCTACAGCGTCAGTAGGTGACCACTGAACATCACGAATGCCACCGTTCATGCCAGCATAGTGGTCTCGACTGCGACAGACGGTGACGTCTCTGCGCATGTCGCGTAGGTCCCACAGGCGAACGGTGTTGTCGTGGCTCGCAGACAGCAGCAGATGGCCTTGATGAGGGTTGAAAGCCAGCTTGTGTACCTGACGCGTATGCTCGTGCAGTCTGGTGAGCTCGACGCTTGCGCGGTTCAGGTCGTACAGTATGACTTTGCCATTGGCAGCGGCAGTTGCGATATGCGAGCTGAACTGGCCGTGGGACCATTTTACGTCGTGTATGCTCAAGCCGTCGCGCTGGCGGGCATGCGAGTCGGCATAGTGGAGGACAGCAGCACGCAGGTTGGTCTCGTCGACGATCTTGGCATCTTGCACGCGGACAGTTTTTAGAATTTCCTTACCGGCGAGAACGGCATGGGTACGTTCACGGTTGATGTCGAGGGCAGAGATGTCGAGGCCTGTCTTGTGGCTTGCATCTTGGGAATAGCCTGTGCGGATGCTTGGAGGCAGAGTTTAGCAGGAGGAGAGCATCATGGTGAGAGGGGCAGCCAATCAGAAGGGCGGCAATCGGAGTGAAGACGTACCCGGCAAGCTTGGGCACTAGAGGGTTCGGAGGGCCGCCATCTGGGCCATGGGCATGCACACTGGGTGGGCGGGATCCATAGGCAGTCGTCAAGGGCTGCGCAACGAAGCGTTCAAAGTACGAGCGCGACTTTTGCTTGGGCAGTGGCAGTGGCGGCGCCGGGGGTATCTTGGGCGACGAGACGGCTGACGTGCGACGGTTTTCAGTCATCTGAGCGCTGCTGGAAGACGTGACTTGGTAGCGACACGCCTCGGTGCGGTGCGGTGCAGACGGTCAAGAGCTCAGGAAGCGTGCAGTGTAGCAGGTAGCAGCCGTGGTAGTGTGACGAGCTGCAGGCTGCTGCAGGACCGACGCTGATGGTGCACGACTCGCCCGGCGTCCCTGGGAGCATGCAGGCCGGGGTTATGGCGAGGTCTGGATGAAATCCATCATCGGCGCGCACGGACAGGCCTAATGCCTGCTGCATGTGCGCCACAAGTCTACTCGTGCTAGCTCTCTCTCGCCCATGGCACCGTCTCAGCGAGCAACATGTCACCGCGTTTCTCTTCCATAACCTCCATCTCCTCCTCCCTATCCTCGTCCCCCACCCGTCTCTGCCACCCGTGAGTCCTCGCATCAGGGCCTCACATGCCCGTGGAGAGAAGCTCCATCATGGCCGGTCCGCTGCTCCAGAGCGACCTCTCCGCCGCCCACAGCGACCACGACCACGAGAGATGGACCTATGCCGGCCCTGTGCGCAACGCCATCGCCGTCCTGCAATATGCCTATCCCATCGTTATGCTCGTCTTCTTTCTGGCTGCCTTCACCGTTCGCAGCATTGCCGCTTCTAAATCTAATTCTAATATCGCCAAACCTACCACAACCGGCCCTGGGGGAAAGCCGCTTCCTGCCACCGATCCTACCCGCAACTTCGTCAAGAAGCTGGTCCACGATGATGTCACGCACACCCAGAAGCGCGTCTTTGAATGGGTCTCGCTGGCCACGGCCTTCACCTTTGTCGGCAACTCGGTCGTAGTCATTGCCCACGCTCTGGCCGAGACGCAGGAGCACTGGTGGGCTGGCAAGTCCGTCGTGGTAGGTAGCGAGCAACAACAAGCACACCCGCCTTCCACCATGTGCTAACTTGGCCAGATTTACCTCGTCGGCGCCTTCTTCGTCTACTGTCTCTTCCTCATCTCCCTCCTCGATTCCAAGCCGTCTCCGACCGAGGCGCATCTGGCAACATGGAGCCTGGCAACAGTCCTAGAAATAGTCCTCGTCGCCCTCTCGTTTGCCGTTTACACGCACCCTCACAAGGAGCCCACCGCCGGCCCACCCGCCAAGCGACTACGATTTGGAATGACCCAGTGGGAGTCCGCCGAGGTCGCCATGGACCTACTTCGCATCCTACTGCTCCTCGCACTCATCACCTTCTACGTACTGTTTGTCATAGTGCCACAGCGCAAATCCCAGCGAGAGTCTGGAAGCCCATCTGAAAACACTTCCCTGCTAGGTAGCGCCGATCAAAACGGTCATGCGGAGAACGGTCACGCGAACGGCTCATATGGCTCAGTCCACCCTGTCGGTGGCAAACATCAGCACACCGAGGGTGCACCGCCCGCCTGGAGCAGGCCTACTGGCGCACCTGCGCGCAGTTGGTGGGAATACATCAAAGGCTATCACGTCTTCTTTCCTTACCTCTGGCCTTCCAAGGATCGCAAGCTGCAGCTCGTAGTCATCGCGTGTTTCTTGCTCGTCCTAGCGCAGCGCGCCGTCAACGTTGTCGTGCCAGACCTCACAGGTGAGATTGTGGACCGCCTCAAGGACCCTTCGAGAGGAAATCCATGGACTGCCATCATGCTCTACATTGGCTTTCGCTTTCTGCAGGGTAGCAATGGCCTACTCGGTGCGGCGCGGTCTGCATTGTGGATTCCTGTTTCGCAGTATTCGTATCGCGAACTGTCAGTTGCGGCATTTGAGCACGTGCATAGTCTTAGTCTGGACTTCCACCTCGGCAAAAAGACTGGCGAGGTCCTATCCGCCCTAGGAAAGGGCAGTTCCATCAACACGTTCCTCGAGCAGGTGACCTTTTCAGTGGTGCCCATGCTCATCGATTTGGCCGTTGCCATTGCCTATTTCCTCGTCAGATTCGATGCTTACTACGCCCTGGTTATTGCCATCATCACCTTCTGGTACATCTATCTGACCATTCGCATGGCGCAGTGGCGCGCTGAGATCCGTCGAGAAATGGTCAATGCCGATAGAGAAGAAGATGCAGTCAAGTAAGTGATCATCTGTAGGTTTCACCATTTAGCTAACCTTTGCAGAAACGACTCCATGGTCTCATATGAGACGGTCAAGTATTTCAACGCCGAAGCGTACGAATTCAACCGCTACCGTGAAGCTGTTAGGAAGTATCAGAACGCTGAGTACAAGGTCATGTTATCGCTGAACATCATGAACATCACACAGAACATGGTTTTCATGATCGGACTACTCGTCACATGCTTCATTGCAGCATACCAAGTTGCGGCCGGAATTCTCGAGGTCGGCAGATTTGTGTCGCTTCTCACGTATATGAGCCAACTGCAAAGCCCTCTCAACTTCTTTGGTACCTTTTACCGGATGATCCAGTCTGCCATGATCAACTCTGAGCGCATGCTTGAGCTGTTCAAAGAGCAGCCCACTGTGGTCGACAAGGAGGATGCCCAACCTTTGGCCTCGTGTGAGGGTAATCTTCGCTTCCAGGATGTACACTTTGCCTACGATCAGCGCAAGCCAGCGCTGACAGGCCTCGACTTTTACTGCGAGCCAGGCACGACTACTGCTTTTGTTGGTGAATCTGGTGGAGGTAAATCGACCGTCTTCCGTCTACTCTACCGATTCTACAACACCATGTCTGGTAGCATCCAGGTTGATGGACATGATGTTGAAGATCTTACCATCGACTCGGTGCGCAGCCACATTGGCGTTGTGCCTCAAGACACTGTGCTCTTCAATGAGACACTCATGTATAATCTCAAGTATGCAAACCCAGAGGCAACCGACGAACAGGTGCACGAGGCGTGTAGAGCTGCCAGCATCCACGACAAGATTATGACGTTTCCGGACAAGTATGAGACCAAGGTTGGTGATCGCGGCCTGCGACTTTCCGGAGGTGAGAAGCAGCGTGTCGCTATTGCCCGCACGATTCTGAAGAACCCTCGTATCATCATGCTTGACGAAGCTACTGCCGCTCTCGACACCGAGACGGAGCAACACATCCAGGAAGCATTCACGACATTGGCCAAGGGCCGCACTATGCTCATCATCGCTCATCGTCTTAGTACCATCACCCATGCTGACCAGATTCTCGTCTTGCATAAGGGCAAGGTTCAGGAGCGGGGAACGCATGAAGAGCTACTTGATCGCAACGGCCACTACGCCGCCATGTGGAAGAAGCAAATCCGCGCTCAGAGAGCTGCTGAGCAAGCTCAATACCTTAAAGACAAGGCTGATAGACTGCGCCGGGAGTCCAAGGATGGAACCATTGGCTTCGAAGACGGAAGCAGCAGCCACTCAAGTTCTGATGACGAGAATGCGAAGAAGATTCGCTCTATAAGTCAGAACGCGTCGAATCAAGAGGAAACGTCAGGTAAACCGCATGGCCATCCTTAGTCTGGCAGGCCGTTGTTTTTCCGAGTTTAGTTGCAGCTTGAAAGCAACCCTCATTCACCATAGCAATTTTGCAGGAACTATCCGGACGTAAAGATGGCCAGTTTTCGGTCTCTAGAGCACTCTTTTATGAGTTGCGCTGTTGCAGCTACCTTCGGACCCGGACTAGTCACCTACCTACCACACTCCTTCTAAAACCGAAGCCCTAAACCTCCGTCCAATCCAAAAATCACTTTTGTATTTCCCTGGAACCACCTTTCCACTTTTCGTACCGGAGTTGATTGAGAAAGAGATCGTAATAATTGGCTGTTTCTGTATTGTCACAATATACGCATGGATGATGGGAATGAAGTGTTAGTTGGGTAAGGATGGGGCGGTGTTTTGTCGTTTTATACCAAAGACAGGACGTGGGTCATGGACGGATTACACAAACAAAGCAACCCTCAAGGGTTTTCGCGACGACAGGGCGCATTGTCGTGTCGCGGTGGCGTATGAGAAATGATTTTACGGATAGCGTGGGCTGATGTTGCGTTTTTGTCCATTTGTTTTTATCATGCACCTAAAAAATATTATACGTGACATAGAGGTATCGAAAATGTACATGTTTGAATTAAGATTGCTGGCCTCGACTTGTCCTTGGCGCTACATCATGGTTCTGATATGATTAACCATCTAACACTAGATGTTTATGTCACTATCTGCCTCGTGAGCATTCAATCCGGGATCATTCAAAGATAGGCTTCACCACGGATAGGGGCTGTTTGTGTGATATCGTTGTCTCATACTCTATGCATTACTGTATCGTATGTCTGCTTTGAGCGCAAATTTGGTTAGCTGCTCATGCCAGTCTAGAAGGCTCGTCCGAGCTGTGGTATGTGATGCTACTCCTCCATCTCCACGTCGTCACCACTAGACGCGTTGCCATTTTGCCGTGAGTTGGACTTGGGTACTGAGGCTTCCTTGTCGATCATCTGCCGTGAGACAGAGACGATGTTGTCTTCGATCAGCTGCTGGCCGACGTCCGAGATGTCTGTGATGGGTCGTTAGCATTGTCTTGGCGTACTCTGTATATCTCAACATACGCTTCTTTGGATCGACCTTTCCGACGTATCGTGTCTTCAATTGATCCTTGGTCAACTCAGTTTCCTCCTTGACACGCTTCTCGTAGCCGTCTGCCATAGTGACGAGCTTCTGCAGCTTGTCGGTATTCCGCTCGCCCTCGCCCTTGAAGTCGTCCATGAGCAAAGCCTCTGTCCATACATGCTTGTGAAGGTTCATCAGCATGTTCTCCTCCAACGCAGTCTTTCGGTAGTTGATGCCGATAGAGTAGTAGTGGCGGTTCAGGCCATGGATAAGCGCCTGGATCGATGGCTTGTTGAGGTGGCCGACGTTAGAGGTGGTCTGGCGGGGCTCGTGGCCCATCATGAGAGCCTGGGGGTTGATGAGGCGGAAAGCATCGATGACGACCTTGCCCTTGACCGACTGGATGGGGTCAACGACGACGGCGACGGCGCGAGGTGTGAGCTGCTCGAATGACTGCTGTGTGTTGATATCGACCGATGACAGCCAGCAGCCGAAACCCGGATGTGAGTGGTACCAGCCAACGACGGTCTCTTGCCTGTGTTTGTCAGCACTGGATGTTTATAATGGGAGCGGTGGCGGCGGCGGCTTCAAGAGTCCCACGGGTAAATACACACCTTCCTGTTTGTCTCAGCATGTCCATCATCTTGGTTTGAAAGACGGGGTCTACAGCCTCGACAGAGACACCGGTTCCTGACTGCGGCATAGCGAAGACATCCACCACCCGTACTGTGTAATCGTCGACAAACTCGCCCAGCATCAGACCCATGACTTCCATGGGCACACCGGCCCGACCGTGGCGCAGCATCTTGAGCAGTGCCAGCGATGAGATGTAGACGGTTTCCGAGTTGTCGATCAGGTTGGTGTCGCCTTGGGGTCCTCCCATACCGCCCATGCCACCTTGGGCGGCGGCAAGCATTCTGGTTAACCGATCCATGGTGGTGTGTTGGCGATGGCGCTGTAGGTTTTGCGAGTGCGGTATTTGGAGAGTAGTCGAGCGTGTTGGCGGGCTGGGCGGAGCAAGTGTTTGGGTAGGCGGCGGTGATGATGAAGCTGTTGATGCTCGAGCTCTCTCACGTAACTGCGCGACTGCCAGATGCGGCGATTCGGTTGTTCCGGAACCGGGGCTAGGCAGGGGTGCCCTGTCGCAGCTCGATCCATGGATGCTCAATGGCGCGCGAGCGTCTTTGTTAGAGCTCCCGCCATCTCTCCTACAGACCCCTCCACCTTTCCTTGATCGCTGACACTCGAGCACTGCGTATATCCGAACTCGCCCTTCTCTGTTACATCCCGTCCAAAATCATCTGCGGCCCCCAAAGCATCATCACCGCAATCCCCCACAGTCGCATAGCTGTGCGCAGCCGACAAAGATATGGCTACCACCGACATGGCGCCCACGACGGGCTCCGCTTCTTTGAACAACGGCGTCGCGTCGCAACCAAAAAAGGTCGCCTACTTCTACGACTCCGACGTCGGCAACTATGCCTATGTAGCAGGACATCCCATGAAGCCCCACCGCATACGCATGGCGCATAGCTTGATCATGAACTATGGCCTGTACACCAAGATGGAGATTTACGTAGGCAGAACCCTGATTGAGGCCCGCATCCATCTCTGCTAACACACAGCAGCGCGCCAAACCAGCCTCCAAATACGAAATGACGCAGTTCCACACAGATGAATACATAGAGTTTTTGCACAAGGTCACACCCGACAACATGGAAAGCTTCACGCGTGAACAGAGCAAGTACAATGTTGGTGACGACTGCCCAGTCTTTGACGGTCTTTTTGAGTTCTGCGGCATCAGCGCTGGTGGAACTATGGAGGGTGCTGCACGCTTGAACCGAGGAAAGTGCGATGTCGCTGTCAACTGGGCCGGAGGACTGCATCACGCAAAGAAGAGCGAGGCTAGTGGTTTCTGCTATGTCAACGACATCGTCTTGGGCATCATTGAGCTACTTAGATACAAGCAGCGCGTGCTGTACATTGACATTGACGTTCACCACGGTGACGGTGTCGAGGAAGCCTTTTACACGACCGATCGCGTCATGACAGTCTCCTTCCACAAGTATGGCGAGTACTTCCCAGGTACCGGCGAACTACGCGACATTGGTGTCGGCAGCGGCAAAAACTACTCGGTCAACTTTCCTCTTCGCGACGGCATCACCGATGACACATATCGCAACATCTTCGAGCCTGTCATCGAGGCTGTTATGACATACTATGGGCCAGAGGCTATCGTCCTGCAGTGCGGTGGTGACAGTCTTTCGGGTGACAGACTTGGCTGCTTCAACTTGAGCATGGACGGCCATGCCAACTGTGTCAAGTACGTCAAGAGCTTTGGCGTCCCAGTCATCGTACTTGGAGGTGGTGGCTACACCATGAGAAACGTAGCGCGAACCTGGGCCTACGAAACAGGAGAGCTCGTCTCGACCAAAATGTCCAAGCAGCTGCCTTTCAACGACTATTACGAATATTTCGCTCCCGACTACGAACTCGACGTCCGGCCGTCAAACATGGAAAACGCAAACTCTCACGACTACCTGCATAAGATTAAATCAGCCGTCATCGAGAACATCCGAAGAACCGGAAGGCCGTCGGTTGAAGCTTTTACCACTATACCCGATGTACCCACGTCGCTGCTACGCGCGGCTGACTCAGACGCTGAAGATGAAGACGATGACATTGATGCCGATGAAAACAAAGACGTACGAATGACACAGCGCCAGCGCGACAAGCAGGTAGAGCACGATGGCGAGCTATACGACGCAAGCGATGACGAGGATTATAAAAACAGTCTTGGAGTGCGTGCTCAACCTGGTACCAAGAAGAAGCGGAACATCACCGACTTCCCTAATCCCAACGCTGCTCCGGCGGACGATCTGGACGGCATGGAAGAGATCAATGGTGAAAGCGCCGTATCAACACGTCAAGCATCCGCAGCCGCCAAGTCGCGCACGCAAACTCCCGCTACTGGCGAGCAAGAAGCAGATGATGATGGTGACATTGACATGGATGCACCGCCTGCTGTACCTGCTCCTGCTGATAACCCGAACCAGTCTCAGTCGCCCACAGGAGGTGTCGTGACCCCACCTGAATCCCCACCCACCGCACCGACAGCGATGGCACCCACATCTGCCCCGACGGCAGATGTCGAGATGGAAGACAATGCAGACAAGGAGGAAATTGCTGCAGCTAAGGAAGAGGGTGAAACAGAACGCGATTCTGAGAACGTCAAGGGCGAAGTCCGGACCCAGGTTGCAAAAGATTAGCCACTTCATCGCGGTGTTTTAGTGCATTTGGGAGGCGTTTGTTCTTCAGTCGCACTGTTCATGGGTAAATTCTTTCTGACGGGTAGCGGGCAGGTGTTTTGGTGTGATGGGAAATGGCTTGGGTCGCTCTAGCTAAGGATACCTTTTGGATTTTCTTCTCTGTTATTTTGATGCGAAGTTCTCATCATCCGTCTACCATTTCAAGCTCCACTGGCTAGAAAGATTATGGACAACCAAGCAACAATCAACTTTACATCTCAAAGTCCTTTCTATTCCTTTCTGCCCTCTGCCTTGCTTCTTAGCATCTCAACAATAATCTTCCCAAGCCACGACATCCCACACAGGCTTGTTTCCCACTTTCTTCCCCCTTTCTTTGCCTTTCCCGCTCACTTCACATGCGCCCACCATATCCTCGTCGCCATCTAACAACCCTCCGATAACACGCTCAGCGATGGCACATAAGTTACTGACTAGGCATTTCCGATGACCCATGGTACCAATTGTCTGGATCAGCACACGGATGCGCGGCCTGGACGATGCTGATGCAGATGCAGATGCGGGTGCAGACGACGAGGCGGTCTCGTGGACGACTAAAGCAATCTTGTGTGCCATACTTACTCCTCCTTCAGGGCTGACGACCGGTACGTCGACGATGGGTACGCTGACGGTGAGGGGATTGATGTGGGGATCGTTGAGGTAGTAGCGTGAGAGGAAGGCGAGGTGCTTGGCTGTCTCGTTCATGATATCTTTAGAGATGTCGTGCTGGGCCAATTGGACATTGAGTTCTGAGAAGATGCGCATACGGACCGGGTCGATGGGTTGAGCCATCCTTGAAATTTGATATTGTTTTAGGACGATCAGATGGGAGGGTGACTAAAGTGACGTTAAAGACAACGGGGAGACTTTATTGGAAGGTTGCCTGTTCCTTCTCGGCCCTGTGTTATTGCCATATTGTAGAGACTGGCAAACTGTGTCGTTGCTGTGAAAGAACTGACCGGTGCATGCGTGATACAAGCTGCGTCAATTGCCAAGTTTGCTATGAGAAGGCCTCGGTCTATGTACAAGACACTCAGTTGAAAAACTGCTTCTTCGAGCCCTGGAGTTTTCCTCTATAGTTGATTGTCTACGTACGCAGAATCATTGTCCCATGATTGTATTCTGAGATCAAAGCACCAAAGCCATCTCATCCAGATCAATATCCAATCCCGAACTCAGCTGCGGAATCTGTTTGTAGTCACTTTCATCCAACGTTCTCCTTATGAACTTGAGTGTCTGTGTGCCAGTCAGTCAAACCATGATCGGTCAAAAACATTGTGCTTAGTACTCACCTCAGCATAACTTGGACTTTGATCGCTCTTCATCATTTCCAAGAACGCCCATGTCATTGCACCTGTCGGCTCTCCTTGGATGCGCGCATCCGCACTCGTTTGATCGTCTCTACAGCCAGAGAACATTGTGACCATCTTCCGTTCGCTCCCGTACTGTCCCGCGAATTCTCCGCTTTCCAGGCCTTCCTCCTCTTCTTCTCCGAAATGTTTCAGACCCTTAAAGAAGCTGCTGGCACCTGCAAGCAACTCCTTCGCCTCGCCGACTTTACTATAGGAGAAGCCACCGGAGATGATATCGCGAGCTTCGTCGGCGAGCCTAAGCCCAGCTTTCAGGTTGTCCATCAAATTAATCTGCCCGTCGCTATCGGAGCGATAGACATAAGGTAGTTCGAGTGCGCTACCAGAGTGGCAACAGTCCATGACGACGAAGAGAGTGCAGTCACGGGCCATATAGGTAACAAGATGCTCATGGAGAATGGTACTGGAGATCTGACCCCGCTGTTCGAAATCCACAGGAACGATCGAAGCATCCATACCCGTGGTCCTATTGCCATCTACATCTGCAATTTGTCCGCCGTGGCCTGAGTAGTGCAGAAATAGCGTGCAACCAGGTTCAGAGACGAGCCAATCCATGGCTGCGAGGAGGTTGTGGCCTGTAGGGAAGTAGGGTGAGTCGTATGGTACTTCAGGACGATCAGTCAAGATGACACGATCTTTGTGTGAGTTAGTGTAGCCGCGATAAGAAAGGAATTCAGCCATGTTGTCTACATCGGAATGGCAGCCCTTCAGTTCGTGGCTACTACCAACATAGTTGATGCCGATGAGGAGACTCTTCTTGCGTCTGTAGGACATGTTGGGCTGAGATATGATGGTTGAAGGTAAGAGTTGAATTGAAGGATCGAGGGTAAGATTGACGATAGGAGTGGCTGAAAAGTGGCAGAGGTTTGTAGCGTGCTGTCAAGTTGGAGGGGTAGTGAATGATGTGGCTGATCACTGCCCAATCAATCCTAGCAGGCCGACGCGTCGCTCCGCCCACGGGCATGCGCGGTTGTCGGGTACAATCGCGTACAATGGAACATGCCTGCATCTTGCTCAAGTCTGGAGGCTTTGGGCTTACATTTGTGCGTCTTTAGCTCGGTGCGGACAGGCCAGAGAATATGACGTCATTCGCCATCGTGAGGACTATTCTATCCTGCGTTCTCGAACGTCGATAGCTGTGGCATATACCGCGTGCCGCCACTACTCCACTCTGAACCGCAATATCAGTCCACCGCCTGCGGAACGACGCAAGACCAGCTCCGATACTGTGACAGCTTCCCAGCAAACAGTGCCTGCAAACACTCCTGCACCTCTTCCACCACACAACGCAAACTTCCTACGTATCTTTTCGTAGAACATTAATGGTATCCTTCCGTTCTTGCAAAAGCCCATAACATCCTTTTTCGAACCCACCAAAGCTATAGACACCACGGATGGGTCCCCAAAACACGCATTACTACCAGCGTCTTTGAGGGCGTTTCTACAACGACACCAATGGCCATCAATACTCTTCCTGCAAGAAGTAAAAATCGCATCTGCGGACGAGCGGACCCAAAATTCTGTCAGAGCAGCCCTGAACTCTTATTTGCCAACAGAATTAGCATATGCCGATGAACGTGGCCCGTTGTATGATGCATACTTTACGCTCCCAACCGACAGATTTAACGCGCGCGGACCCAAAGGTAACGGCAAGATATACGGTGTATGCAGTATCGTCCGTCACGATCTCATGGGTACTTATCATATCGCCATGCGAACAGTAGATTGGGATAAAGAAGGACGCATCCACATTGTAGAAGTCAAGTCGAGGACCAGTGAAGCGAAACTAGCAATTTTCAACATCTGCGCTGTGAACGGAACTGGTAACGCCTATTCTGACCCCTCAACCGGCGACAGAATAGGCACGCGGCACGATAGGAAACGCAAATTTCATACTCTGCTAATGCGAGAATGTAAGGAGCTGGAGACACAAGGATGGGATGTGTTGTTGGCAGGCGATATGAATGTTGCCCTTGATGAGCGTGATGGACATCCCAAGTTACGTATCTTCCCACAGGCACACTTTATCAATCGAGCGGACTTCCATTCTAAGCTGCTGAATGGTAATGGGAAGGGCAAGAATGATGGTTTTGGTGGTGTTGATGTTTGGAGAAAGATGCACGAAGAAGAGCGACGGTATACGTAATTTTCGCGAGGCCGGAAATGGGGAAGTAGTTGTGATAGGGTGGACTACTTTATCGCTGGGAGAAAGGCGTGGGAGAAGGGATGTGTTAAGGCTTGTGGAGCAATGGACAGCGAAAAAGACATGGAGCCAAGTGATCATGTGCCAATTTGGGCGGACTTTGAGCTGAAAACGGAAGACGAGAAGGAAGAAAAGCGATAAGAAAGAATTATGGAGCTGCCAGCGTCTTGCACTCTTGATTGATGACTCCAAGAGTCATTATACGCCTAACGTGTAGCAAAACGATTCCAAAAGCGCCATGTCGTACGCGGCCGCGTTTGCTCCCAGCCACCCATCTACTCTGCCTCCCCAGTATTGGCAAGAAAGAACGGACTCGTCCCCATTCCGTTAAATGCATTGACCTCCCACAACTCAGTGGTTCCATGCAAGACCTCGTAGCGGTTATACGATCCACATCCACTCCCACGATTGACACACTCTGTAGTAATCTGCCCTGCAATACGTTCTCCCACCTCTTGGCCCTCAAACCACGCGCCGTGAAGAAAGCCAAAGTATTCCGCACTCATTGCTTCGCCAGCAAAGTATAGTCTGCCTAGGTTTGCGCGAAGATTTTGATGCATCTCGAGCGTGGTGCCGGCAGGCCAATTGGAGTAGGATCCGTAAGACCATGGCGTTTGCGACCAACGCGGGTAGGTGAAGGCAATCGGTTCTGGGATAGTGGTATTGGGAAACATTTTACGGAGAACGGCCATGCCTTCGGCCTTTGTGGTCTCGTCGTCTTGTGCCTCGACGCGATAAGACTGTTCGTCGACAAGTGTGGCAAAGATGATGTTGGAGTCTGGTAAGAAGCCTTCTGTTGATAAGCTCTGCCAAACAGTGTAGTATCCACGTGTCGTTGGATCGGCGTACAGGAAAAACTGCTTGTCATCTGGCCAGAAGGTTTCGTTGAATTGGAAGAAGAGTTTGGTATATGTGCCGAACGAGAACGTGGCGATGGCGGATTGCTTCCACTCGGGGAGTTTAGGCTCGAATGTGATGGCGTCGTTTTGTAGCACACCAAGTGAGACGGTAGATATGGCGTAGTCAGCCTCTACGCATGAGCCGTCCGATGTAGTGATGTGTACTCCAGTATCTGAGTAGGTGATGTTTGAGACGACAGTGTTGAGAAGGAGGCGTGGATCGTTGGGCTTTAGGAATTTGGACGCTTGATGCTTGAGCCACGTATTGAAACCGCGTTGGTCGGTACAGACTGTCGAAAGCTTGGGTTAGTCTAGATCGTTTTCCACAATTCAATTTCATACAGTTACTAATCTCTGAGAAAGCGTAGTAAGTCAGATTGTATCCTGTGATACCGTAAACGAAGCTCGACTCCTCTGGTGTCTATGGAGCGGACCTATCAGCATGTATAAGGGATGTTTGCTCTTGAATAGTTCTTACTTGGGCAGTCTCCCAGTCCCAGAGATAGTACTCGACAGCCTTGCGTGCGGGGTCGCCCTTCGGTTTCCATCCGCTTTGCCAAAGGCCGGCGCGAAAACTTCTGTCTTGCAAGTTTTCTGATAGTATAGTTCCAGCGCTTTGTTCGAAGATACTCCAGTACTCCTCAAACTCATCTAGTATATCCGTGTAATCTACAGCACCCGTCTCATTATAGGTCGCGATAGAGAAGGCGTCAGAGTTGGGGCTAGAGAGATTGACTTGTTTCGAGAAAGTCCAGACAGGGTTTTCTGGGCCGTCGACGGTATCTTCACCTAATCCGGAAATCCAATTCGCGCCTAGCTCGACGGTGTAAGGGTTGCCGCTAGGATCAGAGCCAAATTTGGTGTTTCGCATGCGGCCACCAATGTGATCTTGATACTCCAGAATCAGGAAGTCAGTAACAGACTGGTTGGCAAGTGCTTGCTGGAAATCGTTAGTATATGGATAAAGAAGCATGTCTAAAGTAATTGTGGGACGGGCCGATCCATCCGGCCGCTGTTCAGTCTTGCCGGCGTCTTCCTGTGCAGAACAAATGTTCATGTAGACTTACTGCCGCTGTGATACCAGCAACACCGCCACCTCTACGCACGGTCAGCCAATTGGACTCTACTGTATAAGTAGAGCATACATGATGGCGACAGTGGTCTTCCTGCACGTGCTGTTGTTGTCTCGCCCAAGAGTTGCAAACATAGCAAAGGTTAGTCTTGGCACAAGACCAGCGGTCATGAGTAACGCTCTTGCCAGCCTCATGGTGGATAAACTCCAAAGAATGGTTCGGATGAACGTAAAGCTTCTTCAAGACTGACGCACCCCGACAGGTACTTATTGCTTGATCCGATAGTGCTTGCTAGGGTACATATCTCGAGTGTAGTCCTGTCTAGTTTAGCCTCCGTTACCTTCCCCCGCATTAGTTCCACAAGAAGAACCGGGGATGGTAATTGTACTCGAGGTGCAGTAGTACCGGCGAGTTGCATCTTGCGGATGTCGATGATTCGATGTTGATGCGTCACTAAGCAAATACGGACCTGCCTAATAGAGTCATAGCCTGTGGAAAAACCAAGTAGGGCATTGGTATACCAAATGCTAAACGCAGGAACAGAGAGGACTAATCTGCAGCTGGATGGAAAGAGCATGGTGTGCAAGGTCGGGCAAGCGCCGAAGCAAGCCAGATGATTGGTAAACGCCGGAGGTGATAAGAGCGCCGCGTGTACTTGCTGGATGCGTAAGGTGACGTCGCCATGGGTCGTCTGTGCTCGTCGGCGACACCGCAGTGCTTCTGCCGTGGTGCAAGATGAAGTTGTAGCTCCGTCAGAGATAACGCGTCGTTGCAGCATTGACGTACTGATGTTAGCTCGGCGAGGCTGGACCCGAAGTTGCACCGCGTGAACTGGAGGAAGTTATGGCTTCGGAGGGTTGCGATGGTACCATCACCATCACTACGCGTGTCTGTTGCGCATGCGCGAACGTTCGGTTACAACTCAAAGATGGTGAGCAAGTTGAGCTGGTCTAATTACGTGAGGGCTCCAAGACACGGGAAAGGCGCAAGTTTTTTTCGGGACGGCACAATAGCGGGGTTCTTGATCATGTCCCCCTTCGCTCTTCGCTTCCATTGACACTCAATTCACCTCTTCATACCCAATTCTCATTTCCTAGAACGCGTCGTTGTCTCCTTACAAGTACGGTAATATAGCCAGGATGCATCCGAGTAGCAGAAAGCCCGATCAAGGTAACGTCAGATAGCACAGCGCATGAGACCGGTGTTCGCTCGTCAACGTCTTTGTTGGCGGCGATCTGAGATATACGGTCTGAACTTGATCAGGTTAAAGCCTGCGAAAGGACTCATGCTTTGCTTCGCTCGCTCCGAGGCTGCTACTAATGGCTGTAGGTCGCCGTCGTCATGGAACCCAACACGAACCCGCCTAATGACATGAGATCTGTATTTGCGCCGCATGCGAGCAACGAGCCCCGACTGCCTGTCAGCGCACGCGATACTGAGAATGAAGACCTGGCGCAAAAGAGCAAGTGGCAGGACATGTGGAAGTCCTTTGAGAGACAGCTTGTCGCGTACAACCTTGAGGCGCGTGGCATAGAACGCGTCGAGCCAGAGGAGCGACAGGACTTGCGTCTGCTTGGCTACTCCCAAGTGGCTATCATGTGGTTCAGCGTCAATCTTGCGGCGAACAACATCACGCTGGGCATGCTCGGTCCTGCTGTCTTTGCCCTTGGTTTCCTCGATGCTTGTTTGCTCGGCGTTTTCGGCGCATTCGTTGGCTGTCTAGTGGTGGCTTACATCGCGACGTTTGGCCCAAAGGGTGGAAATCGGACTATGATCTTCTCACGATACATCACGGGCTGGTGGCCATCCAAGGTCGTTGTCTTGCTCAACATCATCGTCCTGCTCGGCTACGGTAAGACATGTCCCTGTACCAGCTGCATGTGAGACATGTATTGACGTGGTACACGCACCTTTAGGCATGATCGACTGTGTAGTCGCCGGACAGATTCTTTCCGCTGTCTCGGACAATTCCATGTCCGTTGTCGTCGGTATCATTATTGTGGCCATCATCGCGTGGGCTATCACTACCTTTGGCTACCAGATCTTTCACTACTATGAGCGCTGGGCTTGGCTACCGCAACTGATTGTGCTCTGCATCCTAGCTGGCCTTGCTGGTCCGCAATTTAACATCTCCTCGGAGTCTCACGGAGATGAAGACCCAGACACTATTATTGGCAATCGCATCAGCTTCTTCGGCTTGACGCTCGCCGCGGCTATCACATACGGTGGCGGAGCAGCCGACTACTTCGTCTACTACCCGGAACACGCATCGTCATTCAAAATATTTGGTATGACCATGCTAGGCCTAATGTGCAGTTTTACCTTCGCCTTCATCTTGGGTATCGGCCTCGCATGCGGTATGCTGACCAACACGGACTGGGAAGCAGCGTATGGAATATCGCAAGGTGCTCTCATAGTCGAAGCGTACAAACCGCTAGGCGCATTCGGTTCCTTCTGCGGCGTGGTGGTTGCCTTGGGTCTTGTCGCCAACCTCATCGTCCCTACATACTCTTCCGGGATTGATGCGCAGATACTAGGACGCTATGCGGGTGCTGTACCAAGAGTAATCTGGAATACCGTTGGTGTAGTCATCTATACGGTCTGCGCATTAGCCGGACGCGCACATCTTGCTGAAATTTTCACCAACTTTCTAGCTCTCATGGGCTATTGGGTCTCTGTCTGGATCGCGGTCATCCTGGAAGAGCACTTGGTCTTCCGTCGCAAGACCGGCTTCAACTGGCAAGTCTGGAACCAGAAGAAAAAGCTACCACTCGGTATCGCCGCTTTTACAGCGTTCGTTATTGGTTGGATCGGCGCAATCATGTGTATGGCTCAGGTTTGGTACATTGGACCAATCGCTAAGCAGGTTGGAACTTACGGAGCCGATGTAAGTAAAAGCTGAGATCTTGAGCCACTTGTAACTGACGTAATCAGATGGGCAACTTTGTCGGTTTCGCATGGGCTGCAGTTGTCTATCCTCCTTTGAGAGTATGGGAATTGAAGCGATTTGGCCGGTGATCAAGAAGATTCTTGAACACCCTATGAACATCACTGCCATCAGGACAGCGTGTTTGAATCTCATCCGCACCTGATGGCCTTCCGGAATTTTTGCTGCACAAGTCAAATATGGCGGTTCCTCGTCATTCGTTCGTACCATTTCCGATCTGTGATGCGATTGGTAGTCAGAGTAGATCTCAAACACTGGCCACAGGTTTAGGCTTAAGCATGTGCAGATGGTAAGTATGGCTCTGAGGTTGAGCCTGGAATACAATTGTGCAAATCGTCGAGCTATCGCAGTGATTCATTTCAGCTGTCACGTCCGCAATCTTTCACTGTTCATACTATCAAGTCATGTTCATAGACCGATCATGCTCTCGTCTTGTCGTGGTTAGAACAGCCATATGCGATGTTTTCAGTCTGAGTTTCCGCATGGTGCATGGTATATACACGGATGTGTAGGATAGTTCGCTACTAATGACGACGCTACCGTTGTCTTCTCACTGGACTTACATGATGTCATCGTCGAAGCCGCCTTCATTCTATCTATAGTTGCCGTCCAGTGTACCTTGTTGACAACACCGGAAAGAGCTGATGAAGTTGCTGGGAAGTAGCGTTGACGGAATTAGAGATTATGCAGTCACGATACGTTCGTTTGAAGAACACGGTTGTACAGTGAACCGCGCTTAAGAAGAATACGAAGAAGAAGGAGCCTGTTGGAGGATCGAACTAAACTCTGAGTGATGAACCAAAGGAAGACTGATACCCAGGCATGACCCCAGGAAGCCATCAGCACAAGGAACAAGTTTACTAAGCATGCGGTCGGATTTTTATAGAGAAACCTCAACTTGGAGTATACCATGCGTATCCTTTGTAAGTCGTACCTGACTTTCATATAGCCTGGAGGCATGCGAGGTAGTTCAAGTCAAGACACTAACAAGACAAAACAGCTCGTATACTCTAGGGCATGCTCTGCCCATGCGAACGACTTCTCAAACTACCTGCACCTCCGTCTACCATCTACGATTCTGATTCTCGTTATTCCACCCATCATGTGTTGCATGCTCCTGCATGGACTTCACGTTCCAGTATCTAGGTTCGCTCGACGGTATGTTGTTGCCGCGCGTCCACCGCTCCTGCCCCCAAGAGTTGATCTCACGTTTGGCGCTACAGTGACTGCGATTTCTCTCACCTCAACCGGGCACAATTATAAAAGCTGTCCACTCACAAGATCGTCTCTTTCCCTCCTTCGTGACACAACCATGATTCACGATCTCATCGACCTTGACGGCGACAGTGCCTCTCTAAAGAGCACTACTAACGGCCTCGTCGGCAAGATGACGCTTACAAACAAGGGCGTAGAGTCAACTCATCGTGACAGCTTCTCCGACCTTGCAAGTATGATGAGGGCTAAGAAGCTGTATACACCGATTTCGACGCCTGCGCCACCTCCGCAGCCGCTCACTGTCGCGCCCAATGGTAGGTGCTTTAACAGCGTATCGTTCTGACCTTTAGCTAAAGCCATACAGGCCCTCGTTTTGCCAGTCGTGTCCAGTCTGGCACCAGCATTTTTTCTCCGTTGGCAAGGTCGTTTCAGCCTACCGAATCCGTCGCTTCGTTCCTCCAGGAACAAGAGCTCGCGGCACCACCACTTGTCGCCTCCGGGCCGATCTCAGAGTACCGTCCAGAGAACATGAGACACTTAGAAGCTTTGGCCGAGGCAATTATCAGCTACAAAAGCGACGACGATAGCAAATGCCATCATCATCGTTGTAGGCGTTCACCATCACCACTATGCAAGCAGCCGCTCCTCATCTCAGGCCTTGAGCTACCGGCAGGTGTGGGACCCACCCATCCACCCACCCCCACTGAATCGCTCCAGTACTCATCATCAGGCTTTCGATCCGATCAAGAAGCCGTTGTACGGGTGACTAAGCAGAACTGGGAGTCCTTGGGCAAAGAGCTTAACACGATCAAGAAGCAGAAGCTGGAGCTAGAGAGTCAACTTTCGACCCTCGAAACAAACAACGCAGTCCTTCGAGACGTTGATCACGATATTAGCGTGCGGCTCGGCAAACTCAAATACCAGAACGAAGCTAACAAGGCTCAGAAGGCAGCAATGGGTCGATCATTGTCTGAGAGAGAGATGAAGATCAAGACCCAACAGCTTGAGATTGACGAGTTGGAAGGACATGTGAAGACGACAGAGAACGCTCTTTCCGCAAAAGACCACGAGCTGGAGAACCTCAGGCAGAAAATGAAAGAGAGTGAACGTACCATCGACCGGGTGACTCGCGAACGGGACGAGGCATCCCGCGCTCTGGCGAACTCCGCTGATCACCTCGAACGAGCCCGCAAACTAGCCGACACTCTGACTCAGCGAGAGAAGCTCATAACCGATCTACGCTACCAGGTCATGGCTGAACAGCTCAAGGTCGCTGGGTTAGAAGATGATCTTGAGGCCGCCCAGGCAAAGAGCAATCAAGCCGATATCGATGGTATCAAGAGCAAGCTTATTGAGAAAACCAGTACTTGCGATCGCCAGCGGAACCAGCTCAAAATGATTGAGGCACAACTCAGCCAGAGCCAAAGTCGTTTGATAAGATCACCAACCATGGCGAGTCTCTCCGTGGCGCTGCGCACGTAGTCAAACCTTCTGGGACCAGCAAACTCCCCAAGTTAGTGATCTCGTGCGTTGAGTGTTACAACAAGAATCTGCCGTGCGACAACGGTGCCAAGTGCCGCAACTGCGTCGAGAACAACACTCAGTGCGCACGCTGGAGGTGCTCTCTGAAGCACAAGTACGGCGAATGCCCTCTCACGCCCTGCCCTCTTTCACACGATTCCCAAGGCTGGCTCGTCCTGCGAACAGAGCGTCCCGAGTGGTAAGGGGCTCAAGCTGCTGGCGAACTGATTGGACAAAGTATCATCGCGGCCACCCATAAATATTCTTCTGACGCTAGGGCTGGGTTTCTAGGTAAATATGAGTCAGGAGTTTCACGGTCATGAGCAACTGAGTGCTGACAGTGATCAGGTCAAATAACATATGAAAGTAGTTCATCCATATGAGACCGTAGGATAGGATCAATTTTACGAAGTTTTAAGCTTCAGATAAAGTGAGATAATATACTCACAATATCATGATTGGCGTTCTTGCCATTTAATCATGCGTATATCATGATATGAGCGTACTGTTCATCGTCTCAGTTACAACATGTACTTTCATCTGACGTGCTACACCTGTTCCTCTTGTGACGTGAAGTATCTCTCTTTTCTCTTCACTTCATCTAGCGCATTCACTTGAAACTTGATCTAGCCTGTCCCGACAGTTGCTTCGTACTCGCTGACTAGTTGAATGGGTGTCTTAGATTCATTTCCCTATCACCGAGATGGTGATCACCAGTTTTGTGTTGAGAAGAGAATTATAGCTCATCTGAAGGCTCTTGACCCATATTGTCCAGATGGAAGTGTGGTCAGTCAGACTGGGTACTCGTGTAGATTGCGCTGAGATTGGTGGGATTTCTACTAGTGAATGGTCGTAAGTATGCTCACATATGCCTGATGATGGTTTAGAGATTCATCAGTGAGCCGTAGGGCATGTTGGTAAGCATATTATCTAAGACGGTACGAATGTGCGTGCGTTGAACAAACAATTGTTGGGTCTAGTAAATCCAGGCCTTAGTGGTATAGGCTTCTCCAGCTACATGGTCACTGAGATAAGCTCTGGTCGAATAGAACATTGCAACGGTAGACCACACGGCCGGAATAGAGATGGAACCCACGGTTCTACTATCAATCGAAGAGGTAGGGAATGGATTGTAAAAGTCAATAGATTTTGCATCAGCTTGTTGTATGCATGCAGGAACTGGGCGCAGGATATGTGTAGGTGAAAGTTTCAGTATGATTACTATAATACAAAGGCTCGTTGACAGCCTGTTTTCATTACCATGCACAGAAATTCCCAGCTTTGCTCACCGCAAAGCAAACCAAACAAGTAATCAATCAATCAAGCACGTATATACTATCATCACTCTCATCGCCTGCTCCAACAACCTGTTTATTACCAAGAGACAGCCGTTTCTAACGACTTCCTCTCCTTTCTGGCGTAGGCCCAGGTACCATGACTTTGAAAGGCATCTCCCGACCCGCAGCACCTCCCGCGCTCACCGGCGCATACGGACTGAAGTGCTGCCCTTGTGGCTGTTGAGGTTGTTGCTGAGATGGAGCAGGTGCCAGCACCTGCTGTCCATTCTGCCCTGTAGCAGTAGTTCTCGGTAAGGACTGACCACTGCTCTTTGGCCTTCCACCTGCTGGACTTTGAGGTCCGTACGGGCTAGGGTATGTGGGCATGCCCATGGGTGCGGGAGCAAGCTGACGGGGGCCAGCTCCAAATGGTCCACCCGCGGAGCTCGGAGGCTGAGTAAGGGGAATACTTGAATGAGGATGGGGCGGATGATGGGCATATGGACTTGGGAAAGAGCCGGTTGGTAACGCCGCAAGTGGCGAATATTGCATCATCATGTGGTGCGCTGGTGGCGGTGGGGGTGGCCCACTGACATACATGTAATGACCCGGTGGGCCAGGAGGACCTTGAGTGTACTGAAGGTATGCTTCTGGAGGGGCATGATGAGGGCTGTGTTGTGGAGGAGCATGTTGAGGATGGTGGATTGGAGATGCTTGTTGCGACTCTGAAGCCTGTGGTTGGGACGTCGCGCCAGTTGCCGAGCCTCCAGACTGCCGCGCACCCCTCCGGTTTGATGAACTCGAGCGCGAGGGAGTGGGCTTAGCAGGCTTTCCATCTTTTTCGTCTTGTTCACGCTTCTTCGCCTTGCGTTCAGCCCACCACATCGTCATAGACTGGCTTCGCTTCTCACTCTTCACACGCGGTTTTCGTCTCGAACCTGAAGTCGGGGATGACTCGTCGACATAGTTATTCGTGTATTGGCTCAGCGGTGCAGTGAGCATATATGCATCAGGCGTACTAGACTCACTTGGATGCACAAGCGGCACCTCTTGAGGTGGCGCGGTGTGCTGTGATGTGCCTTGGGAAACCGTCTCAGCAGAGTTCGGTGCCATCAAGGGTATGCCATCCGGGAAAGGCTGGGCATCAATGGTAAACTGACCTTGACCTTCACTCATTGAGTTCAGCGCGGGCGGCGGAGCGTTCAGACCATGTGCTGAAGGAACCGGGGTTCCGGATTCGCTCGTCTTCTTTCGTGGACCCTTTTTCACTCCATAGTCGCTACGCCGAGCTACATTCTTACTACCAGCTGGACGTCCGCGCTTGGGGTTTGCGTCGGTGTATTCGTCGACATCCATTGCTGAGGACTCCTCATCTCCGGAACTGCCAATAACCGACTCTTCCCGCATCTCTTGGATGCGTTGATGGAGTAAATTACTAGCCGTTGTTCGTGCTCGCTTCGTGCCTCTTCCTTCTGGTTCTGGTGTCTCGGAGGTTGGTTTTGCAAATCGGCTGACCCCCTTCTTGCGTGCACCGCCCCATCCGTTGTGTTTCTTGGGGGTATTGGCTCCAGTCCCGGTATCAGTGCCATCGAACTTGCGAGTGGCCCTTCGTTGCCGCTTTGATGGCCGACCTTCTTCGTCTTCTTCGCCTTCGTCTTCGCTAGGAGCTGCTGATTCTAGCATGTCACGTGTGCGACGTGTACGTAGCTCTCTCCGCCCACCTTTCTCTGCACCTGGTCGCTGTGCCCAAGGATCCTGGCAGCCTGGAGGCTTCTTCGGATCGTAGACATAGCCATATAGATCGGCCTCCTTCATGTCTTCAAAAATCTCCGGGGCCAGAGGAATACGCCCACCATTACAGGCTTTCTTGGCTGGATGCATGTGAGGTGCGGTCTGGAACTATTAGTGGGTGAGAGTAGAGGAATGACAGTGACTTACTCTTGCATCTAACATGAGGTATTCATCTTGCCACGCTTTGAGAATTTGTTGCGCATTTTGCGTCAGTGCATATAAATTCTCAGTACTTCGTTGCGCCGCCGGAAACTTCGTCAGAGCTGCAATAGCAGCTTGTACATCAGCCATCGGCTTGAAGCGCTTCTGCAAGAGGTAGTCTGCTCTATCTTCGCACTCGGCCTCGATTGGAGAAGGTGCATCTTCAACAAAAGGATCGGGCAGATCCGACTCGGAGAGGACGTCTTCTTCAGGATCCAGCAGTTTTGGAACCGCAGACTCTGCAGGTGTTGAAGCGGATTCCCGTGGCGTCTGCGAAGCCGAGTCCGGCAGAGCAATCTTGGGAACCGCAAGTTTGCCCGATCTCTTGGGCGTAGGCTCAGATCTGGACTCAGGCGCTAGGACAGATGTGTGGGCGTCGTCGTCGAAAGAGTCCTGGCCAGGTGGCGCAGAACCTTGTGGCGTCCTTGATGGTTTATGTATGACGTCTATGCGATCAAACTCAGCCTCGCTATCGTCATCTTCAATTGCTTCTTCGTTTTCATCCTCGGAACTTTGCGCAGAGTTAAGGTTGTGTAGTCGCATGGTTTGCTTGGCATTGCCGTTGGGTGTGCTCTGATTGGATGGTTGATCATCATCATCTTCTGTAAATGGAAAAATGGCAGCAGGATTACGAGCAGCTTTTGAGGCGGATGCGGTCGCTTTCGTGATTCCTCCTCTCCCACCCCTTCCACCCCGGCTACCTCTGCCGCCGCGACTGCCTCGGCCGCGTCCACCACGTGAGCCTCGACCACCGCGTCCACGGCCGCCTCTTGGCGCTGGCTGAGGTGCAACAGGCACTTCAACTTCACTTTCTTCCGCACTCTCTTCTTCGGAGTCAGATTCGTCTTCTGGGCTAAGCGATCGCTCCATCAGAGATCCCACGAGCGATTTGCGCTCTTTGGGAAGTTTTCCGTGATGCTTCTTGAGACCATCGAAGAACTCGGGAGAGAGGCCGAAGACCATAAATAATGGATGCTCGTACGAGGCATAAATTTCAGGTGCAGCTTCGAAGGAGTTGCCAGAAATGTTGGAGGCAGAACGAGTGGTTTTTCTGGTAATGGTTGGACTCAGCTTGGTAGGACTGAACCTTGGTGCAACCGTGTCTGGCGCATCTGATTCTGATGGGGCTTGTTTTGCTCCTCGCCCACGAGTCCGGGAAGGCGTGTCATCTTGGTAGGAATTGCGACGTGGAGCTGCGCGCGTAGCCGCACCCCTTGGACGTGGCATCAGGATGGTAGGGTGAACCAATGCGAGTAATGAATGTTGTGTTGAGTTTTGGTGTGTACCTGGCGAGGCAATGTCTCCATGTAGGGGCCCAGGGAGGCGTAGCGCGAATCGCAAGCCTTCAGGGTGACAAAAGCTGCAGGCAAAGAAGATGAACGAAACGTTGCGCCCCAGCAATGAATGTGCGCAAACACGGGCAAGCAGTTGATAGAGAGTATCAAGAAAAGGAAATGTCAAATGGAATAGTCAGTGAATCGGCGTGTGATGATCTTTGTCTCGGGGCGTGGCTGCTTCAGCAAAAGCGAGCCGAACCATGATGCGCTTGGCGCATGCTCGGGCGGCCAATGACCGCGAGACGCTAAATTGACTGGCATCTAGCTGTCAGATGGTCCAAACAATGCGGCCATGACTTGGATATTGTAGTGACATCCGCTCAACAGACGCATCTCCACCTTCTGGGTAACTTGCCATTGGGGCGACTATTCTTCAGGACCAATCTACCCAGTTCTCGGCCATCATGCCGCCAAAAACCGCCGACGAGGAGCTCGCCGAGCTGGAGATGTTGGCTGAGGCTCCCGTACCCCCGCCGAAGCATACCAAAGGGTCTCGCGCGCCACGACAGAAGATGCAGAAGCAGGAAGATGATGACGCACTAAAGGACCTCGAGGAATTGGAGCAGCTTGGAAAGTCTCAACCAGCAGCCCCACGCCAAGTCAGTCGACCAAACACACCCAAAGTGTCATCGTCGTCGACTACATCTAGCACCCGCCGCGCCCCAGGCGTGGCCACTCCCTCTTCTGCTGGCTCGGCACGCACGAGCGAGGATAACAGGCCTGCGCCACCGAGAAAGTCAGGCGAGAGTACCCGTTCCTTCCACCAGAGCTTTGCGCCAACCGAAGAGGAGCCTGTCAAACCTCGTGCACCCGAGCCTCGTGAGGAGAAGCAGTCAGGGGGTTCTTGGTGGGGAGGCGGATGGGGAGGACTCGTATCCACAGCCACTGCAGCTGCTGAGACTGCAAGGAAGCAAGCAGAGGCCGCTTACCAGGAAATCCAGAAGAACCAAGAGGCTCAACGATGGGCAGAGCAAGTACGAGGGAACGTAGGGGCCCTTCGCGGCATTGGTACAACTCCATTTCATCCTGTGTGACATATCAGTCTAACAAAACGTAGGCGGCGAACTTGGCAAGCGTGCCGTACCTACTTTCACCAACCTGCTGAATACCCTCGCGCCGCCCATCTCACAACATGAACGCCTCCAGATCCATATCACACACGACCTTATCGGATACCCCTCGCTCGACCCCCTCATTTACCAGACCTTTGCCCAAGTCATGGCACAAGTAGAAGGGGGCGACCTCATGGTCATTCAGCGAGGCTCAGAGTCAACACAGCGCGGATCGTTGGAAGGCTACCGAGGCGGTGGTGGAGGCTGGAACGACGGACCATGGTGGCGACACACAGACAAGCGCGATCTTTCAGTAGTCAAAGGGCTTGTAGAGGGCACCAAGCTCGCAAGAGTCAGCGCCGAGTCATACGCGAATGAATTCTTCGGTGCAAGGGGAGGTGTAGAAGAAGCTGCCAAACAAGCTACAGAAGTCCTAAGTGAGACAAACCCCGTACGGAGTAGCGACATTTTCATCGCAATTCAGGCCGTCAGCTATCCCGCACAAGACGACCTCTTCGCCACATCGTCGTCGGAAGAGAAGTCGGAAGTTCAAGAGCCAAAGGACGACGAGGAAGAGGTAGCGTTTGCAATTTATCTCCATGATCCAATTCATGGCATCTCGTTCAAGTCTGTCAGCCAGTCTTTCCCGTCAAAATGGGTGGACTGGCTAGATGCGCCTGCCAACACCGAGGCGGCGGGCGAGGAACAGCAACTACCACAAGAGATCTATGAGATTATCGAGAGCGGCGGCGTGGATCCAAGAGAATGGGTTAGTGAGTGGATGGAAGAGACAATCAACTTGAGTGTAGGCATCGTTGCACAGCGCTATGTTGCAAGGCGGATGGGAGTTGGAGAGGGAGGACTAGGCAGAGGAAAGGCTAGGGAAGCAGTCGTCGATGCTGGAGGCGGCGAAGCTGCACGAGCGGGTATCATTTGAAAACACGACGAGAATACGGTTCCTTTCATTTCTCTGGTGACGGCAAGGCGCTAGGTATGCTACTTGGAGACTCACAGGATTGAGTTCAGCATTTGCCCTACGAATAGACGACTTTGTTCGCCGTATGCTTGCTCCAACTCCCACATTATGTCCAAGTGTACCTTGTGCCGTCGGTTTTCGTAGGCAGCCACTTGGGGCCTGTCTTGGGTTACACGATAGCATCACACCAGGCTCGTGGTTCCATACTGCTGACCACGTTTGTCGCATGCAAAGTCCCTTGTACGTCCGAGTCGTGCTGTTGATGCTGAGCTTTTGGATCTGCATGGCGACAAGTCTCTGCGCCTCGCCAAATACTTGGTGGTGCCATGGCGACTTTTCAACCAGACTTCTTCTTGTCACCACCTTCCTTCTTGTCCTTCTTTCCTCCCTTGAGCATTTCCAGATGTCCGGCCTTTTGCGCAAGGAGCTTCTCGGTCTGTCCTATCAGCCCAGAGCTGCTCTTGTGCACAATCTTGTTTTGCTTTATTATCGCAGCATTTTTGGGCTTAATGACACGGGCGCCGCGTTGGACTCGCTGGGTTGGTCTGGAAGCATGTTGTCAGCAGGAGCGCGTGGGAGGTCGAGCGCGGAGCTAGACTTACTTCTTCGGAGCAGCGGCCTTGGACTTCTTGACGGCACCTTGAGCCATTGCGGACGTCAGGTTGTGAGGCGTGGGGCAGAGAGGCGGGCGGAGGCTTGCGCAAAGTCTATTCTCGTCGAATCGGATCGGGACAGAGCTTGTTCGGGTGATTGGGATCCGAAGACTAATCACAGCGATAGTACGAGCCGCGAGATCTCCACTAGGACTTGGTTGCGGTGTAGGGCGAAGACGGCTGCTTTGGATAATTCAAAGGCGCGCTTTCCAACATTTTTCGCGATCCTTGGCGTTGCCGCTGCGCTAGCTGACATGGGCATGGTCCTTTGCGGGGGAGTGCATTTAGCCTTTTCACCCAACGTGGGGAGACTCTCCTTGAGGCCGAGGACCCGTTTTCCAAGTCTCCGCCTTCGCCCTTGGTGCAAATCTCCGCTCCTGGAAGAGCTTCAGGCCTTGACATGCTGGTGACAGCGTCGGGCGACGATGAGGCTACACGGAACAATTTCGCCGTCGTCTCAGCATCCGCGACATGACATCCGCATGTCTGGATTCCTGTCGACCATCGCTCAATCACGCATCTCCACCTACACTGACTTTCCATGTGTTCTGCAAGGATGCGGAGATTTGGATGCTGCACGTGTACCCAGACTTACCGCCAAGACACATTAAATGCTCTTCTAGAAGTCTTGCAGCTAGAACGCGACTGGCTGCTGTACGTCACCTCAATTTAGCCATGCAGAACAACCGGTCCCGGCTGGGGTAAACGACTAGGGTTTGTCATATCGGGCCGTCGTTGGCCAGCACTGCATGCGTACCTGGATTTGCAGTTGCTAGCTACTTGACGGGTAGGTGGTTTACGATATGCACCATTACTAGTTGATTAAAGGAATAGGTTGGTGGAGAATCTTGGTTATGGGGGCAAGGGCCTCTATCACGAGGCGATGGTCTGGGGAAGCATTCAAAAGCAGGGTATCTCCGCGAGCCTTCTGGCATTGTTCAGGACGTTGCTCAACTACTGACCAAGCATCATGGGGCTCCTCTCTCGCACCGTGGTCGGCGCCCTTTCGCTCTCGGTCGCCTTTGCTGGATCTGCTTCCGCTGTTGAAGCCTTCCGCAAGCCCACTGTTACAACCTCAGCCGGCAATGGAACTCTTCTTGCCTCTCGTGGCTCACCAGTCAGTATTCATGCTGATGCTGCAGATTGGCCTGGTGTTTTACGCGCCGCTCACGACCTTGCCATCGACTTCGGACGTGTTACCGGTACCAATGGAACACTCACCGCTTCTGGAACGGCAACAGCCAATGCTTCGATGATCTTCAATGTCACTGGCATCAGCGATGATTGGAGCGTTAGCGGCAGTACTGCTTCTAGTGCTACCGGAGGAACTATCATTGTGGGTACCATTGGTAACTCAGGTCTGATCGATGACTTGATATCAAGCGGACAGCTTGACGTCAGCGGGGTTGAAGGTCAATGGGAATCCTATGTTAGCACTGTGGTACATGGTGTTGGAAATATGACTGGTGACGCGCTCGTCATTGCTGGTATGTATAAAATGGCCATCATAGATGCCGAATGCTAACTCTTCGTAGGCAGCGATCGCCGTGGTGCCATCTATGGTATCTACGATGTATCTGAGCAGATTGGTGTCTCCCCATGGCATTGGTTCGCTGATGTACCAGCGAAGAAACACGATTCTATCTACCTGCTTCAAACGACAAAAGTCCAGAAGACACCATCCGTGAAGTACCGAGGATTCTTCATCAACGACGAAGCACCAGCCCTGACCGGTTGGGCGAATGACCGGTATCCTTTGTCTCCATATGGCGCACCTTTTGGAGCACAATTTTACTCCAAGGTTTTCGAACTACTGCTCAGATCCAAGGCCAACTACCTCTGGCCGGCTATGTGGAACGGCATGTTCAACGTGGACGACGCACGCAACCAGCCGCTGGCCGATGAGTATGGTATCGTGATGGGAACGTCGCATACCGAGCCCATGGTCCGCGCCACTCAGGAATGGAGCAAAGTCGCCAAGGGTGCTGAATCTGGCTGGTCTTGGGCTACCAACAACGCCACTCTTTACGACTACTTCTACGAGGGTGCCGAGCGCGCTGCGCCATATGAGAATGTCGTCACAGTAGGCATGCGCGGATATCATGACACAGCAATGTCTGCTGATGTTCAAACCTCGGTCCTTGAGGCTGTTGTTGATGCTCAGCAAGACATTCTCAACAAAATCCATGGAAATGCGTCTGAAGTACCCCAGATGTGGTGCTTGTACAAGGAAGTTCAGGATTACTTTGAAGCTGGAATGCAGGTTCCCGACTGGGTCACCCTCCTCTGGACCGAAGACAACTGGCAAAACATTCGCCGTCTCCCAGTCGGCGACGAGAAGAAGCGATCTGGTGGTGCTGGTGTCTACTACCACTTTGATTACGTCGGTGACTCTCGTAACTTCAAGTGGCAGGATACCATCCAGCTTCAGAAAACATACGAGCAGATGAAGTTGGCCAAGGACCGCGAAGCTGACCGTATCTGGATCGTCAATGTTGGTGACATCAAGCCTGCTGAGATCGCCATCAGCCATTGGTTCGATATCGCTTACGACATGGACTCTTACGACGAGTCGTCTGTGCCTGAGTGGCTTGCTGGATTCGCTGCCCGCAACTTCGGCGAAGAACATGCTGAGACCATCGCAGAAATCATGGATGAGTATGGTTTCCTCGCGAACATGCGCAAGTTTGAATGGGTCGAGCCCTCTTCCTTTAGTGTACTCAACTACGAGGAGGCTGATCACATTCTTGCACGGTGGGAGGCTCTCGCAGACCGAGCCAACGAAGTTAACGCTGCACTTTCTCCCGAACAACAACCTGCTTTCTACGAGATCATCCTCCATCGCGTGCTTGCTGGTGGTAATCATGTTGATGTACAGGTCTCCGGCGCCAGGAATATCATTTACGCGCAAATGGGTCGCAATAGCGCGAACAGATGGATGCAGCGTGTGATTGATGGCATGAACAAGGACCATAACCTTACAAGGCTCTACCACACTCAGCTCAATGGCAAGTGGGACCACATGATGGACCAAACCCATTTGGGCTACCAAGGATACTGGTAAGCTTCAGTACATTTTCTGTCAGTTGTTCTTATACTGATATCATAACAGGCAACAACCTATGCGCCAATCTACTCCTGACCTTCGTTGGGTGCAAACTCAGGAGCGTTCGCTAGCAGGCGATATGGGTGTCTCGGTCGAAGGTTCCAACGCTACCATTCCTGGTGATGACATGTGGCACGGCAATGGTGCATCCTCTTTGACTCTTCCGGCTATGACTCCCTTCACCCCGAAGCGATGGGTTGAGATCTCTCACCGTGGTACTGGACCATTCTCGTGGAACATCAGCGCCGATCCTTTCGTCACGCTCTCCCAAGTCAAAGGAACCATGCAGCCCAATGATGAGGACATTCGCATTTACGTTGACGTCGATTGGAGCAAGGTTGAAGACGGATTCGGTGCTCAAAGTAAGCTGAACTTCTCCAGTTCGACCGACTACGGTACTCAGGGTGGCAACCCACAAGTCATGGTCATGGTCAACAAGACCTCCATTCCAGAAGACTTCAACGCTGGCTTCGTCGAGTCAGCTGGCCAGCTCGCCTTTGAAGCAGAACACTACACGCGCACTACTCCTGGTTCATCCGACCATTCTTACCAGGTTCTGCCCAAGTACGGACGCACCCTTTCTGGTGTGAAGCTCACAGATAACCTCGCCGAAGGCCTAGACTCCTCCAGTGCCCCTAGTCTAGAGTATGACTTCGTCACCTTCACTCCTACAACATCCACCAAGGGACTCAATGTCACTCTTATCCTTACACCTACCCACAACATCAACCCTAAGGTACCCCTCGCCTACATCGCACAAGTCGACAACAAGACGGAAGCGCGTCGCGAATTCGTCATTGACCAGCCTCAGCCCAACTTCCCTGTTGGCTGGGGCAAGGCCGTTGCGGACAGTGCGTGGTATAACACTACCAACCATGGCGAGCTTGCTCCAGGGAAACACACTTTGAAGCTTTGGTTAGTCGAGGCCAACGTCATCCTGCAGAAGGTCGTGTTGGATCTGGGTGGAGTTGTATACAGCCACAACGGTCCACCTGAGAGCTATCGTGTTGGTGGTGGGAACGCAACCATGCATTAGGTATTGAAGATGGTAGGGGCTGACCTATGATAGAAGATTTGAGTAATGTAATGTATTCACTCGCAAAAGTAGTCTTCGCGCTGTGATAAAGTAACCAAGGTTACTGCTCGAAGAGATCCACCTATCATGCGATGATTAAGAGGTGAAATTCTCATGTAAATGCGTCGCTATGCTACATTCCCGGAAAAAAGCAACCCTGAACGCCCCCATGCCCGTGTCTACCGGATGTCGTCAATCTGCCTCCATCTTGCATGTAACTTCTTATTCTGGTAGCCAAAAAGAATTGTTGTCTGAACATTTATGCGATACCACCACCACCTGCGCCTCCAGCCGTTCCGCCCTGCGCACCTCCGGCGCCACTGCTAGCTCCAGTCTTGCCAGCTTTCCGACGCATGCTCTTGCTGCGATGTGTGTAGTAATTGTCTGGCTCTTTCATCTCTTCCTTATCCAGACGCTCTTGGCTTGGCTGAAGCTTCCCGTTCGAGGCTTGCTCTTTGACTTTGCTGACTTTGGAGCCCATCGTAGGGGGGTGTGTGTGTTGTAGCAGGATAAGTGGGTGGCGCGGAGGCTGGTGGGGACGAACTGAGTGTTTCGTCGCGTAGGATGATTACACTAGGGGTGGGTTAATGTTTATGCTGCGTGACAATCGTGCCTGAATGTTCGCGACATGTCGCATGCATGCTTTCGGATGGGTTGGATACTTACGGCGGTGCTGGATGCGGTTCGGGCTCGGGTTTATCGGGTGGGCACGAAGTTTCGGTAGCTTCAAGCTCGTCTGGTGAGGCTTCTGGCCTATAGAGTAGAGAGTCAGAAGTTGAAAGACAGAAGAGAACCAATAATAGATGTTTCCAGCAAGGGTGCATACGTACGACAGGGATGACGTAGGTGGTTGCGGCTGGACTTGCTGATCGGCAGGGTCTGGTACCTGGAAGTGGGGCGCTTGTGCTTTGCCAGATTGGGAAAGGATGATGATTCTGGGTGGAATTGGTTAATGAAACGGCCAAAACGTTGGTATGACTCGTTCGATGATGAATGAGCGCTGATACGAAAGGATGCAATACTTACGGTGGTGCTGCCGGCGGTTCTGGGTCTGGAGGACCACATTGACGAGCGTCGTTTCCGGAGCCTGGTCCTGTGGAGTTTGTGCGTATCTCTCTTCGATGAGACATTTGACTTGAGCACTGGATGGACCGGACGGACTGCCAGAGTAGACTGTAGACTTCGCAAAGAAGAGCATGAGTTTTGAGGACAGACACAACATGGAGAGTTATAGAAGAATGTAAATCGGCTAGAGAAGAATGCTCGATGTTGTTTATAGCGCTAGAATGGGGTCGGATAGAGGTCATGGTCAGAGCTGGTGAAACGGGGGTCTCCATGGCTTCGATAATGTATATGACCCAGAGTGTCTCCCATTCTGACTCTTATATATGATATGAGGCCTTCCATCTCAGCACGAGCTTTGTGCTTTCCCAGCTATCTTCTACCGACTCACGACCGAAGTCACTGCCTTCCCAGCAGCACTGTACTCTTTCGATTTGGCCCCATGATCCTTTCCAGTTCTCCAGCAGCGAGTAGGATTTGTCGTTTGCAGGTTGAAGACGCGCTAGAGCCACGCTGTAAGTTCGGCCAGAACGTGTAGTTCGGATGAAGGGCTATGTTTGGTGGCCGTGACCCGCTCGACGTAGTGTACAAGAATATTCATTGGAGCAACGCCTTCTTTTAGTCAGAGGGAAGCCTGATGAGGCTCAATTAAGCTTTCTCGCATGTCTCTGAGTAGTGACCCATTTCGGTATCTAGGTGCGAGGCAGCATCGCAGGCAACACGGGAAATTGAACTGGGTGTATCAGGCGAGCCATTTCCTACTGTCGGCTTCGATCTTGCTCCTTAGCTTCAACCAAGCGGATCGCATCGTGAGCAATGCCGTAGGTAAGTGGCTGTGCGTGGGGAACTGGCATGGTGTAGTTTGGCTTGCACGGTTAGAACTTCCGTTCGTGGGACGCCTCGTAGGGCCGAGAAGGAGGCTTACTATAGGTTGCCACCATGGCGGTGTTGGCCATAATAAGGCCCTCGATCATCTGCGACGAAACTTGAGTGAAAGAGGAAATTGCGACAGTAGCGATGAAATTAGGAAGGGAGACGTTTGGCTGTTCGCGACTGCAGCATGGCGCATGGATGACCCCCGCTTGAGATTCGCTACACGCGGCTTGTACCTGCCGACCTGTCCTTACCGCTGCCTTGCGCCAACACCGACACCGTTACTGCTCGTAACCGTCGCTCTTCTAGTCTTCCTTCTTAGATAGTTGTGCTCTTCGTCGCGGCACGCGATGACGCATCGTTCCCATCGCCCACGCTCCTCCACTGCGGCCGGCTCCTATGGCCATCTGCTAGGAGCACCAAAGCCCAGGTCGCTCAGAGATCGGCGGCTGATCTCAGCCATAAATAGAGAGCCTTCGCGAAGCTCTGGCATTGGTCCTGGCATCATACTCGTATCCCAATCATGTCTGCCTCGCCCTAACGGCTAAGGTGGAAGGCCTTTGGGGGCCAATGGCAGTGCAGCAGAGCCGAATTTCAGGAGCGCCACCAAGAATTTAAAGGCTTCGTCTGTGCTACTGCTTATATAACACCTAGCTAAATGACTGGAACTAGATAACTGGTTCCAAACCCAGCAAGCAAGCAACCTCTGAGGATTCCAGATTACCAACATAATGTTCAGCCAAGCTCCAATCCTCTCTCCGACCGGTGAAATCTCCGTCTTACTGAGCTCACACCGTCACTACTACACGTGCGCGTTCTGTCACGAGGATATCACGCTACATGCGCTTACTTCCAGGGTATGACGAAGTCGACGTGGGGTTTCCATGTACCGGAGTGACAAAGACTCCGGACGAGCGCATATAGTAGGATACGTTGCAGGCATTGTGGATACAAGTAGGTGAACATGAACCCGCCTCATAAGATCGGTGGTTCATATCAGCTCTCCACCGAAGATGAGACCAAGTCTATTAACCTGACAGTTACCATCTGCTAAGCTTCAAAGCCTGCAGAAGCGCTGTTTAGGCGACTGATCGCATTAGCCCTCCAAGTATCATCTTCCAAATTTAGACCATGTTTTCTGAACACCATGTTTGTGGCGCTTCTGTTTGTGTATGTTGGCCAGATCAAACCGGAATCCAGTGCTGTTCCTCGTTAATACCAGTGTGTAGAATTACGAGCGTTAGTACACATACAAAAACGAGCATTTGGCGATAGCTCGTTGACGAAGCTCAACCACATTAGGCTCATACGCTTACTTAGTTTCAGCGTGCCATTTGTTGTTTTAATAGTTGGTTGAACAGCGGAAGCACTTGTCAGACACGCCAAAAGATGTAGCAACAATAATCGGACGTTGGTCTTGGCCATCTTCGACTGGTAGAGAAAGTAATTGATATAGGCCAAGAGAGGAATTGAGACAGAATAGAACGTATATTTAACCCGTGTATGCCGACGGCATCTCTACCATTGTTGTAGAAGCCGTCGGCATCTTCAGATTCGTCTAGCGGAACTTGATGGCATGCAAAGAGCTCGTTTGTAAGACGGATTAGTGGATTGCACGAAGTCGGTTCGATATGCGGGCGGAAAGAACATATCCAGCTTGAAATATGGGATTGGCACTGGAACAATTGTGCATAGTCGGGCCTGTTGGAACAGTCTCTATGTGGCTTCTGAAGGGACTGGATAACTGCGGGGAAGCCAAGATTGAGCAACCTTGAACTGAGTCGGTGAAGAGAAAAGGGCGACGTGGACACGAGTCTTGGTAATCGTCTTGACAACAGGAGACGAGAAATTGAAATCTCGTGCAATGCATAACACCCATAGCTACGACCGACTGCCCGTTAAGGTAGATATAGGGCGCGAAGTTGGTCCTGAGTACGCGATGATGTCCCCTGAGATTGCACTAGAAGTTGTCAGTGCCCCTTAGAAGATTATGCGCAACTCAGTGGTGATGGTTATGTGCTTTGATAAGTGTTGGCTGCCCACCTAGGGTATATACGCTCATTATTCTTGACGATAGAAGAACGAAGCGTATGTGATGCATAAGTCGCGTGGCAGGCTACATGCAGGGCTTGGCTCGCTAATCTGACATCGATCTGGACCCTCCATGTTTCAGGGACGATCTGCGTCATCGATCGGTACTAAACACACGCGAAAGCTGAACGCGTCGAGGGCAATAGAGCAGTCATGGCCTCAATTCCCCTTTATTCGAATGCGCATGGTATTCGCACGTTCGCGATATCTGATCCACAGCTTCCCACGCGTCAGTCCCTCCACTCGCATTACATCCTGCCCAGCCATCTCAGCGAAGAGACTAGTCACGATGCCACCAAAACGTAAAGCCAGTATCCCATCCAATGCAGCATCTGCAAGAAATTACACCGATGTATCCGGCGATGCACCCAACAAGCGCTCGCGCATCGCTAAACCCCTTCCGAAAGCCTTCGCAGACAGCGCGCCACCGATAGATTCGATAGCGAGAAACGCGGAGAATGGAGCGCCTGGAGAGGCAGCAAAGAAAGAAGAAGAAGAAGAACAAGAAGAAGGTGAAGGCGGATTTGATCATTCGCGGCCAGAAGAGCGAGCAGGGATAGTTGACAGACGATACTACCCTGCTGAGATGAGCAATGAGCGATGCGCCCTGTACAATGCAAACGAGATACCGCGGCCCATCGAAATACTGGCAAAGACGCTAGAGAGCACAAAAGATAGGCGCACGGCTATCCGGGAAGCAAACAAGGCGCAATTTGGTGACGCCGTCGTGCACTGGTTCAAGAGGGATTTGCGGATACGGGACAATACAGGCTTGTCGCAGGCTGCCCAGTTGGCCAAAGCAAAGGGTGTGGGTGTGATAGGTGTCTGGTTCATGAGCCCACAAGACTGGGAAGCTCATCTGGTCAGCCCACCCAAGTGTGATTTTGAACTGCGTTCGGTCGAGTCCCTGAAAAAGGAGCTCGAAGAATTCGACATTCCGCTACATATTGAGACAATTGCGGAGAGGAAGAACGTGACAAAGCGACTAGTGGAGCTGGCTGAGAGCTGGAATGCAAGCAACGTATTCTGCAACCTGGAATATGAACCCGACGAGCTGCGGCGAGAAGAGCGTTTAGTACGTAAGATGCTGGAGAAAGGTATCAACTTCGACCCACAACACGATGATTGTGTCGTGCCGCCCGGAAGTCTCAAGACGGGAGGTGGGAAACAATACGCCGTGTACAGCCCCTGGTATCGGGCATGGATTGCGTATCTACACGCGCACCCGCATCTCTTGAATGAGCGACCGATACCTGAACGTAATTCTCCAGATTTCCGCCAAAAGTTCACCCAGCTCTTTGACTCGAAAGTCCCCGACCTCCCAGATTGCAAGCCGTTGACACAAGAAGAAAAAGAACGCTTCCACCACCTGTGGCCCGCAGGCGAGGCCGCCGCCATTGACCGCCTCGAACGCTTTCTAATCGAAAAGATTGGCAGATACAAGGATACCCGTAACTTCCCAGCTAAGAACAGCACTGGACGCGTGAGCGTACATCACGCCGCTGGCACGCTAGCAGCCCGAACCAGTGTACGTATGGCAAGAGATGTCAATAGCGCGAAAAAGCTCGATGGTGGGAAGGATGGTGTCAAAGGTTGGATTGGTGAAGTTGCATGGCGTGATTTCTATCGACATGTGCTTGTACACTGGCCATATGTCTGGTATAGTTGCATCTCATCCTTGGTATTGCAACGAAACTAACAGTATCTTCAGCATGAACAAGCCTTTCAAGTTCGAATACACAAACATTGACTGGGAATACAACGACGCCCACTTCCAGGCTTGGACTCAAGGCCGTACAGGCTACCCAATCGTTGACGCAGCAATGCGTTGCCTGAATCACACCGGCTACATGCACAATCGCCTTCGCATGATCGCAGCTTCTTTCCTTGCAAAACACCTCCTGCTGGACTGGCGTCTTGGTGAACAATACTTCCTCACACATCTCGTTGATGGCGACTTTTCGTCGAACAATGGCGGCTGGGGCTTCAGTGCTTCAACTGGCGTAGATCCCCAACCATACTTTCGAATCTTCAACCCATGGACGCAGTCCGAGAGGTTTGACGAGGAGGGAGAGTTCATCAAATTGTGGGTTCCAGAGCTTGAAGAGATAGAGGGGCCGGCCATACATAACCCTTATGGTGCGGGTGGAAAGGCAGCACAAACTGCAAAGGCAAAAGGCTACCCTGAGCCAGTAGTTGAGCATAAATTTGCGAGGGAGAGGTGTCTGGCACGATATAAGGCCGGCATCGGGAGGGAGACCGCGTGAAGGGTCTAAGGGCAGAACATCAAACCTCTTTGCAACTCCTCACCACAGCTACAACTCAGCCGCGATACGGATGATGTCTCGATATTTGCGTCTAGCAGTGGCTCGCTGTACTCCGATCCGAGAGTTCCATCTGGTAGTTGGAACTGATCCCTATCGTAGCGTTAACGTGGTCGTGTGGCTCAGACGCTTGAACATGTTTTCGGCACGTCGTCCTCAACCATGTTCTTACACGTCTCGAGCCCAAAAGTAATCGCTTTCTCATCGCAAAAGCGTCGACAGCGCTTTCCTGAACCATAGCTTATGGATCCTCTCTACATGTACTATTATCTCGTGTTATTGAAATCAAGTTGTCATCAGATCTTGTACAATACAAACACGCTTCCCGAGCTGAGAAGATGAAGGCTGTGTGAGCGAGATATGCCTCCCACGCAGACACAATTCCATTATGTTTTTTTTGACAAAGCTCAAAATGATGGAGTTTTGATCAAAAGTCGGCAGAAACAATGCAGTCAAAGGCCCCAGTTTCGCATGCCGATATAGGCATTCTAGGGGCTATACAGCTGCGGAAGACGGTCTGGTAGAAGGGTATCTCCGACGGACCTTGAGAGGCTAACTGCATCCGGCTACGCTGATTCAGCCCGGATCTTCGCCACTCGCGGTGTACAGACGGCGCCCTCCAAACCATCAACATTCGCGATTCCATTTCAGAGAACTGCCCGAATAGTTATGTATCGTCTCGGATTATGTATACTCCCGGTTCATGAACTTTGATTGACTGTATTGCCTACTGTGGAAGTATATCCGCATCTGACTCGATCGTCAACCAGGCAGCCACGTTCTGCAGGCACCCTTTTGTCGTACATCCAGCACAAAAGTCTAGCGCATCCAGGATCTCTGGAGGTTCTGATAACGCTAATAGACTGAACACATTTCTTATGACACAAACTGGAAAATGCGACACGTGTCGTCAGCGGAAAGTCAAGGTAAAGCACCCGCTGTTGACAGAGAGCAACATAAAGCGCCGCGAAGCATAGCAAGCCATCTGGAATGGAATGAAGATCGTGCTAATAATCGCGTAGTGTGATGAGGAGCGACCCAAATGTAGCTCATGCAAGAAGAAAGACCGACCGTGCACCTATTCCTACGGAAAAGCTTTGGCGTTTGTGGTGCAAGACCCAAACCAGCTGACCAAACATGGAAAATCAAGAACCACACCCATCACATATTCGCTGGCTCCTTCTGATGAAGAGTTCACCTCGCCTTCAACAACGCCTCCAAATCTGTGTATTACAACAGAAAGGCGCGCCGAGGATGGACAAGGTTACTTCCAGACCCTGGCGCCACGCTCGAAGTATAGAAGCCATCTGTCAAAAAAGAAAATCAACAAACAGCAACGTGCACTTGAGGCTTACCTCTGGAAACTAAGCGAAGAGAACACACTCGTAGCTCACCAGCCATCCTCTCCTGAGACCACGTTGATCGCCCGATATGTTGGCATGTTAGGACCGGACCCTATAGGAAGGCAACCTTTTGAGATACTGGGAACCTGGATACAGTCGATACCTTCGCGCATCGGATCGAACAAGATGCTAGACCTTGCTGTTGAGTTTCTAGTCGACAGCTATGGGACGTTTCGAGATGATACACACTCAAGGCGCAAGGTCGCTAAAGCGTCGAAAGCCAAAGCACTGAAGGAACTGCAGCTCATTGTAATGAGCACTAACGCTAACACAACGTACGATGTCTTGTTAGCAACGAAACTGCACTACGCTGCGGAAGTAAGCTTGCATATTGATAGCTTTAGAATTCCACTGACAACCCCGTAGGCTCTTTTGGGGCTGGATACTATGTACCACGCCATACATGCATTTGGCCTCGCCGAACTGCTGAGGTCAGGATCTGTGTCGGATGTTGATGACGAGCATTTCTGGGATCTGATCGATAACACTTATATTGATGACGTGAGTGTCGATCTGATCTTTGACATTCGGTGCTAATGTTAGCAGGTAAACGAGGCGATATTGGCAGGCCGAACGTCAGTATACCATAACGAATTCTATCTATCAGCGACATACCCTCCACCGATCGATTCAGACGTGATAATACTGTCATCATCGCAAAGAGCATCGATGGCCATCATGCACGTCTTCATTCAGTGCCCCTACGCAGTGTCCTTAGTTCGGCACGCTATCTCGAACCCTGACGACGCCAATGCCCTTGCGACCGCCATGTCGCACATGGAGCGTCTGATACAAATCGATCTCTCGCAACACGTATCTGAACTGATGCAAACATCAGTCTCTGCGGTACCCATACCGCCATCACCAGATGTTGCTGACCTAATGCCGGATACGCTAGAATTCAGTTCCGTGCGAAGTATGATCCTCTGCACAAGATACTGGATGTTGCAGACAGTGCTTTGCGGTCTTGCGGACACGCTGTATCGACACTTCCCCATCGAAGCAGAGTTATCGCTGCTTCCATCACCTCAGCAACTACGAATCATTGATGTCGACAGCGCAATACATATTGCAAAGTCCTTGAGATGGGCCGCTTCTGTTTCTCAAGATTTACCGCTTGTAACACTACGCTTGCACACGCCGCTTCAGATGACGATTGGTCCATGGCACCGTACAATACGAGGAATATCTACTCAGCGATCACGATCCAGCTCGCCAGACATCCACCCCGAGATTTCGAAGGAATTATCACGTGCAGAACGTATGAAGGCCTGGGTCATAAGTCAATGTAACTTGATACACATCCAGTGGGATGTCTCTGTCGTCGATGAACAACCCCTTCTGGAAGCCCTCGATACTATGGCTGGAGAAAAGATCCCGGATTGGCTTCCTGTACGCGTGCGTTTCGAAGCCGAAGACGGTGAAATGGTCATGAAGTTGGATTACGAAAACAAAACAGGAAGCTACACAGAAAAGATCGATGTCAACACCGAGCCTCCGCCTAAAACGCGAATGCCTCATCCGGGAGCTACGGGTCAAGAATGGCAAAGAAAATATCTAGGCGTACAAGAGTTGCCTCTTAGGGTCAGTGAGAATGAAGGCACGAGACATAACGTAACCTTTGACAACAGGCATAAAAATGCGTGCTTGGCTCCGAGTTGGAATACTAGACCTGTGGACTTCATTCACGGCACCGGAAGGAACTTATGCTCGACTTCTGGGTGGTGGCCTGAGACACCGAGAACCTCGACAGTGTTGCTGGACAGCACGCACAAAGCCTCAGCTTTTTCGCGCATGCCACGCCATTCACATGTGGATGTCGAGAGTACATCCAGAGAGATAGACGGTCATCCTTGCTTGGCTTCGAGTTGGTGGCCGCAAACACCTAATCAGTCATACAATAGCTAGGAGGTGTTGAGGTGCGAATTATTTGATTCGATTGTTCATATCATAACTTCGTGACTGCTGCATCACCTTTCCTCTATAGAATATAATTCTCTGTGCCTTCGGCTACCATGTGCTCATTACAATCGTGTCGCCCACTCCCATTCTCTCGTATTTGCTTATTGGCGTCTTAACTTCCTGGGTTGACGTGCTCGGTGATTCGTGTTCGCAACAGCGACATAAAGTCTTGCCTTTGTCGCTTTGTTTTAGGTTGGTTTGTAAACACTTGTACATTATTACAAAAGGGCATATAGTACAAGGTGTATTACTATACAAGCATAGGATACTGCAATTCTACGATTTTCGCTTGAGCTCCTTTTTTATTACCTTGTGCGCCTCGCAGCCCGTGGTATCTTTGCTTCCACCGCGGCAGGCAGGACAGGTCCGTCCGTGCTGTATAAGAAAGAAGTGGAGTTTAATCTTAAGATCGGCTGGGATTACCGCATCCAAGTGTAGTTGTGTGTTCTCACGATTGGCGTCCTTCGGTCTCCAGCCCCACAAACCAGCTATGCGATAGACATGCGTATCCACAGTGAACCGTTTTCTCTTCAAGCACCAGCCCATCACGACGAAAGCAGACTTTGAGCCAATGTACTTGTAGCTCATCAGCTCTTTCATGGCATCTTCGTCACTTGCTTCCAGGAGATGGTCTAAGTTCCAGTGCCCGTATCGTCGCTTGACTTCATCCAAGATGGACATGATGATCTTGGTCTTCCTGATATGGAGTCCGCCGCAGCGGATAGTCTCTTGTAATTTACCTGGTCCACCAGCATGTATCTTGTCATATGCAAATACCGAGCCGTACGTTTCCTTCATGCTGTCCATGGCGCGTTTTGCGTTGTTCCAACTCGTCGCTTGGCTGAGGACTGCAACAAACATGGCATCTAGAACGAACGGTATTGTTTCAGGTGTGTGCTCGTCTATCTCAGCCTCCACAGCGTCGTTATGTAGTTTGTACAGCATATCGTATGCTGTCTGGCATTCGCGGTGTGTAGGATGGCCGAAATCAGGGTACGGCGTCGTCGTTGCGTGGGCTGACCATGACTTCCACTTCTTCTCCGCCACGGCTTCATCGTCTGCCTTGGTACTATCACTCTTGCTAGTTCTGATTTGTTCGTCTTGGTTCGTCTTCTGCCCCAATTCCTTCTCTGTACCGACTCTTTTTGCAGAACGACTTGCAGCTTGACTTTTGACGCGCTTGCTAAGGGTCACCTCACTGGTCGAGGAATCGGAGTACCTCCTTTTTGCCGTACTGTTTGCTGCCTGCTGAGCCGTACGTGTAGCCGCCCGCGCCGATCGTCGGAACACCATTTTATAGAGTGGGGCCGAAGACAGTGGCGAATCTTTCGGGTCACGGCGTGGATGGGCTCACATGAGAAAGACTGCGGCAGACACATCATTATATGGAAACACTAATCAACACGCTGATGTCGTCATCCATAGCAAAGTCTGGGCCATATACCTTTGGTAGAGGGACTCACTAACGGAGCTCATGTAAGAGTCGGATTCCGCGGACACGCCGCAGCGACGTTTCGGTAATGAACCCACTGCCAGAATAATCTGCCAACACAACTCTCATTTCCTGGCACCCAGCTTGCTGCCGAAGGCTTTAACTCCTACTGGTTTTCTCATTTCCTTACTACGGGAAACGATACCGAATATGTACTTCTAGCTCAGGCCGTCGTACTTCCTACCAACGAGATCAACATCAGAACCTCTTTGCTCGACGTTGGGAATCCGGAGATTTACTGGCAGAGTTCAAGCACAGTTCCTCTTCAAGGAAATACCACGTCAATGAATGGTCAACTGAGCATCAAGGGAGAAGGATTTGAGCTGTCGAGCAATTCAGACGACGATGTTGCAAGCATGATTTCAGGTGGTTCAACCGACCACTACAAGTACAATTTGACGGTCAAAGCGAGCTCAAGGGTGATTCTGAACGCTGGTACAGGGTTCTTCAACTGGAGGAAAGGTAACACCACGCAATGGTCATTCCCAAGTGGCCAAACCTCGGGCACGTTGTCTATCGGCGAATCACTGTACCAGGTTAATGAGGAGCGCTCAATGACGTGGTACGATCGACAACACGGTGGTAGTGGCCCCGACGGCGGATTCACCTGGTTTGGTGTCCAATTTCCTGGCTCGAATGTCAAGGCTAGCATCTGGCACTCCGACAACGAGGATCCCGAGCAGCGTCTCCGCTTTGCGACTGTTCGTAAAAACTACGGCTTGTCAATAGTACGGTTCAATGCGACTGCCGACCCGAACGAGGTATGCACATCGCCAACAAGCAAAACTACATACCAAACCAAGTGGTTTCTCGACTTTGACAACGGAGATTTGCTGGAAGTCACTAGTGTGAAGAGAGACCAGGACATTCCAGCGGAGGGGCTGTTCGCGGCCTCGGCCTTTGCGTCTGTGAAAGGACGGTTCTTCGGACAGAAGAACAGGTTTGCGCTTGTTGATGTTGTGCCTGCTGCATAAGGATGTAATCGCCGCCGTACAAACGAGACTATGTCGCCACGTCGTTACCGACTTCCTGGAGGTGGATGCGATCAAGAACCATGGGTGTAATGGAGAAGCATTCTTGCCTACATTATCAAGGGGCAGCTCAATGTTTTTGCGCTAGACATGTTATAGCCTGAAGTGAATTATAAAATGTAGTATCTATCCCGCAAAGTCTTTGTATTTGCGAATAAAATCATGCAAAATTTGCCCCGAGTCGCAAGGGACAAGCTGTAGATACCGACAGCTCTGGTCTCCTGATTGTATGACCCTCAACATCGTCCTTGTCAGCCACCAGTATTCTGCAGCATGCTTCTCAAACCCGATGTGTGGCAACAATTTACCTTCGCTATCGTGGGTTATAGAGTCCCACAGACGCTTCCATCGATCGGTCGCGCGAAGCATAGGCTCTGTAGTCATAGAAACTAGAAGATTCATTCTGGCTGACATGATGGCAGACATTAACGCTATGGAGGGTCAGTCGTAACTTCATAGTCGAGGTAAAGCAATGACAAACCGCAAATGAGTATCAACATTACTGTTGCTGAGACATGTTTCTCATTGTTTTCGTTCTCCTCAAGAGGTGCGAGGAGAAGGCGTGACATGAGTTCGGGTAATGTATAAGCCTGTTGGTTTGACCGTCCAAGTGAGGCAACCCGCTCAAAGTCCGCGGCTGATTCGGCTCTGAATAGATCCTCATCACATGGCATGTTACCAGTCATCTCAGCTGTAGCAATCTGTGGTGGGGTGTTGAAGAAAATTGATATGGTGGTCTCAAATATGCAAGTCCACATTCCCACTCTGCAGCTATTGTTAGCGGCCGTGAACACGGAAGATGTGTTAGCTTCTAGTACCTTAATCGCATCTCATCGGCAATGAAACCCCGCCAATCATATGTACCTTGGGCTGTGATAAAGGGTCTTCGTCGATGTGCGAACAAGCCTGATGCTCGCACAGCGGCATTTACTGACGGCATCCTCTGGAGTCGAATTCGCCGTCGTGTAGCGAGGTCGTTGACGTTGTTCAAAAAGACCAAGAACAAAAGGCTCGCCTGTATCAGTTCAAGCTCCTCGTTATTAACGAATGCTGATTGGGGCGTCTGCAATTTTTGCCGCGAAATCAGCTTGTCAAAAACGTAAGCTTCCGCAATATATGAGAACCGTCGTACTGCGATGGAAGAACCCGAGTCGTTGGAAGACATGGAGCCGAACAGAATAAGTGTGAGCAAGAGAGGAAGTGATGCCGTCTGCAAGTCGAACGTTGGCTTGTGCAGGATGGGAAATGAGAAGTGAAAATAGCGAAAGAAAGCCCAAACAAAGTGTCTTACGTTTCCTACTGTGAAGACTGACTCTGCGAACTGGAGGTCAAAAGCCATTTGGATGGCATCATTGCGTTCCAGCATGGCGCTGTACTGAGCGGAGAGTTCGTGTATCAGTTCTCTGATACGAACTTCCAGCGCGTAGGCATCCTCGAGCTCAGGCGTTAGACTATCGCTTATCATTGGAGATATGTACTCAGCATCCCTTTCCATGAGGAATGGAAAGCCGAAGAAGACCGAAGGAACATCGGCGAGATCGAAGAACATTTGGTCATTGGCCATTTGCTGGTCTGTCGGGTCTAGCTGAGCGCGCGCTTCACCGTCTGCATCATCGAGCTCGGCAGCTTCAGCGGCGATTACTGCGGATGGACGGTAGCCTGATGGGTTCGTGAAGTTGAGAAGAAATTCAATAGAGATGCCTCCACGCTGCCCATTGGAGGTTGGCCCTGCATCACCGGCCTGGCTGTGGCTAGAGCGCGTATCGACGTCGAAGCGTGGAGTGGCAGGTGAAGAGGCATGGTCTACTCGTTCATAGGTACATACCGCGCCACCAGAGCGGCAGCGCGCACACGGCATCTTGGTGTCGCATGACAACTTCCGCTTTGAACATCTGTCGCAAGAGTGGCGCTTTCTACCACGCTTTAGAATAGGCAGGATGATTTCATGGTCCTGGGCAGAACAGTTCTGCATGTGACGCCGAGCGAGGTCTCTGTACATGCGTCAGCTCGTATAGATAGTGAAATCAAAGCAAGACGAACACACCTCCTTGAAAATTGCGCCTGGCACGAGGGACATGTCAAGTCCTGTCTGCCATAATCTGACGCGTGTGAGCCGCGAAGGATTGCTTGTGTGGGAAATGCTCACGTGTGGCTTCATGGCGACGCAGATGGCTATTGGTCGAGTACGTCTTGTTGCATATGGCGCAGCGGTGCTTGCCGGAAACGGTCGATGTACGTGGGGACGGCATGTTGGGTTTTATTCCGCTGCAGCGATCGCAAGTGAATTTATTAGCTGCCGATCGATCGTGTGCGGGCCGATAGGTTGCATCTCCGAATGCCCGGTACCCTGCAGATGCGACAAGAAAGATGAATCATCAAAGCCTCGCCGGCTTTCACGGCTTCCGAGCGAACCACGGGAAGATGAAGTCTTACACGAAGCGCATAGGCAGCAATCGCTACTTGCTGTACAGAGGTGCTATTTCTCCCACGCCTCCGCTGTATGTAGCGAACTTGAATCGGCAAGTGGGTTCATTGCCGGCCTTAGAAAGCTGTCCAGATACAAATGCGAGGCCTTGAGCAGCATCGCGTCATGCCGAAGCAGCGTAAGCGTCTTCAGCTCAGATTTCTGTCAGAGTTTTATCTCGCGCTAGTCAACAAAGTTGTGATTTGATAGGCGAGATGATTTCCATACCTTTTGGGTCTTCGCATCGCGCCATTCCTAATAAAGACGCTTGTTAGTGAGTACATGTAGGGAGATTCTGCGGAAAGGAGCGTGTCGTATGGCATTTATCACTGACATCCAGTTGCAGATGAACGATGGACACTTCACAATACACCCGTCGTGACCTTGACGAACTAAAGAAGTTCTCTTCCACATCGCCGCTTCGCGTCATCGCCTTGATCGACTTTGACGCTTTCTACGCGCAATGCGAGATTGTTAGATTATGTCTACCGTCCTCAACACCGTTGGCCGTACAACAGCCGAATGCTATCATCGCGCTCAACTATCCTGCACGTGAGTCTGGACTCAAAAGAGGTGCATCGATAGACGAAGCCCGGAGAGTCTGTCCGGACATTGTCTTACAACACGTCGCAACATGGAGAGAAGGCGAGACAACATGGGCATACCGGCCAGATGTCACAAAACATATGGCGACTGACAAGTCAGCCCTGGATCCATGTCACCTTCAGTCGCGCAAGTATTTCGAATTCATTCGCAGCCTGTTGCTAGAGGAGTCTATTCAGAAAGTCGAGAAAGCTAATATAGATGAGGTATTCCTGGATTTATCGGCTCATGTTCATCAGATTATGCTTCGGCAGTTTCCGGAGCTTGCAGAGCAACCTGACGACTTGGAGCAATATCTCCCTTTGCCTAGATTCTCTTCGCTTTTGGATTGGGAGGACAATCACGTTGTGGATATTGAAAAGGCTGATCCGAGGCCTGAATGGGACGACATTGCCCTCGATATCGGAGCCGGCATCATCCGTCGTATTCGAGCTGAAGTCTTGACCCATTCAGGGTATACATGCTCCGCAGGCATTGCACACAACAAGGTTGTGGCTAAACTTGGTGCTGGTTTTAAGAAACCTAATCGGCAAACTGTGATCCCGGCGCAAGCTACATGCAATTTTCTAGCAAATCAAATCGTCAAGCTCACCAAGATACGTGGACTGGGAGGAAAGCTCGACCAACAAGTCTTAGATGCGTTTGGCTTTAACCGCGTGGATGATATTCTTCGCATAACAATCGAAAACTTGGAAGCAAAATTAGGCAAGGAGTCCGGCTAATGGGTGTAAAACGTTGTTCGCGGCAGAGAAACCAGTATTGTGACGTCACAACTTGTAGTCCAGTCAATGCTGTCAGCAAAAACCTTCGTTCAGGCGTGGGAAGCTTCGAGCAAGCTATGGAGTGGCTTCGCATATTCGCTGCGGACCTGATGGGCCGTTTGAAAGAGCTTCAGAGCGAGTATCCTCGTCGACCATCTGTCGTTACCCTGCACCATCACATTAATGGCCGCTTTGGCCCTACGCGATCGAAACAAGCCACAATACCGTCGGGTAGTAAGGTTGATGAGATGGCCGTTTTTGCTTCGTCGAAATCTTTACTTCGTCAGATATGCCACGAAGGTGTGGCGTGGCCTTGCGCGTGTCTGTCTGTAAGCATATCCGGATTCCAGCCACTTGTCGCACGGAATCATCGCATCACTTCGTTCTTCACTACAGACTCCACCAATACGAAGTGCTTGAGCGATGCTTATGAAGAAGATGAGAACGAACGGCAAGAGCCAAAAAATTCATACTGAAGGCGGCCACGAAACGTCATTGGAAGAAACGAAGTCAGCCTCTGCATCTTCTAAGAAAGATGGGGTGAAATCACTGCATACCAATCTGCATGACTTACAAGCCGAGAACGTCTTTTCGTACGACTGTCCAAAGTGCAGTCAGAGCATACAAGCTACCCAAGTGCTTGAAAATCGTAAGTGGCCCTGTACGAACTGCACATGAGACATCAACTAACTTCGTATTCTCGCATCTAGTCGACTGGCATACTGCACTCGAGATACAAGAATCAGGAGAGTGAAAGCCTCACTCTTTGATCCGAGGGAACGGCTTCCAGGATATGGAAAGGCCTATCTGGTATGCGCGCAGTATCGAACTATTTCTAACAGCGTCAGCGCTTCATCCACACTCAGTCATACAGCAAGATCAGTAGAAACCCTTCCGCGCTCCACCCTTGCCCCGTCCTTCTCCCCAGATACAGCAGATACTCAGACTCTCGCACCACCCTTGCGCCATGTACCCTTCTAGCTCTTTCTCTACTGCAAGCACGTCCTCGGCGTCTTTCTCCACACTCACCGCCGCTTCGCCCCTACGCTGCAAGTCCGAGTTCCAGGCTTTGATCTGTTTTTGTGTCGCCCTCTTGAACACGCGTATCGGCGTGTTGGCGTTCAAATACGCGGTAAACTCTTCAAGAACAATAGGATCATACATAAGGATCTTCTCATGCCAGCTAGGATGTTTGGGATCTATGGTCGGAGGCAGCGAGCGGACATGCGCTGATATCTGGGAGAAAACGCTGGGCTTAATGTGCACCCATTCTAGTAGGTTGTTTGATATGCGATGTATAGGCGTCAAAGCTGGGTCAGCAGCTAACAATTTGGCCCTGACATTGGTGCCTTTTTGGGCTTTGTTAGGCGATGTCGTGGGTGAAAGGGTGATCAAAGGTAGAGGTTCAGAATCAACATGTTTTCGTATTCGAGGTGGTGTGGGTGATAGTACTTGAAGAGCTTCATCTTCAGAATCAAGGATTTCCTCAATATCGACAAAGCGGCCTGATCCCCTTGGTGGAGTTGTAGGTACCTTGTGACCAGTTTTTGCCTTTGCCTTGATCTTTGGAGGTAAGGACTCCAACACTGGTGTAGAGGATGTAGAGATTGATTTGGAGATCGCAGGGTGTGACTTCAGTAGCCTACCACGCTTCTTCGGCGAGCCGTCCATAGTTGGTGGTGCTGAAGCCGGAGATCTAAATTTCAGGACGGGTGATTTCCGCATCTGCGCAGAGGGTGGAAAATCGAAGTCATCGATATCGACGAAGCTGTTCGGTGACGCAGCGTTTTGGTTCGAAGGTGGCGGCTCTTGCATGAAGTTGTCGATGTCTTCAAAGCCTGTATTTTCCCTCTGGGTATTATTTTGACGATGTTCCTGAGATGGCAAGGCATGGAAAGCGGCGTCAAGTGGCGTTGGCGACTTAGAAGATACAGGGATTGTCAGAGGAGGGTCTGACAGTATGTCGTCGATGTCTATAAACGTAGATTGATCATCAAACTCTCCACCAGGCATGTCGTCAGTGCTGTCCATAAGCAAGGGAATATCTTGCGTCCTATCTGGCTCTGGTATATAAATGTCTTTCAGCTGTTCAAGTATGCCGCCTTCGCCGTCTCGTGCACTCGCAGCCCAGAGCCCCCGTTTGCCTTCAGTCCTGTCGAGTCGTGGCCAGCGCGAGGGCGCACCACATGCGACAAGATCAAGATTATCGGCATCTCGCTCCGACTCCTTCATTGCAAACTGGATCTGTCGTATCATGGTGGGCGACTCTTCAAGCGCAAGCTGACTTGATGTTCCGAACAGGACATCTTGCTGCTGTAGACGCGACATTGCAGAAGAAGGGCTGAGTAACTTTTCTGCAACAGGCTTTGGCTTAGCGGCAGCTCTCGCAGATGCTTTCCTTGATCTTGGCTTAGGGTCGGCCTTTTCTTTCTCTGTGCCTGATCTGGAGCTATTGCGCCTCCTTGCTGGCTTCTTTGGTACCGCTTTGCCATCGGCTGTAGACGTATCATTCAACGGCACTTTTGTTGTAGTTGTTGAAGCCCGAGAATCAAAGAAGTTACTGCTCGAATCGTTCGGATTCGGCTCTGCATCCTTCAATGCATACTGTTCCGTGACAAGATCTGTGATGGTGCGTGGTTTCTTCTTTGGGGCTTTGCCCTTCTCAGGTGATGAGTCTCTAGGGTTGGCTTGGTTGCTGGGTATTTCAACGAGCTGCCGATAATGGTCAGAAGGAGTGTTCCATGCTACGTGTCCATGCAAGCAGACTTACCTCGATTCTCCGGCGCTTAGTCGCCGCCACTACCTCCGTATCTGCGTTGGTCGACTTTGCGGTGACTTGAGCAGATGGTGACTGTGCATAAGCAAAGTTGGAGAGTAGGTTTGTGAAGGTACCATCAGCGTTCTGCGCCAGTGTCTTGTTCTCCTTTCCGGCTGAGTCTGTGAACGGCGATGGAACTGTCGTGTCAGGTGGCGGCGTCCAATCTCGTCTCCTGACGACAGCCTCCTCCAAGTCCAGTCCTTCTGCAATGGGATCTGGCCGACGCTGCCTCAGCGCAGCCTTCTTCTTCAGGGGTGGGGTTTCATGCGCCTCCCAGATGGATGGATACTCTGCGTGTGTGTCTTGAACCTGTATCGAGGGTCGTGTTCCCGAGGGTTCGCCTTTGTCTGCTTCCTCGAGGAAATGTGCAGACACGAGCGAAGCATCTTTGCCTGCCCCAGCTTTCGGTTTTTTGACTCTCGGTTTCTTAGGCTTTGGCCCGGACTCTGCACCCTCTTCTCCAGGCTTCTGCTTCTTTGCACGCGGCTTCCGAGGCTTACCCGACTTGGTCAGCTTAGACGCATTCGCGGCTTCAACCGCAGCCTCGGCCGGAGGTTCCAACGTATTCTCGTCGAAGAAAGGGGACTTGGTAGGTCGTTCCGGCGGGCGTCGGAGCTCATCGTCCGAGTCGGGGATTTCTTTGTCTGACTTGGGTTTTGGTTTGCGCGCTCGAGGCTTCGGTTTGGGCTTCTGGGACCCTTCCGTAGCAGTGGTAGTAGCAGTCTTCTTTGTAGACCGCCTCGTGGGCTTTTCCACAACCAATTCCGACTCTATGGCAGCCTGCGGCGTCCGTCGTGACTGTGCTCCTTGTATCGCATCGAAGTCGTCGTCAAGACGGCTTGTGAAGTGCTCAGAGCGTACGAGACTGCCAACGGTGGCAAATCCTCTAACAGCACCCTCGGGGATGGGAGCTGCCCTTGCGCTATTCCTCGACGCGTCGATTGTTGGTCTCAGCGGGCTTTCCGGAGGAGAGAATGATAGAGGCGAGGATGCAAGCATGGCAACGCGACGGGAGGGGGCTTCATATTGCGGGGAAGCGGCCGGCGGACTGGAGCTCAATATCACCACATCGTAGGTATTGCCTGCCATAGTGAGGCGAGGAAAGAGCCTCCAGGCAGCCAATGTGGGCAATTGCAGAGGGGTAATCCATAGACTCAGCTCGAGTAGTTGCAGCTTGGGAAGGTGTAGTACCGAGTGGCGCGAGGCGGTGATCTGAACAATGCACGGTCGTACGACCACATGAAGTTCATTGCTGCAACACCAAAGTCTCCATCACCAAGTCCTGACCTATTACCCCTCCACTAATGAAGCACCAGCACCAACGTTCCGCAATCGAGCTGCAATACTTGTTGGAGGTCCGTACAAGCTCTCTGGTCTTCGCTATCGATTCAATCACCTGCTCTCCAGGCGCATACAGCTTCAACCTTGCCTCAGCGGACGTCTTCCCTGACTCATGGTAGCCAGCCACCCTCACCCTCTCGTCTCTCGAAGCTGTAGAGAGCCACTGCTGGGCCTCAAAATGGCTTCCAGACCGTGCTCAGCCAATTCCTGCATCTTTTGCCGCTCTTGGCGGGGTGATTGAGGTCTTGGACACGCAGACCTATCTCTGCAAGATCCCAGCCACCAAGCCTTGTGCTTTTGCATCTTCTTGCGAGGCTTGGAGATGTGCGAGAAGATTCCCACCGGCTTTAGTAAGTACTTCCCATGGCGATTAACGAGGTTGTTGAGCTTCGCCGCCGCTTCCTAGGCTTGCTTCTGCCGCTGCCCTACTCTACTCATGGGTCTATCACCCAATCAGAGACGATGCACCATCTCTCTGGTGCACGTCAAGCTGACAGGCTCTAGGCTCTTGTTGAGCATCTCCAACAGCAGAGATGTTTTTCTGCTACCTGACTTTTGGGGCTGCCGCTGGTCCTTTGCCCTAACCCTCATCGAAAAGAGTGAACGACGGAGACATTACTGCATCACCTCACAGGGAGAAGCACAGAGGACCGATTCCCTCAAGCCGACAGTCATGGTAGTTTTCTTGCGTCTCTCGAATCGACATGCTGGCGACATGGCGGGAACCAATAATCGGTGGTAGCAGAGCCGAACCACAGCAGGACCATCTTGGGCTGTATCGCGAGACGCAGCCGTAATCAACCTTCGCACGCACATCATCTCACCAGGTACAAACACAATAGTCGCCATTGCGAGGCAGTACCGAACAAATAAAGGGCCTGGCAATGCAGGCATGCTGAATGGGTGACCTGGACTACGTCAAGCGACCTTCGAAGTATATACATCCAAAAAAAAAGTGGCCAGGAATTTCGTTTTACCCATTCGCAATCAGCTTTGAGACTGTCAAAACTTCTTGATGAAGCTGTGTTTGGGTCATGCTATGGTCAGGCTGTCCACACTTTCGGATGGCCGTCGCCCATTGTCATAGTCGTGTTTCATCCACGCGTCGCTGGGCCAATCTCGCTGTCGACGAGGTATTTATTACGACGACACATGCGTTTTAAGTGTGCCGAGCAGGGTTGGTTCAACTCTACATCGTACAGCGGTTCAAGTACGGCGCGTTGGAGCCCTGCTTCACAACACTACGCATCAGGACTGCGACTATCAGCATGCTAGCTTGCGGATGACCACACCAGAGTTTCGAAATTTATCACCTGGCTATGTTTTGGAAGTCACATTCCCGAATCACATAGTCGCGACCTTGAGGTGATAACGAGGCAGCTAGATGTTAGCATCAACAGCAATGCTTGCCTCATCTGCCGGGATTATGTCCACAATCGACGTCACAGGACGAAAGAGAGGAGATCCAACGTTGAATAATGGATAGCTGGCAGCAGTCAGCAATTTACCTCTGTCGCGAGCAAATTGTTTGGAACATACTATCGCTAAGATTCGCTTTACATAAACACCTTACACACAGCTTCGGAATCGTTGCTACTATTCGTCAAAATTGTGGACTTGCCTTAAGACTTGCGACGTCTGCTCCGGTTGTGATTATGATGGCTGGACCGAGAGCTATGGTATGCCCTTGGGTTTTACTGGAATTGGGTCTTCAGAGTGTGGGGCCGAGCCTCCGACCTTGACCTTACGGTCTTGCACAACCTTCTTGGTCTTCCAATTTGGCGAAGGACATCATTCCAAGATCGGAGGCCCTGGCACTACCCGGCTCTGTCAAACTCCGCGCGCAGCGTCTTGGACGCATGGCTTCCACAGTTCGAGTGTTCTCAGCCGCAAAGAATGAGCCGACGCCATGGACGAGACTGTAGGGGTGGAGACACAGTCAGTGTATGTTTCACAGGCATTCTTTGATTCAACTTACTGTAGGCACCAACTGTTAGCTTTGATCCTGCGCAAGAGCGATTGGACCGTGTCTCGTGGTCTGGCGTTTCATCCCCAGCCAGCGAACGAGGGACCATCATTCTTATGAGAGTGGAATGATTGCTCTTTCCCTGAGCATTGTAACATCGTGTCATTGCTAGAACCTTCAGGAAGTCGTACGGGACTGCGTAGGACGAGTTTCGGACGTCAACGAGGGGCCTGTACGTCTTGCGGAACAGAGCTGTGCCTTCGACAGTTATGTTGTTGATTCATGCGTGGTCCACTTCATCCATCAGCACGATGCTGCAAAAGAGAGTAAGATGCAGGCGGCGCTGCATGCAGGACTCACCGAATGAGTCTTCGGCATGTAAGACGCCGACTGAACTCCTGGCCTGTACGATGAAAGAAAGATCCTATTGAGCGTTGGAAATGCCGAGCCCGACAGAACACGATGATGTGCTCTGGATCGATGAGGCAGCCTGTCTCTAAAGTATCTAGCTACGCCACTAGCTGAAGCCTCTACCGCCTCAGCCGTTGTACATGGCTGCTGACTGAGGGTTGTCAGACTTATCAGGAGAGCTGTATCTATCTTCTGATGGCTCCGGAAAGACTCATGGAAAAGAGCAGAGTGCGTCGAAACTCTTATACCGTACCGAAGGACCGTGCCTTGCAGAGCTTGGGCGACTGATTGTAGAACAACTTCGAAGCACCCCAGGCTGAACAACTGGAATGTGCAATCCGGAATTGAGAAGATGTTCGTCGAGGTCGAATGTATCGTTTGATGCGTACGTAAAGCGGTGTCTTACCGACATCGACTGTGTCCGCTCGAAAGTGCAGTCAACATGACAGGGCAGGAAATGATTGCCTGTACTGGTATATCAGCTATTGGTCTCCCCGAGAAATGGGGTAGGACAAGACTTCCTATCATGGCCTGAAATGTTGCCACGGCTATTGGAGAGTCATGGTGTTAAGTGTGTTGGTGCTGGACTCAGGCGAGCAACTTCGGCGCCACGATGGCCTGGAAAAGTAATGTCGTCAGCAATGGTCAGATACCATCGGCTCTATCGTACAGGACTGGCGACGAGCGACCGCCTTGAGTTGAACAGCTACCTCCAACCCGAGCCTTACGAAGGCGGCGAAATAGTCAAAGATGAACCAGCGGCGAAGCCAGTACATACCTTGTACGCTGTGACCATCAGTGTTATGTCTCGAGCCCTTCGAAGGTCACGTACTCATCGTTGGAGAAAGGATAAAGTTCAATTATCCTTGGAGCTATCAATCTGCTCCGCGGCAAGCTCGAAACTATCACCGCCGTGCAATCAGGAGTTGCGTAGTAATTTGACAGGCCCAAGGACATGGGAAGTATGTTACACAGCGAAGATTGCAGAGGCTGAGAGTATCGAGGAGTTGGTGGGGGGAGGTGGAAGCCAGTCAATCAGGCCCACCTTCATGGGACTCACCAGCTCTGTGACGCACGGGCCACCACGACTGAGAATGTGTCTTGCAGAAGGAGCTCAACGACGAAACGAAGAAAGCGGTCAATGACAGCTGTCATTAGGACATGCTGTCGCTGTGAGATGACAAGATGGGCTCAGACGGACGCAGTTTGCTATCCAGCGTTGAGTTTGCAGCAGCAAACATTGTGAACGCTTCCTAGATGGCAATAGCAGGGCCTCTTAGAGCCCGAACTCTGAGTGCCTCTCAAGCACATGCAGAAACGACGGTCTAGTTTGAAGAGATGACTGCTGCAATCTGGTTTAACTTCACGTGCACGACGGAAGTGACATGACAGCAGGCTACCTAGGTAGCAGCTGCATGCGTGCTTTGGTTGTCCAAGACCGGGTGAATTCAAAGCACGCCAGTGCACCCTGACCCCCAAGACAAACTTGTCTTAAACTATGGGCGAAAGAGAGTCAACTTTCGTACTCGTTAGAAACGGGCGCGGGAGCTCTCTTAGCGAATCTCTAAGCTACGCAAAGAATGCATGTCCAAAGAGAGGTTCCGCCACCGTTGTCTCCCGACCGATTCGTCTTGATGCTGCATCCTCGACAATCCCGCATCGTGGATACAGACGACTTGACAGAACACCGACAGCGGAATATCACGGGCGAAGCATACTGGATGTCTTGGTACGAACTACGGCACACGATTCTTGGTATCTGCCGTATCTCGCTGGATCGACTTGTCTGCACGAGTGGTTATCTTACCATGCTTTAGAAGTGCCACACAGCTCCATGTGACATGACTTTGGAATATGCACGAGTAGCTAAAACTGAAGTGTGTCCGGCATCATTCTGATGCTACGGTTCGCACGCATTTCAAAGCTCGTGATACGGCATGTCGTTAGCTGTAATGCTGTCCGACAACGTGATACTCTACGATTGGCTCACCTACATATGTCATGCTTCAGCCCCGTACCAGCCCATCATCCCGTCCTGCTGTCTATGGCATTCCCAATACATGCTGCATTTCATCCCCTCGTTTCCACTTCCCTTAACTCCTCCGCATACAGCTATGCCTTCCATGCTTCCTGTCTTCGTGATACCTTGCTCTTATTCTTGTCATCAAACTTATTCTCTTGTGCCGCTGTGTTCCCCATCTTCGCCCTTTTCTGCCAAGCACTCGACCTTCCCTTTATTTTCCTATTCGCCAGACCGGTCGCCAATGGCACCGTGTATCCTACGCCTGCTTTCTTCTCGCAGCACATTTTCACATCCTATACCCATTCACATCCTTCTAAACAAAGTCTTCCATCTGCCTCCCCCCTCTCCAAACATTCTGAACGCAAGGTAGTAGCTTTCCCTCATCTTTTGCCCTTCATTCTGTAGGCTGCTGCCTCTCATAGTCATGTCCTGGTCTCTTCTTTCCCTGTCCATCCCGAAAAGTGTTCAGGCACACGCCCTACTTCCCTTCACAAGCTTCAGCATCAGAAGTCTTTGTTGCCTCATTGCCACACCTTCCTACTCCACTTATGGCCCTGGGATTGCTCGTGTGCTATCAGGCGGGGTTGTTCGGAATCGTTGTGTCCGCGCCGTGTAGGTTTTGGCTCTGCGAAGATGAGGTGGCGGGTCGAGAGGCGACGGTGTGCAGATTGGATGGTGGAGGACGTTGGAAGGCGAAATGCGCGCGACGATCGTGGTGAATACGTGGAGAGAGCGACGAAATGGCTCCTATTCGGCGTTAGCTGATGGTGTCTCTAGATTCCAGGCCACGCCAGTGTTACTCTCTCGCAGCTACTCATGTGACATGTTCATATGTGATTTACTCTTGGCTGTTTCGTGCGGGTTTAATCGTTCGTAGTATCTGTTTCGACAGTTCGACTCGGAGCCGCGCCTTGTTGTACGGTTCGCATGCCCGGCCGGCGCGAAACGTCGGTCGCAGGCTTTCAAGCAGGGGGACAGCTGCCGCTATGATGATTTTCTCTGTTAATACGTCAAAGTGGTCAGCTGCTCGGCTGTTCCTAGTTATTGAGAGTATGGTATGAAATCATCTCGTTCTATTGACATACTAACTTGTGCCGAGTGGCTTTCGGTCATTAAAGTGAGCCAGCGTAGCGCTTGACACTGCGCTACCGAGCCACCATGTAATCGCACACATGAGTTTGGTAGTCTCAACAGCAAAGTCGAAGTTCGTCTGGCCGGCTGGTTGCGATTGGGTAGGCGTATCATTCCGTCCTCCCCAACTCAATTTGCGCAACGATGCGAATCTTCATCCCACCTGTTCTGACCTCGATGATTGGGCGCACAAACGAACGCCTATTAAGAGGGTACGCCACAGTATCGTGTCCTGTCGTTTTGTCGTTTTGTAGAGTTGCGTCGGGTGCTGCCTTCTACCCTTTCCAGGGCAGCTTGCACTACGAGTGTCTTCTCGCTACGCTTCGAATTTTGGTGTTGTCGCACCGGAGCTCACGAATCGTCATGTCTCTATAGTTGGATCTGATCTACACAGAGGCAGAGAAAGGGTATAGCGGGCCAAGACGGAAGTCAAAACGTTTTGTCGGCTATCTGTCGGTGGGAAAGGCGCACCACGAGAAGCCGAAGCGACAGTACTGTCGAGGCGAGGGTCGTATCTAGAATTGGGGACTCTTTGGATCTTCCCTTGATTGCCGTCGTGCTAAAGAGAAAGGAATGAGTTGGACCGGTCCGTTGAGCGTGTCGTTCTGTGTAGAGCCTGGGCGCTGAGCGACGACACCGATAAGCCTTTAGCAGCAGGGCTTGATAGCCACTGGAGCCGTACATGATATTGGATACTGGTTTGAAGCACTACTGCTTGCGTGAGTTGAAGTAATATGCAGGTTGTATGGATAAGTGGTGTTGGCTTGTGAGCGTGGAAAACAGGATATTAATTTGTTCTACGCTTTTACCAATGAGTCAGTAGGCAAGTGTCAACACGGCAACACTGAACAGTACCGGTTTCTCAGACTATACTTCGAGGTTTTGTTACGACGCGATTCATGTAATCAAATGAATTCAACAATTTCTGAAGGCATCCCATGTTTCAGTGCAGAAAATGAAGTCAGAGCACGTTGTTGTGAAAAAGATTTTCGCTCATTTCTTGCCGGACAGTGATTTGCCAGTATTGTGATGTACACAGCAGGCGGAGAAGACAGGTAGATAGAGTACCATGCCAGGACCTACCTGCTGTCTAATTGATCTAGCTCATAGACGCGGGAGCTTTGGACATTGAGACCCCAGAGCTCTATGAAGTCTTGATGGCCATGCAAGCGCAAGCGCTGTTCTCGCAATCCGCATAGATTCTCTCCTTGCTTCACCAAATCGACTTGCAACCCTTTTTTGATCCTGTACTTTGTCTCTTGTCGCTAAGGTCGTGATGGCATAGCCTGTGGCGTGGTAGTGTGACGTGATCGGAAATAATCTAGGATACGTTATCATTAATCAAAGTGTTTGCAAGTAAGAGAAAAGCAGAATTGTAAGGGAGTGGAATTCACGCCCTTGACATTCTCAGACTTTCCAAGGGCTTTGCTAAAACATTCGTCATAAACCCAAAAAGCTTTCGGGCCTAAGTGTTGAAAACTAACACAGGTTCATCATTGAGTGTCGGTAGATAGGCCGCCCCAACGTGCAAGTGTTTGAAGGGACCTGGGGAAGACTTAGCTTGTTTTGGAGATTGGGTACGTGATCTGTCCAGGCGGTAGCGATGACGGTGAAGGGGCGGCAGTGGAGTAGTCGGCGAGAGAACTGTACTGGGTTAACTGTGTGCATAGAGAGATATTCGAGAGATTGGCTTAAGATGCCCTCAGAAAGTGCTTTTTATCATGAGATCAATAACTACAACTGCCGATACGACAGTCATCTTGGGAAGAGAATGAGTGGGCTTTGAGCCACAGAATTTGCGAAGTAGGGGAAGGGAAGAGGGAGACTCAGCTTGACGGAGTACCTAGGTAACAGATCGTGGCGAGTGTTGCTGAAGTTCAAGGAGGTAGAGAATGGTGAAGAGTTTACAAGTGACTGAGGAAAAAACGAGAGGGGAGGGAACAATATTGGGAGCTAACCGAATCGTGGGTCACGTCATCAGATCATGGTGTTTGTCGTTCATAATAGTGAGGCCGCGAGGACAAGTTGCTGTGCAACACATCTCATCACAACAGTAAGAAACCTTTCGATTCGGATGCTATCATAGAGACCAGATAATCTAACCTTCTAGTCATCACACACAGATACAAATACACAATGGCAGCTCCTCTTCCCCGCCCTCGCATCGCCAGCACGCTCATCGCTGAGCGCGACGTCCTTGAGCAAGACATCCGAAACAACAATGCAGCAATCGAACAATGGGCCGTCTTGCCAAGGTGGAACTGGCAGGAGCTTCGAGCTGCGCGAATTCTGGGGCAACGGCTCGAACGCGAGGTCATTCTACTCACTATCGAAATCGACATTGCCTTGACGCGAGAGGTGGCCAACATGGAGTGGCTCATGTCACTAAGCCAAGTAAGCTCTCGAATGCCTGTCAATTTCCCAACACATCAATTGACTCATTTGAAGGAGGAGTTACGCACTCGCCTGCGGCTTGCCTGGCGAGCGGTCTTGTCCCGGAAGGCTCGTACACCGTAGAAAGAAGGAGGAAGGGGACGATAACGAAGAGCGACCGACTTGATTGTCAGACTACTTAACCATAATGAATACCCCGTTCAAGATGTCATCATGTAATGCAATGCACAGAGTTGTGACCTGCAGGTGGCTACGTAGATTTTACAGCGCTCAGTCCTAGCCAGTTTGAGTGAACGTTCTCTCCCTGCCACGCCCACATCCATTGTCAGACTAAGCAAACATCTCTTGTCGCTTTTGTATTGTTGTTTGGTCTTGTATGATTGAAGGGAAAAGTCGGCATGCTGGGCGGTTGAGGCTTTGGTGGGTGATGCGGCTGTCTGCAGAGACGTCAGTAGACGTGACATTTGCGCGTACGCATACGGCTTTCTAGTAGTTAGGGCTCCATATAATAGATTGTCCCGATTTGCTGTGACTTGTTGTTGTCGTAGGGTGCTGGCCGGTGGAACAGCAGCTTGGAGTTTGGCCGTAGCAGTGGCGAGATCAGTGTACCTGGGTAGATGAGTGGGAAAGGTGTATGAATGTGCTCATGAATACTGTTGGCATCGATGGAGCACACGTTCAGAGAGTTTCAAGAAAGGCCGCACACCATAGCGAACATGTACGTGCTGACAACATCATCTGATGTTGTTATTGCAAAATGTACATAGGTACGACGCGTCACCGCTAGCTATCGACACCTCAAAGTCCGATGACAGCCAATACACCCAAGCACATAAACAAAGTCTAGATAATGAAGAAAAGATCTCTTCTTCCTCAAGTAACTCGCAAGCGAGAAGACTTAATGAAAAAGATCGCGTCAGCCAGAGGTAGTGTAATACTGGCAACACTGTGCCAACGAGTATAAACAAGTCCAGTGACTCGTCGGCTGGTTCAAAAAATTGTTGGGGAAGGTCGAGGCAGGCCGCACACGTCGGCACTCCCTCAAGACCTGGATAACGAGAGGAGAAGGGATGGGTGAGAAGGGGTTTATATGCTCCTCGTCCACTGGGCACGCTAACGTGCACATGACCTGGAGATTATATTTTCCGGGCTGAGCATTGTTGGACATGGTTAATCTTCGGCAACTGCTGGAGGCACCGGTGGTGAAAGGGTATTGTGGCTTATGGCCGCACTTAGATCAACGTCCGTGCCTTGTTGGCTGTGTAGAGTCACACTCTTCTTGCCCACCATTGCAAGACAGCTACGTCCTTTTCCTTTATCTCTCGCTCCCGAGAGCATCTGTATTGAAGGAAATATAAGACGTAGTTTTGGCATTGCGTGGTGACTGGCTAATGAGGACTTTTTCGAAGCTTACGACGATTTGTGGTTCGGTCTGGGACTACCTTTGGGTTCAGCCCTAGATTTAAGACTCAATTTCTGTGCTCCATGTCACTTCTTTTCATCGTGTTTTCGGACTTGTCAGTTGCTTGAGGAAGATCGAGAGGGGGTTCATTGTTGCTCTACGTCATGTCCCATGGCTCGAGGATCCCTAGGTACTTTGTCGTTAGCAAAAGACACGAAACACAGATTTCTGATCGAGATTTAGCCTTGTGTTTTGGCCCAGCCAACAAATGATCTTCCGCGTTCCGTTCTTGATAGTAACTTCAAAGCCGTTGACGCATACCACATATGCGCAGAATAAGAGTGAGAGTGAAACAATTCGAACCTGTCTTATCGTGGTGTATCCATACCATCCTCCCATCGCCGCCACATTCCTGAATCCAGAACTCTCACCGTTCATATACTGCAACAGCGACCTTCGAACTCCACACGGTGGAATGCGTCCACAAGTACGAGGTCGTGACGAACGAACGAAAGGGGAACCCTGCGAGAGAAAGCTGGCTTAGCTATCAGCTGTGCTCTCGCAGTATAGTTGCATGCCTCACACAACATGAAAGTCTTCAAGCTACGATTGAAAGAAGGATGTGTCGGTTCCAGGACTAAGAATTGGCTAATCTACACATAGTCCATACTGTTTTTGTGACTCCTTGCTTACTCCTCCAACCAGTCTGCAGCGCTACTAATAGCTTTGCTCACAATACCAACCCATCTTCTGACACTTTCCTCGTTGCCTTCTTCTATGGCCTCAACGATACCAGGGAACGTGGCACCTGAATAGCCGGTCCATTTCCCAGGAGCAAAGACGACGTGCTTGAACCAGCTTCGTCCATCCAGGCCGTTAGGGAACAAGAACTTCCTCTCCAGGTATTTGTACTTGGTGTTGATCGCACGGATGGCAAGGTACAGCTGCACCTTCTTCCAGGGCTGCCACCAGGGTATATCGCCAATGTTAGAGTATTGGATCGTGAGATCAGAGGCGGTAGCATCATGGAGGGTAGACGAGAACTGGAAGTGGGATACGGCTTCATCAAGAGTTTGCCAGAATTCGCCAAGGTCTTTACTAGGTGCGGCATCGTGTGCCTTCTGTTTGACGGCGTCAACGTACTTTTGCAGACCGATGGCGTAGTCCGTGGCGTTGAGCTGGAGAACAGGTGTGTCGATGAGCTTTGCTGCTACAAGTGCCCAAACCTTTGCTATCGTAGCGTGGTACTCAAAGGTTGGATCTCCAAACTTTTTCATCCAGTCGAACGAATCGTAATTGCTGTGGTAGTGGTAGACAGCAGATTTGGGATCGCCACCAAAGCCCATGTCGATACTTGGAATGCCAGCGAAATCTTGGAAGGCGGTGAAGTCACTGCCGGAGCCCATGGTTTCGATACGCTTGTCCCATACGTCGTATACCGATTGACCAGCGATTGTCTGGTTCGGGGATTTGACCACGTGCGCTGACATATGTTAGCTGAGTCGGATGAACAGAGTATAAAAGCAGACTTACCAGCCTCCTCAACCACTCTACTCAGCAAGGGCGCCGCTGACAGCTTGAAATCCGGGCCGACTGATCCAACATCGACATTCAGATATGCGACTGTCGAACCAGAGAGCCAGGGCAGGTACTCCTCTACCCACTCAGTGCTTCCAACCAGGCCGTACTCCTCGCCGTCCCAGCTCGCAAAGACAATTGTCCTCATGGGCTTCCAGCCAGCCTGCATAGCAGCACCGAAGCTTCTAATGACCTCATTGAGCGCTGCGCTGCCGCTGTTAGGATCCCCAGCACCGCCAGCAATCCAAGCGTCGCGGTGGTTGCCAAGAACAATTACTTCGTCGGGAATGGTGCCATTGATGATTCCGATGACGTTCCACAGAGGCGTCGTGACATACTCCTGCTCGTTGACCAAGTTCAGCACTAAGTGGTCAGGCGAAGGTCCAACATTGTATTCTACGCCCATGTAGTCCAGCCCGCCACCGTGCCAATGCTCGTCGAAGGTCGAGGCTTTCGGGCCGTGGCCGTTGAGCGCTTTGAGGAGGGGGAATGCATCGAGGTAGGAGATGGGAAGCGAGGGGATGTGCGGCATGGCGTGGTCAACGGGCTGGCGGGGGCAGCCGGGCTTTGAGGGATAGCCTGGAGTGGTAGGATCACCTGGTGCAAAGCCTAGGCATTATCAGCGTGGTATAAGAGAAGATCAGGTAGCAACTCACTCAGAAACTGGACGCTTCCTCGCTGGACACTGCTGGGTTCTCTGGCCGGCCCGTTGGGGTATGTCGCGAAGCCGTTCTTCTTGGTCACCTCTCCATCATCACCAGGATCAGTGTACATAGCGACGCCGACCATGCCCAGTTCTTGCGCACGCTTGACCTTTAGACCGCGGAAGACGCCACCGTACTTGGCCAAGGCGATCTTGCCTTGTAGACTAATGTTTGCCGCCTGCAGCTGCTCAAAGTCTTTGTATGTTCCGTAGTTGACGAAAACATATGGCGCCGTCACATTGCCCGAGGCGCTGTACCCGTGGAAGGTGGGCACACGATCAGCGAGTTGACTTGATCCATCCCCATCCAAGACGTCTTCCTCCAGTCGTGCTTCGTATTTGACCTTCCAATCTTGGCCAGTAACTGTGGTGCTGTCTGCCATGTCATCTGTGTGCCCAGTGCTCTCCATGAGGGCTAATCGGTGGCCCTTGGGGTAATTGATGTAGACATCGTAGTCAACAATTGTGCTTTCGACTCCCCATTCCTGCCATCTTTCCCTGGTCCACAGCGCTTGGCTGAGGTTCTTGCCTGCAAGGTGCGGCCCGCTTGTGTAGTATCTGCTCCACTCCTCTGCTTTTTCAGCATTGGGTGTTTCCAGCAGCGACTTCTGCAGGTCTTGGAAATCCAGGGCCGACTTTCGTGTCCATCCTGCGGGTATCTGTGAGGTTGATAGCGAAGATGTCGAAAGTCGCGATGCAGGGGCTAATTCGTCTTGGCTGGGCGGCGCAAAGCTGAAGATGAAGATTGCAGCGAGTCCTCCTGCGACTATGGTTGCGCTGAGCAAAGTAGTGCATATAAAGCGTAGGCGATGGTGTGGGTAGCGGTCGCGATGGGGTCTGACGTCGACGCGTTGAATCAGCGGCGTGCTTTCGTCGGCCATGGTGACCGGCTTCTCATTGCTCGCCGGGAGCTGCATATACAAACAAGATGAATTTCGTACGCCTAACCCGAGGCTTTTCGGACGGTAGCTGAGATAAGAGACAGCTGCGCAGAGCTATGCCGTGGCACCAGTGACAGCTCGGCTTCGATGGCGTCACATACTTATCTGATCCTATCTTAGCGCGCATGTCATGTCAGGGGTCCAGGGAACCGCCGAATGGGTCGCTAACCACGACCCCGTCTTGTCACTCGTGCAGAGCATCACACATCATGCAAAACATCTTCATCACGAGTCACCTCACAATGTTCGCCGAATTTCTCTTTATCCCTAGCCTGGCTCTTCCGTCGACCAACAAGAACATCGTGAAGCCTATCTGTTGGACAAGTGTGACAGCGTCGTGGTGACAATGGCAGATACACTGGGTGATAGCGTCTAAGTGAGCGTTTATATCCATGCAAATCCCTTGTGCTTCTCCCAAAAACTGCAAATTATTCTCAAATAACATCACAATGGACACTTCTCGAGTCGAAGCTCCGCAGCTGATGGGAGTTACGGGCGACCGCTGCGCGTCTTGCAGGTCGACCACCGTTCCCTTGTACGCCCTCCACTGTCATGAAAGCGGCGACTTTTACTGCCGCGACTGCCTTACTAAAGAATTCTATTCTGCTAGTCCAAGCGATCAGGCCATACGATGCCCTCACCCGACCTGCCGTCGCTCGATTGGCTTCAAGTTGCTAACTCCTCTTGGGCAACATCTTCATCTGAACAATGACTTTTACGATCGCGAATGCATCGATGACATCCGCCAGCAATCGGACGTCATGAACAACTTGGTCGCCTTCACAGGCGAGGAGGCTGAGGTTATCTTACACCATGTCTATAGTATGTTCGAGGACCAGCTCATGGATCCTGTTACGCTCGGCGGCGTCCCCGGTCACATCACTGCAGACTCTGTGCAATCGCTCCAAACTAGCTTTGACTGTAATCCTTTTGTGTGTGGCTTTCTCGCAGAGATGAAAATTGGTTCCAAATTGATGACTACACCTTACGAGCTTGAAGAAGACCTTAACGCTCTGCTCTCCAGGTTACTCTTCCAATACGCACAGTGGAGCTATGGCAACGAACTTTCTCGCCACGGTGTCGATTTTGCCAACGAAGAGGCTGTGCTAGGAGTAGCCTTGGAGAATTACAAGCCCATCATTGAGCTCAAGGACAACTGGGAATTGATCATCAGAAAATGGGTGGAGCTGTTGGCATGGAGGCATTTGGAACGTCTGGCGTCACCTGAGTGCGGTGCTGCGGACCGTCAAAACATGCATCCCAAGTACATGTAAGGGTAGGTCTAGGCCACTTTGCGATTTTAACACAATGCAACGTACTACCTCTCCAGGTCTTATTGTCGAAAGACTAATATATGGCTTGCTACATATTGGTTACGCGTCAAGCCTATATGCAACGGTATCAATAACTATATGTTCATTCCTCTGCACTTCCTCTATCAATGTTCTAGAAATTTGCAATTACGTTGGTCTTTGTTATCTGAGCAAGTCTTCGTCACGCGCCTCTCGACAAGCGGTGGTCTACCAACGATTCCGTGCGTACTAATCTCGTCAGTCTATTTACTATCCACTCCGACCGCCTTGTCTCGACTGAAGACCAACTTCTCTCACCACACGAATCCCCACCGTCAACATCACCAACGTTTCCACCCCAACCACTACTATGCCTGCCTTCCTCCATGACACCAGCGCCTTCAAAGCTTGGGAGGTTGAGCCCATGTGCGGCATTCAACGCCGCAATTTCGCCCGTCTCGTTCGAGCTTGGGGTGCCTGCCACCGTCAGCTTCTCCTTCTGAATCTGTGTGAACGCACCGCGTTCTTTGTGACCCATGACCTGGCCATGAACGAGGCCTTCCTTGATGTCTTGCACGGCAGCGAACTTCACGAGTGCGCCCTGAAGGGTCGTCCGTCTCCAGCGTCGCATGATGAGGTACGAACAGAGGATGAACGTGGCTGTGGCAGAAGAAACCCGGCTCAGCCAGGAGCATCGATCACAGATCAAGTAGGTCATTGTTCTTGTTGCTTGAAGCGTGATCACCTGCTAATGCGAGTGCAGAGCAGCAAGGAACGCGATTTGAAACGGCTCGACGACTTGAGGTGAAAACTCCTTCGCAATGCGGCTGCCCTGCCCCTCCTCTCCCCTGGTCACTTCTCTCTTCCTATTCCTCGCATCCTCGGCACCGATAAATAATTCCGGCACCCTAGTTCGTACGAACTAGTTCAGAATCCCAAAAGGGTAGAGTGTGGGCTCTCATCGAGCGCAGAGCTATACGCACTGTCTTGAGGATAGCTTCCAAGATACGAGTAGATTGATGTCTTCGTAACGTAGCCCGATAGTTACGTAGATATCACGGCGGATCTTGCATGATTTTGCTGTGAAGGCGAACGCCTACAATGTGCAACTCAACACTACCGCCTCTTTCAGACCAACGGAATGCCTTCGACATCACATCCTCTACCGCTCAACTTGATTTCCAATTATATCTAGGGCACTGCAGAGTTTCAGGCCATGTTGAGACAGCCTGAGAAATGACAAAGTCAGCACCAGACATAGTTTATATGATCAATAAGCTCACTCAATCTTACGTGGTAGGTTGGAGAAAAGGGTTTAATAACCAAAGCGCTATGCTACAAAGAAGGTGCACTATACACAAAGAAGTGAACCAGTCGTCGTGTCCAACGAACGAACCAAAGTATCTCTCAGAAGAATATCCATCAATCATATCATCCCCCAAATCTGCTCATATGCGAGAAGTCACTCTTGCGAAACGCTTAGAAGAAAGAGCGGGCGTGGCGGCGAGCCTTGGAAGCAGAGCCGCTGGCCTTACCCTCGAGCCAAGTGATAAAAGTGTCAATGGTGAAGGTCTCGGGGAGCTCGTCACCACCGGTGGATGGGGCAGCAGAAGAGGTAGCAGGCTCCTCCTCAGCGATGGGAGTGGCAACGGGAGTAGCAACAGGGCTGGCGCTGGCGGCAGGGCTGGAGATGGGGGTAGTGGCGTTACCGCTGGGGGTAGGAGCAGCGGAAGGAGTGCTGGGCTTTGTAGGAGTAGAAGAACCACCGGAGCCGAAGAGAGCAGGGCCAGGGACGGTGTAGTCGATGGTGGCGGCGTAGGGGTTGAAGAGGATGCCGGGGTCTGTGGGGGTGTAGAGCTCAGTTCCGACAACACCCTCTGGGGTCTCGGTTCCGGAACCAGTCACCTCGATGTTGAGGCCTGTAGGGGTCAGATTAGTGATCGGTTTCGAATATAGAACTCAAAAGTTATACTTACATTGAGGGTAGTTCTGGGCACCGTTCTCGGAACCAGCGCCGTGGAGAGCAATGATTTCGTGGCGGAAGACGTACTTGCCGGCGGCGAGGCTCTCTGGGACGGTGACGGGCCAAGTGTTGTTCTGGCCGATCATTTTGACGGCAGCCCACTCGCCGTCCTCGTAACCAGCGCCGTCGATCTTGGTCCACTTGAGCTCCTCCTTCTTGACTGAGGCAATGTCGCCAGTGTAAGGAGCGACGTAGGTGATGACGGGACCCATGTGGCTGTCGGGCCAGACGGACCAGTGGAACTCTACAACACCACCAGCGGTAACCTTGGCCATGGCGTCAGAGCTACCCTCAGGGCTGGCAGCCTTGTGGCAGATGATGTCGGCAGTGGAGAAGGAGTTGGGCTCTACAAAGCCATTGTCGAGGTTTTCGGCATACCAGCCAATGTGCTCGGGGATCTCACCGCCGTTCTGCTTGGCATAGTAGTAGTCGAGCTTGAAGCCCTGGGAGTAGACACCATCGATGGTGACACCGGTGACAGTACCGTGGGCGGTGGCCGTGGCAGCAAGAGCCGCGATGGCGCTGAGGGAGGTGATGGTCTTGTACATGTTGACTGATGTGGATGGAAAGGTTCTTCGAAAGAATGAAGTCGTTCGATGGAAACGAAAGTTCGATTGGTAGTTGTTGAAAGAGTGTCTGCCGGCTTCACACAGTGAAGGGACTTGAAGAACGAATGTGGATTGAAAAGAAGGGACTGGTATAGAACCGTAGAATGAAGCTGTAGCGATGATACTTCTGGAGAGGTACCGACGTGCTCTATTTATTCAATTCAGTCTCTGCTCGAATGCTCGGCCTACATTGACCCACATCCTGGGCGACTCGCAAAATGAGTGCCCAGAATGGCGGGTTCATGCCGCGCGCAAAACTATGCACGTCTTCTGTTTTGTTTGAATCGCCATGTTTCCTCATGTGGAGAGACAAGCGATATTGTCAGGATGCGCAGGACGTCCCGTGCCTGCAGCCCAGCGTCAAACTGCGGCTCTGGAGCAGTGGCAGAAGCACTACGCCCTGCCATGATTCCGTCTCCGGGCTACGGTATGCATCGTACGCCTGGCTGTCTTCTGAATGAATCGTTCTCGTCGGTGATGTAGTGGTTTCGGGTTCTAGCGACAGCGTGGAGCGGGCCCGATGAAACGTGCATCCCGCCTGTTCCTGGTTTTCGCCTTTGCATACTTGCGCCGCCAAGACCTTAGCTGTTTCTGTCAGACGAGGTGCCGAGAACGCCGCAATTGTGTGGCGCCTGTCAAACGTCTAGATTCGACTGCAACGGGGTTGAACGATGTGGTGCTGATGAACTGGAGGGTCGGCGTTCATGCAGTCGATGGCGAGCTCGAAACAAACTTCAGCAAGATCGGTACTGGCGAACCACGGGTCCTAGAATCCACCGAACCATGTTCTCCCATCCTCTCTTTTTCGGTATTATTCATACCCATCTCACCGCACTACATGCGAAGCCATCAACCGACCCCATCTCATGATTCACAGCTCTTGTCGGCTCGCCTAATTCGCGCGCGCAACTGTCACGCACCCCTGACAGCGTACATGATCCATCGGACCCACTCCACCGACCTTCGCGTGTACAGCCTCGTTTCAAACGTGAAACGGCCAATATTCCCCCAATAGTAGTGTGCGGCGTTGCATCTAGATCGAGGCAGGCGTGCTTGACGGCAACGTCGTCGAGATTAGACAAGTCGGGTGTTCGGAGGGGGCGCGTTCTTGGACAACGGGCGCGGGAAAGCCAACATCGCAGGAGCGACGTCGTTGACTTTAACATCTTTTTACTTTTCCTCTTTATCCGTCTTCTTCCTTTTAGGCTGCATTTGTCTGATGCCTGTGGGCCTGATGATAGATTTCCACTATGTCTCGAACGTAGCTCAGTAGAAGGTTCCTGTCACAGCTTAGCACAATAAGAAGCTGCCACCCTTTGCCTACCATCACGTAAACCTCCAGTCTCTGGCATTTCGATTGCGATGTCCATATAAAACTTGTCTGTAAACCTACGGGCTCCTTCATCAGCTTCCCTTTTTCAGGCCAAGACATAACGTAAATCCTCTGGCATTGTCATGATTATTGCCAATATTGCTCTCGAGTCCCCTTGCGTGCTGTCAGGCTGGTATGTTCCCCTATTCTCTGTCACCTAGTAGTAACTGGAGTACTCTCAAGTTCTGTCGTCATTTTTCTGCTTTCTGGGTGACGATACCACATGTGTCTTCTGGCGGCCCTCTAGGACCTCCACTGATCGCGAGCGAATCCGCTCCGCATACGCCTACAGACCACGCCTCCTCTGCCGCTGCAGCATTTTTCGAGTGCCTATCAGCTCATATGTGGGAAGGTTTCCCACTCCTGAAACAAAATATGCCAGCAATCATACAGCACCTAAGTCCAATGGCGAAGATGAATAGCAGTGTTGATTCATAGCCTACCACAAATGCCGATAAAAGGATCATCTTTTGTCCCTGCGCCATACACATGTGACAAATCGAAACTCGGCTTTTTGAGGGAACGACAACCCTATTCGCTAGTTTGATGTCAACGGAAGAACGAACATCATAGGGATACGTGCTGGCAACGAGTAGCCTTAAGTACTTTAGAAGTCGATTTAGTGACAAAGGAAGTGTATTTTACTCATTCTTGTAGGTAGAAATGGTCTTCAGCTGGCTATATATGCAAAGCTTCGACTTCGCAGTTTCGTAGTGGCAAATGGATAAATTATCTCAAAACATGCGCAAACAGCCGCATGCAACGTGCTTACTTCACTTGTAGATCAAACCGCTCAGCATAATCAACGTGTAGCAGCTCACACACTTCTACGCATCTAGTCACTCCAGCCACGCTTGCATACCACCGACCAACAAGACCGCTAAGCCCAAAACCCACTGCGCAACCCCGAACGCACCCTGCACGTCACCCTTCTTAATAGTCCATAGAATCGCAAACGCGAGGCTACCCAAGCCACAGATACCCATCGTTACCGCCCACACCCGCTGCGCAAGAAACCCTTCTACAAGATGTACACCCCAGCCCATGCCAAAGTCCAGACGCTGGCGCCGTTTTGGGCTGCGAAGATACGTAATCAACTCACCTTCATAGTCTTGAGGGTGTTTGAACAAATGGAGAAGGTAGGTGCTTCCAACAGGAGGTAGAAGGTCGTTGGGCTCGAATGAATACGGATGTTGAGATGGGGCCTGAGACTTCTCAGGGTCGTTAGTCGACGATGAAGAGGTAGCAGATCTGGGCGGCATGGATGGCACAGCACGGATATCAGCGAAACGATTACGATGGATTTCAAATTGAACGAACTCGATGGTCGTAAGTCCGCGAAGACGAGCCCAGTTGAACCATCGTCGATTGAGCTGGTCATAGTGGTCGCGTAGCGCAAGAGCCAGATCTTTATCGCTTCTTATGCGTCCTTCGTTAACATCAAGATGGACAATCTTGGGCGTGAGGCGGCCCTCATTTGCACAGGTCAAGAGCCAGGACTCCTCGGCGAAAGACGGCATTCGAACACTGAAGGAGTTGGTAGTACGCGTACGAGTAGGGCTGTACTTGGAAGTATCACTGCCTCTTATCCAAGAATTGGGTCCTCCATAAGTCGAAGATGGCGTAGTTAGTGTGGAAGCTCTACTGGAAGAATCAAAGATGGAGGCCATTGATGATGCCGTACTACTTTGGCTGGTAGAACTTCGTGGTGTGTGAGCTCTTGGGCGATTGAGAAAGGCTTCAAGAAGACGAGCAGCGTTTGGTCGCTGTTCGATAAAATCATCATACAGCGGCTCACCACATGACTGCGGTCCATTAGCATGGTCTAGCTGGAGGGCATGTCATGATACTTACACAAGTCCACCGAACACGAACATGTCCCTGTGGCACAGCTGGCTCAGTCCCGAAGGTATCACGAAGCGACCGGAATCCTTCATAAGCTTTATCTGATAAGGCACTCAGCGCAAGACCCCAGTACACCAACGTTGGACTACGCTTCCCAAGTGGCACCGATCGAATCTCTACTTCCGAAGGCAGTGGTATCTCACCAACGTGTTCGCTATCCAGTGGCTCAATTATCCTGGGTACCGATACTTCTGTGGTGTCATCTTCGACATCTTCATTGTCGGGAATGGCTTTACCCAGCGCCCTTCCCAGGGCTTCACGAAGCTCTTCTGAACGATCGACTTCCTCCCAATCAGGAGAACATGACACATTGGCGTGATCTACCTCCATTGGTGACGATGATAATGATGCGGGTTTGCGAACCCTGGGTGACCTCTTTCGTCGCGTCGCTGGCGACACGTGTGCAGACCTTGTTTGAGGCACGTCAGTCACAAGTCGCAATCCCAGCCCAGGCCTAGAGGGAACCTGTAAATCGTCCGCCGACAAGTGACGTAGATGTTGCGGCTTCATTGCCTTAAGGTTTCGTGTCTGTTGCGACCAAGTACCATACTCATTGGTCGCTGGAATAAAGTCACCAGACTTGCGAGACGTTGGACGAAAGCGTTGGCGCAAAGTTGCCGACTCTACTTCAGTCTCAATAGTCAAGCTGGGTGATGCATTGAGTACCGGCCCCGCTCGATGCTTGACCGATTTGTGAGCATCAGACCGTTTAAGGTCCAGGGCCAGTGTACGACTTTTGATTCGGGGACGGGTCTTCTTCTCTATCCGTTTTCGTACAGGCCCAACAAGCGATAGACCACGAGTTGGCGTCTTCACAATGCTGGAAACCGAGGTTGAACGGGTGGGAAGAGTCGTGGTGGTCTGAGAGAATGGGTCCACGTCGGTCTGGTCTTCATCCATACGGCCGTATATCGAGCGAACGTCTGGTAAGAGAGTTTCAGCGTCACTCAGACCATCTTCTGCGATCGAGCTCCGAGCCAGGCTATGGCGCGGCGGGCATTCCATGGATGATGCGGCAGGCTCAACAGATTCAGTCACGGTGGATGGGTGTGGTCGTTGTATGCCTGGCGAATTTGAAGTACCGATCTCGAAAACATCGTTGCGTGCATGAAGCATGTCGGTAGTCGATATGACAGCGGAAGGAGGGCAATACAACTCTGCCGGTAAAATCGCGGAATCAAGCTCTTGGGTTTCTGGTGTTTGTTCTGCGTTGGCTCGTTGACCTAGTTCCACTTCTGCAATCTCATTTGAATCCGTGGAACCTTTCAATAAGCGCACCACATAGCCCTTTCCTTTCTTCTTGATCCTGGCCTTGATGTCGGTAAGCCTTTTTGATTGGACAGAAGCTGTCGAGTCGCTTCGAGAAAACGATACGTTCCAATCCGGCACAACCTTTCTGAGGAAGTCAGGAGGTACATTTTCCAGATCGGCCCAGCCTTGCTTGTCATGCAGGGGGGTAATTGGTGGGCTTGTCTCCTGAGGTGAAACTACTACCGAATGTTCTGCGTCTGATTTCAAGCCGTTTCGCGGTATCATAGGAGAAGTGATGTGAGGTGTACAGTTCAGAGGTACGCCGTTCGTCAGCTGTTGTTTGGAGCCAAGGTTGAACACAAGTTGAAATTGGCCTGGATTCCTTGCATCTTCCTGGAGATTTAGCGTAAATGGGACTGATTGGGTCTTCTCGTATTGTGGAAGAGGTGTTTCGCGACCGGCGTCAGAGGCTTTTGAATCATTGACCATCACTTGAGGCTGGCTGAAACGTAACGGAACTGGAGAAGCTATTGAGGAAGCCTGTTGCAAAGCGCAAATCAGCCACTGATCCTATCATCGTCTCTAGCCTTGCGATAGCAACGAGTTGCCCCGCTTGATGCCTGAGAGCCGCATAGAGACTTACCATGTTCGCGTAGTGTTCACGGCAGGACGCAGGAACAGTCGCTTGAAGGACGTAAGGAAGGGCGGCATGATGATACTTTTGACCGGTCAAGACTGTAGTCAGCTGTTTCTTGGATGAACGAACCAGAGACGTCTACTGCGGTCGTTCTTGCACTGCCACCACTCCTGCAAGGTGATCAACGAGGCTGTTGTGTCGCCCTGCTGATTGGCGGACTCCATGAGCGGGGCGCAGTCATCACCACAAGTGCGGGTTGCCTCATCTCTGCCTACACTCTTTAACTCGCCTTACCCCTTGGGAGTGCAAGCCGACAGTTTCGTAGCCTTAATGCATGTATTACCTGCTTTTCAACCCCAGGGGCCGTCCGTTCTCTGTCCGTGTACACTTTCCGCACGTCGATTTGACAATCGCACCCAAGTTCATCTTACCTTATATGAGGTGAAAGACGTATCGCATGACCCGACTGAGGGGTGTGTAGCAACGCGGTAGCAATGGAGGTGATGTTAGGATAGACTTCGTGGCTGTCGAGGTAGCGAGGTTTCGCGTGTCGCGTTCCATAGCACGCTCCTACCCGCCTGCCAAGCCGTGCGTTTTGTCCGTGGGCCGCCTTTTACTTCCAGCCCCCAACGCCGACACCTACCATCACAACAGCACAACTTCGGCATCTCTCCGACACCCAAGAACTTGGCTTTTGAAGTCCGGACAGATCCTCGTCACATGCTCTCAGTATTCTTCCGGACCAATCTGTTCAGAGCTGTTCCTCCGCGCCTCGGCACGCTTGATCACTAGCAATTAGCTAAGCTAGCCAAGTTGCTGGTAGAAGCACCGATGCCTCGGTGTATAAACTACCGCCTTCCCCGCAAGACACGGAGATCCCTGTTCTCCACAATTTCTCCGGACAGCGGTCTCGAGATTCCCCGCCATTAGAAGACGTAGTTCTTGTGGAGAGCTGGGATGCTTACCAGATGTGGCAGGGCAACATGACGTTAACGGACAGACTCCGATAACTATCTCGCACCAAATACCGGGAGCAAACTATAGATCGCATGGCATGATGGTAGGGATCCTGGTAGAATGAGCGGAAGACTTGTATTGGCGTTTGTTTATATACCACGTCTACACCGTCCGCATTTCTTGCCCCATCATCTTGCACATTTCTCAAGCCTTCAAGATGCGTCTCTCCACCCTCTTCCTCTCGCTCGTTAGCGTGGCGTCTACAGTTGTTTCAGCGCTCCCGCAGAAGGCTGAACAACCTACCTTCTCTCGCAACGTGATCTTCTCGCCACCCAGAAACGCCAACTGGACCGACCCTGGTGTGCTTTACGCCCGCAGTGCGCAGCTCCCTGACGGTTCGCTTCTTGCAACATGGGAGAACTACTCGCCTGAGCCACCAAAAGTTTACTTCCCTATCTTCAAGTCATCCGACGGAGGAAAGACTTGGAAGGAGTTTTCGCGCGTTCAAGATACTCAGAATGGCTTTGGTCTGCGCTACCAGCCATTCCTTTACGTGCTGCCCGAGAAGATTGGTGGTTACAAGGCCGGCACCGTCCTGATATCTGGATCCTCCATCCCCACCGACCTTTCCACCACGGAAATCGTCCTCTACGCATCCAAGGATGGCGGCAAGACTTGGGAGTTTGTTTCTTCTATCGCAGCTGGTGGTGAAGCTCGCCCCAACAATGGTCTGACTCCTGTTTGGGAGCCTTTCCTGATGATGAACAAGAAGACCCTCATTTGCTACTACTCCGACCAGCGAGACAACGCCACCTACGGTCAGAAGATGGTTCACCAGACTACCACCGACCTCAAGAAGTGGGGACCAGTCGTCGACGACGTCACGTACCCTACCTACACCGACCGCCCAGGAATGCCTACTGTTGCCAAGCTGCCCAATGGCAAGTACATCATGACATACGAATACGGCGGTGGACCAGTCATCACAGACTCCTACCAGTTCCCTGTCTACTACAAGATCGTCTCCGACCCCGAGAAGTTCGGCGAGGCTACTGGAATCAGCCTGAAATCTACTGATGGCACTATCCCTACTGGTTCTCCATACGTCGTCTGGAGCCCTGTCGGTGGCAAGAATGGAACCATCATTGCCAGCGCTCACAGCGGCACCAACGCTTCTGGCTCCGAGGTCTACATCAACAAGGGTCTTGGGCAGGGACCTTGGATCAAGGTCAACACTCCTGAGGGAAGCTCATACACCAGGCATCTTCGCATCCTGAAAGACCAGTCAAAGCTCTTGATTATGGGCGGTGGACAGCTGCCACCTAGCAACACTAATTCGGTCACCGTTACCGTTGTTGACATCAGCAAATGGTAGATGGGATCTTTGGATTGATCATGATGCTCAAATAAACCCAATATCAATAACATACGAATTGAAATTTAATTTGTCTGTGAATGTATACTTCGCCCTCTATGGCATGCAGTGACATGCCGACTAACGACGCTACTCCGATGCGGCAGGAGTCCATGCATCATTTACTATCGGGTACTTGTACAAAAATATGATTCGTTATACTGTGCGAGCGTCATCAAGATCTCCATACATGATATGCAGGTAGCCCAGACGTCTCCCTGAATATCGCGAAAAAACTAAAGAGGAAGGTCTGCGCAGCAAGCAGATGACTGAGCAGTTGCATGTATAGAGCTTTGTTGCAGAAGACATGAAGGAAAGTCTGGTCGTTGCATGTTATTTGGCAGTTGATGAAGAATGCGAAGGTGCGTTGGAATGCCGATCTAGAGAAGCAATGTCTACAGACTAGAGTACCGCACAGTATTTCTAGCAGCGGGAGATTCAACAGCGGAATCATGTTCGATCGCGCATCCGAGTCATGAAGATGTTCAACAGTTGTTGTTGTTGCACCGCACGGTCTCAGGAATGATGATGGTTCGCGCCTGGATCTAGCGCCCCACTAGCGCCGGCCCGACCATTTATCCTGAGCAAGCGAGCCACCGTAGGTCACCAAATTCGGGTCTTGCGATATCTTTGAAAATCGCAGCATTTCAACGACAAGCCCACCGACCGCCTCTCCCTACCCCAACCCGACAACCCGATCAAATACCGCCAAAATGCCCGGTGTAGGAGTCAAGGACATCGAGTCCCACAAGTTCGTCCAAGCCTACGCGGCTTTCTTGAAGCGCCAGGGAAAGCTCCCCATGTAAGTTGTACCGTTTGCGCGAAACAGTAGCCGAGAGAAAAAGCTGACAGTTCCTAGTCCAGGTTCGTCTCTATCCAGCGGGTGAAGGATGAAGCCTGAATCCCGTAAATGGGGGATAACCTCAGCTTGCTGACCCTTATCTACAGGCTGGGTTGACACTGTCAAGACAAGCCGTAAGTTGACATCTCCGTCTTTGTGATGCCTACTCTGGAATGCCCACTAACGACTCACAGACTCCAATGAGCTTCCTCCCCAGGACATCGACTGGTTCTACGTCCGCGCCGCTGCCGTCGCCCGCCACGTCTACATGGTACGCGAAGATTTCGAGACAACGGATATGTGTAGTACGGTACTGATGAATGGAACAGCGCAAGACTGTCGGTGTAGGCCGTCTCCGCAAGGTCCACGGATCCACCAAGAACCGCGGCTCGCGCCCCTCCCACCACGTTGACGCCTCCGGCTCCGTCGACCGCAAGGTCATGCAGGCTCTTGAGAAGATTGGTGTCCTTGAGCAGGACGAGGACAAGGGTGGCCGCCGCATCACACAATCTGGCCAGCGTGATTTGGACCGTATCGCCCAGACCACCCTCGAGGCTGAGGAGGAGGATGACGAGTAAATGTTTCCATAAAGCATGTGGCAGGGATGCGACAAAAGCACTGTCTAGCATTTGATTGCGGGACGGTTACGGATCTACACGGTTTACGGCTTATGGCGTTGAAGACATGACTTCGCTGGGCCTGCATTTAGCCTAGGATATCCAATGACACTGGGCTTGGGCCTCAAAAGCAACATGATACCCCTCTACCTCGACGACTGTGTGCAACATTTTTACTATCGTGACTTTGCTCTATTGATGATGTTAGCTAATTGACATCTGTACAAATGAACCAAGCTCTTTCAAGCTTTACCCAATCTCAAGATTCCGCTTTGCCGGTATATAATGTGTTGCATCCCACACACTAGCAGCCCATAGCGCATACGTTCATATTGCAGTATGGTTGGGGTATGGCTTGTGGAAATCGAGCTTTTTAGTAGAAGACCAAGTCCTTTCGAGAGAGAGAGAGAGTAACGCCACTGTATGCAGCGTATATCGTCTTCTCAGATGCGTGGCTCTCGAATCTTGGTGAACATTTGTATCTCATGTCAATTCGCATGTTATGTACTCTAGTTTCAAAACAAATCCGTCATAGCACCATGGCTTGCATCACCAACCAGTCTAGCATACTTGGCCAGTACACCTCTAGTAACCGGCATACTAGGTGCTACCCACTCCTCTAATCTCTTATCAATCTCCTCCTGCGGCACATCCATATCAATCCGGTTCTTCTCTGCATCAATGGTGATCATATCACCATTCTTCACGACGGCGATAGGACCACCGACAGCAGCCTCAGGACATATGTGTCCAACGATAAAACCGTGAGAAGCTCCAGAGTATCGACCGTCAGTGATGAGAGCTACATTCGTCAACTTGGCGCCCATAATGGCTGCTGAAGCTTTGAGTTGCTCTGGCATTCCTGGTCCTCCCTTGGGACCCTCGTAGCGCACTACCACCACGACATTTTCGCCATGCGGTATTTGTCCGAGGTTCAACGCACGGTCAAGCTCGTGTTCCTTGTTGAAAACGATCGCTTTGCCTGTGAACTTCAAGCCTTCTTTGCCCGTGATCTTTGCTACCGCACCAGAGGGAGCGAGGTTGCCGCGCAAGATCTCGATGTGACCGGTGGGCTTGATCGGGTTGTTTAGTGGGCGGATGAGTACCTGATCTTGTGGCAGCGACGGATATGATTCGATGTTTTCTGCCAAAGTCTTGCCGGTGACGGTCGGGATGCTACCATCAAGCAAGTTGGCAGCAACAAGAAGTTTCATGACAGATGGCATACCACCGATATCGAAGAGATCGGCTGCCATGTACCTTCCTGATGGTGCGAGGTCGGCGAGGAAGGGGATCTTGTTGGACACACGTTGGAAGTCATCGAGTGTCAAGGGGACCCCTGCTGTGCCTGCCATGGCGAGGAGATGCAAGACAGCGTTTGTAGATCCACCTAGTACCATCATCATGACAAGAGCATTCTCGAAAGAAGCTTTTGTGAGAAGCTTTCGAGGTGTGATGTTCTTTTCCATGCAGACTCTTATCGCGGCGGCGGCTTTGGCGCATTCGCGCATCTTCGTAGGAGAAGTGGCAGGTGTAGTGGAGGAGTTTGGAAGGGTTAGCCCCATTGCTTCAATCGAGGTTGACCTATGATATTCAAAGTCAACATGTGTCTCATATATAGTTAGTACAAGGAGATCAGACTGACATGGTGTTTGCCGTATACATTCCTCCACAAGCGCCAGCTCCTGGGCAAGCATTTCTCTCGATGTCCTCCATTATCTCGTCTGGCGAAAACTTACCCTCCGTCGCACTCTTCAAATTCTTGTATATGTATGCGCCATGGCTTTCGTAGCAGGTCGATATGTTGATGGGTTTCTTCAGCGTCTCCGAATAACCTGGCATTATCGAACCACCGTAGACCATGAGTGACGGCCGGTTGTGTCGCGCGAAAGCCATGATGACTCCGGGCATGTTCTTGTCGCATCCGGGAATGGCTATGCAGGCGTCATGGTGCTGAGCACATGTTACAGTCTCGATACTGTCGGCGATGACTTCGCGAGTCTGGAGGGAGAAGCGCATGCCTAGAAGGCTGTCAGAATGCGTAGAAGTTCGCCAACGTTGACCAGCATACCTTCTCCACCCATAGTGATTCCGTCAGACACACCAATTGTGTTGTACTGCCATGCTAGCATGTTGTCGTTCTGGACGTGCTTCTTAATCTCCTTCCCAAGATCCAATACTATTGCGTCGTTAGTACACATATCAAGGTACGGCAGCCTTCGCCCTATCTTATGCTGAAGGCATGCGTCTACTCACAGTGCATGCTGCGATATCATCAGTATTATGACAACAAATCCGTGGGTGAACTCACTTGCATGGGTTGCCCTCCCACCAAACGCTTGCAATTCCCACGTGGGGCTGCGTCTTCATGGCCTCTCGTGATGGCACGCCAGCTGCGTACAGCATTGCCTAAGCGGTGGGAGTCATTAGTGACTGAAATGCTTCAATCATCGTGACACCGGGAATAGCGAACCTGGGCCCCCGGGAAATTGTGGCCAGTGGTGAGTGTAGACGAGTACTTGTTCAACGCAGGCTTTCCATCTTCAAGTTTGGCGTCATCGGGAAGGTGTGGGAAGCTGAGAAAGCGTGGCTCTTCCGGTTCACGCTGCTTCTGAAGATTGCGCGGGTCCATGGCAGGCGAGCTGATATGTTAGATTAGAACAGGTTGATGTGGCCAACGGCGTAGAAGTGAGGATGCACAGATTACCTCGAAGAGGTTCGAAGAATGAGCAATGATAAAATCAACCCAATGGACGAAGTGGTCACCCGGGAACGAGATACGGTTGATAGCTAGCAGTTACCGTGTGTACCCAGGTACTCCCGCAGCAGGGATGTGGGCAATCGCCGACTGCCCTAGTGATAATCGAGCAATCCGAATGCTCCAACAGGTGTCTGTGTGGGGCATTGACAGTTCTTTGTCACATCGTGCTGTAGCTAAAGCTCGGAAGGAGGGAGGGGTTCCTCGGATGAGGGCACACTGGTACTGCGCGCGTTAGTTCTGTCAGACACAAAGGTTGACCAATGCGACAAAGCTGATTGAAAGCCGAATTATGACGATTGGAAGCCATCTAGCGCCATGTCTTTTGGTCTGGGGGATTTACTTTGGTTGCGGCCAAATCCGGTGTGTGTCGGCGTAACTACCGGCGCGGCTTCGGCTTGACCAGATGCGGTGTCTGCAACGGCGAAGTCGCTCGCGGGGTGTTCTGGAAAGACGCCATCTCGCGATGGGTATGGCGGGGAGTGACTCGCATACATGCCTTGGATCTGGTATGCTTGCGAGGTCGTCGGAGCTCATAAGGCTGCATGGCTTGGTTATGTACACATTTGTAACATATCTATACCGACAACTTCTGGACTAGTCGGTCTAAGCCCGAGTACCCGGTCAACACAGGTATACTTTACCTTTGAAAGAGTGGAAGAATCAACGACCAAGCACGAAGAAAGCATGTGTCGTTGGAATGTCGGGCTTATAGTGTCGCACCAACAGGTCCGAGGATGACATGCACAGCCACGCGGATGACGGGAGATACTTTTCAATAAGATGCGGAAATGGGAAGACAAAGTACAGTTCCTCATAAAGTTTTGCAATGGACGAAAGATGTTCAGGGGGATGTCGTTGCAAACGAAGGCTCCAGCACGATCCCTGCCAAGTTCCCACGATGAATGGGAGAAAACGCCGCTTCCGAAGCCTGGCAGCAGCCCAACCCAACGTCATCCCGCCCATGCACCCATCACAAACCTCTTTAGCTAGGCAGTTTTCATATCGCAAACACTCCCACGCGATTCCTTGTCCATTTGGGTTGGAGAAAACACTATCGGACAAAGCAAACACCGCTCGCTATCTTTCCGTATCGCTGGCCAGGATGATATTCTCAGATATCGAACGCGTCTCCAGCTTCCAGATTGGAGACTGTCCATCATAGCTGCGTATTCGTCATTCCCCCAACGTGCGCAAGGTTTCCAGTGAGAGACGCTCTCGCGCACCGGCTCTTTCTCTCCAGCGATCCGGGCACGAGAGGCAGCATCTCATTCCATTGGCTGCCGCTCATCGCGCGTCACCGTCCCGCACGCCAGCACCTCGACGCCCCGTCGCATATACTTTCAGCATTCCAGCACGCAAAGGGCCATGGAGCCTCATTCGCGTCCTGGCTTGTTCCGCAATGGCACGTTGCGTCTTCCACAGGCTCCCCTCGCTGCCTCACCCGGCAACCCAGTGACACAGACCGCTTCAGACCTTAATCTCTGGTACGGTCAGAGTATAAAGCAATCTGCTTACCGTCTTCTCCAACTTCTCAATCCATTCGTAGTTAGCGGAGGGCGGTTGACTCTGACTTTTGTGGGCATGCTCCAATTGACAGCACTGTGTGGCTTCGGATCTGTGCTTTGGTATCGGAGCAAAGGGAAGGGGAAGGGGAATACCCTCACCACGCAAGATGCACCTGATACCGCGGCCGGTGAGTTGTTTAAGCCTTAGTGATACCCGTGGACGAACATCCAATCACGTGGCTGAGCTAGCCATCATCTAGCCTTGTCTTGCTAATCCTCCGCAGATGAGGCTGCTACAACGGACTCGGGCCTGCTGAAGAAATATTCCACTATTCGCTCGTATACCGTCTCTTCTTCCGGCTTCACATATCCCAGACTTCGGACCTTTTACCGTCCACATCATCAGGAGGACAAACTCCCCAAGTATCCGTGTCCAGTTCCACTGTTGGTTTTCGTCCATGGTCTTGGGGGTTCTATCGCTCAATTCAGTCCTATTCTCATCAGCCTTTCCAATCTCGCTCCATGCTTGGCCGTAGACCTCCCTGGGTGTGGCGTGTCGAGCTTCGAGCCAAAAGCATGGGACGCCTACACCACGGAAGCTCTAGTGCAGCTCCTTGCCGTCGTCATAGAGACTTACCGTGCAGTCGATAGCAGACAACCTGTCGTGCTCGTTGGCCACAGTATGGGATGCTCACTAGCCGCACTCCTAGCTTCTTCGTCTTCGCCATATGCACATCTCCTTTCGCAAAATGTCAGCGGACTGATTGCTATATGTCCCAAGGCTGAGCCCCCTACCGAGAAAGAGGCCAAAAAGCTGCGTTCAGTCACGTTGACACCCGTTGTTCTCTTCGACCTGATCAGACGCTGGGATAGGAGAGGCGGTGTCAATAGCAAGAGCGTTCTACGCATGGCAGGAGTGGACGCTGACGATGAGACTAAGAAACTGCAGCTGCGCTTCAACAAACAGAGTCGAAGTTCTGTGTGGTTGAGGATGGCGCGGGGTATGTGCCCCGATTACTCAAGCGGCTCACCGAAAGGAGGCCTTCCCGGTAAGGCAGTATGGAAGGGGCTTGACATTCCCTTGTTCCTTGCCGCTGGTGAGACAGATACGGTCACTCCTGCGTCAAATGTCAAGCAGATTGTCGAATTTCTGGGGAGGGATGTCAGTGCAATCCAGCCGCCGAGCGAAAAGGCGAGCTTGCCCATTGCAGCAGCTCCGTTCGTACCTTCTGCAGTCCTCCCGAACGAGCCGAAGCGTACAGAGCACCAGGACTCTGGTATTGATGCAACAGACCTACCCAAACTCGAAGATGATACCAGGACCATCGAATCAACCTCCGTTTCCACCAATAATGGGAGTCTCACGTCCACAGAGGAGAATACAACAGAAGGGAGCATAACTACGGCTGACGGGCCAATGCTCTCCAACACCACAAGTCCATCATCACACACTCCGTCGCCTCATCCGCGTCGGCTAGTTGTCAAAACTGCTATTATGCCCAAGCCTGCCGCTCATTCCTTACTATTTGCGCCGTCTACATCCCGTATAATAGCTGGGCTGATTGGCACCTTCTTTGCCGACTATATCGATCCTCGTCTATCGCTTGCTTGGCAACTCAACTATCTGTCAACTGAGGGGAAATGGGACGTCAAAAATCTGGAAAAATGGAAGGCCGTGCGCCCAGTATCGGAGCCTATTGCTGGTGTCTTTCGCGCAATGAAGACACTTCGTGAGGTCGACGAAGAGCACACACCAAAGGTACTCACCAAGAACTGGGCAGGCAAGCTCTGCGCAATCATCGATATCTCGCACGACAACCCTGTATACGATCCAAAAGGCCTGGAAGAAGGCGGCATCCTATATCATAAGTTTCCGACAGTGTCAAAACAACCTCCACAGTCAGCCGAGGTCAAAGAGTTTTTCGACCTCGTTGATAAGATCCGAGCTGAAGGCAGACCGGGTCTGATTGGGGTACACTGTCACTATGGCTTTAACCGTACCGGCTTCTTTCTCGTGTCGTATATGATCGAGCGACTAGGCTACCGGGTAGAAGATGCGATCGACACCTTCCAGCAGGCTCGCCCACCAGGCATCCGACACTCGCATTTCATAGATGCACTTTACGTTCGGTACTGTCAGGGTCTTAGGCGCGCTCCGACATTGTGACTAGCACAATGACAATATTCTTCTTGTTCATTCTTACCGTTTTGGGCGGCCTTTTTGTATAGTATGCTTTTATTGGTTGTTTCGTGTCCACTTGGTCTGGCAAGCGCACGCGTTAAGGAGTACAATCACTGTTGGACATGGGCAAATTATGAGGGACATAGGAACTTGTGGTATCAGGGTCGCATCCTTGGACTAGCACTAGTATATTTTCAGATCAATAAAATAACGGTCGAACACTACGATTTGTTCAACGTACTGGTTCGTCGTCACATGTTGGCTCCCATGTAGAGTAATCGTACAACCTTCTAACAATGCAAGTTTTGAGGAGCAATAAGTAGCGTGTGCAATATATGGTTGTGATACCAAGTCAAATCATCTCTGTGAAGTGTTGTGTGTACGTAAAAGAGATAGAGAGACGATTTTACCTCAGCCATGATTTGCCGAGACACAGGAATGAATCTCTGGAAAATAAATCATTTATTACAAAGGACGGCGGTTCATACACCGCATCATCACTATTGCTCAGCTCAAGAGGTAACTGCCTCCCAGCTCGTCATTACTCGGCTCGCTGTTCTATCCAAGCCAAGTGTCGTTCGTCAAGAAAGTACAACTACAATGATGCCTATTTCGGCCGATATGAGATCCTTCCACATCGTCTCCGTCAGGCTGATGTACCTGTCAGTCTTTACTGCGGCAACAACAGTATCGTTTTTGGCGCTCTGCATATAGAGCACAAAAACACAAAGAACCGCTACATGCCGAGGAATGCGTTCGTAAAAGTAACGGGGCAAGACATGGGTTGAAGCGAATGTCGTGAACGCGTTGAGCATTTCGTTTCTGTGCGACCAGCTTTGATAGAAATCCGGACGCTTGACCCCAGCGGTCGGGGCATTGACCTGGCGTTGCATAGCTCCCAAGCTACTCAGATGCTTGCCGCACTGCCGTGAGTTTTGTTTTCTAAACTTGCGCTACATGATGGTGAGGCAAGCGACCTGATTATGTTCATGGCTTCTGCTCTTGAGACTCAGGCTCCGGTGTTGATTCGACGCCCTCCATACCCCCCGTATCCTTACTTCTCGAGAATGGGCCGCCTTCAGTAGTCGTGGGCGTCCCAAGCCTATCTGTTGGATACTTCTCTAGGTCTTTGTGGCTTGTCGAAAACGTCGATATGACAGGCGTGTAGTTCTGCGGATGATCAGCCTGAGTAGGCGTCTTCGCTTCAGGCCCGGCCGAAATCGGGCTGAGTAGGCTCTCGGGTCCGTTGTTTGCCTCAGGAGGCAGCAGTTCAGGCTGTGACTGTATGGCACCAACGAGACCATTCCAACCTCCTTCAATATCGCGCAGGAGGCGGACATATTCTTCGGGCACAAGTCCACTTTCACCGGTCTTCGGATCTTGAGCTACTAGCCAGCCCTGGCCGTGTCTGTATGATACCAGTATCACTTGCCCTTCTACCAGCGGTAGCTCGTTATCATTTTCGCGTGCAAAGTCGAATAGGGCAACGGCCTTGCCGTGCATCTCCTCATCGGGCGACGCGATTGTGAACTGGTAGTCGCGCGAGAAGCGATTATCATCGTGTATGTAGTCCTCGGGTTCCGACATCTCATCGTCGGAGTCGTAAGGCGGGCCTTCGACGTCTCCGTCGGCATCCGCGTAGGCGCGTTGGGGAAGGGTGGTTGCGAAATGTGAGTCTCGTCGTGATGCTCCTTCTGGCACACCGAGCCGCGACGACTCGGGCGGGTATGTGATATATTCGCCGCCAGGTCCGTTTGTAGCCTCATCGCTGACGAACTGGCTGCTCTCGCCGTTCATCGCCACTATCGAGCCGCGCCGTTGCTCCTCCGGATATCCTCTTCGCCCGCGAGTGTGGTCGAAGTTGACTATGTTGGATTTGTGCTTCTTGTGTCGTGCGCCGTGGTGGCTGGTGACCACCGGGCTTGAGATGTCGTCATCTTCGCTGTAGGGCGGGCCTCCGTCGTATGCTGTCTGCGGGAGTTGTTCGCCGTCTTTTTCATCCCAAGGCCCCGCAGACCAGCCACCTCGGTCGCTGCGCCATGCCACAGGTGGCGGATCTGATAGTCTACGGCTGTGTTCACTCGCTGGAGTGGAGATGTCGGAAGGCTGCTCCGGAAGCGGGCCATAGAAAAGAGGATGTAGCGGGTCATATGCGAAATCGCGCACGAGCGAGTAGGGCAGACTCGAGTGGAAGATGGGGAAGGCGGTCGATTGCGGCCTTGACCGTGCAGATTGGTGTGTGTTGGATGCGTTGGAGAAGGTGGATAGGCGCTTGTTCATGTAGGAGCTTGCGCGCTCAAGCTTCGCTTTGGAAGGCGGGGAAGTAACGAGTGGGGGCAGAGATGTGCGATTCACGCCCACTTGTGCGGATGCACCAGGATCGCTCCTTGGGGATAAGACGTCGGCAGCCATGTCTCGCTCGCTGTGTTTTTCTTGGACAGCCGCTCCTTCTGTTGTGTCCTTCAGCCTGTGCGGGTCGGCGGCCGTCTCTGATGCTGAATTGGTGTCTGTCATGCGCGGTAGAGGGACTTTGTGCAGGTTGTCTGGGTCTTCGGTGGTAAGCTATATGGGGATTTTCCAGCGCGGTGGAGGGCAGTGTGGGTGGCAGAGCCGGTTCGCGACAGAAGTCAGCTTTCAGTAGTCAGGCAAGAGTCCGCAGCAGCAGCAGCAAAACGGGCTCCAAGTGGCCAGCGCACAAGGCGCACAAGCAGCTTTCGAATCAAAGCGAGTCGGTACGTCTGGAGCGGCTCTGGAATGGCAACGGCAGATGGCGCAGTGACTCGATGTTTGTATCGAATGTTTCACAGTCGACGATGACCAATGGGCCGGCGAGCGCGCTCAAGGCCTTCTGGAAGGATGGCGTCGGCTGTGCAGATGCGCCTGGCGATTGGGAGGGGGAGCGGCGGGCGTGAAGATATTTCCACTGTAGAGCGGCTGGAGAAGCGCTCGCTGGGAGTTCAGGCCTGGCGCTAACACTCGCCCAGTGAACGGGTGATGAGCTGCGCACCCGAGGGACAAGTCTGTGGCTTTGAATGGGCACCGTGCAGGAGGGGAACGGCAACAGTGCGGCTAAGGGGCGACGCGACTATGGCCAAAGACTCAGCGGGTTCTGGATGTTGTCGTGGACCAGCGCGCGCGTGGTGGTGAAGGCCAACTCTATTTTTGGCACCAGGCAGCGGGGGAGGTGCTAGATGCCAATGCTGTGTTTCAGGACAAGTTTGACAGCGTCGCCAGAGTGAAAAGGCATAAGAAGAGGTCCGCAATGGGCAACACTTCTCAAGTACAAGAACAAGTCAACGGGCCTCAACACGGAGCCTTGCTGGCATCAACGAGGGGTGTGTGTTCTGACGGCTCTTCCTTTCCATGATTGCAAACCCCATCAATGCATGCTTAGGCTACTTTCACCCTAGTAGGCGTTTCAGGTCACCGACTAGCTGCATAGGGACCGCTTGTCGAATGCGCTTCGAGTCCGACGAGGAACTTCCTTGACGCAGTCTTCACCGTGTGCTGTCACGAGGGCAGACACATCATAGCTGGCTCGGATATCATTCCTTTGGCCATGTCATGATTGTTTTCCGACCACCGTACCCAGGCCAGAATGCCGTGTGACAGGTGCGTTTGAGCTGGGTTGCCTAGACATGCCTGTTTGGGCACAGAGGCTGCTTGCGCAATTGCATAGCGTCACCCACGATCTCATCTAACAGCATACGATCTATACGAGGCAATGCTATACTGTCCAAGCGCTTCAGGAACAGGAAAACACCTGATGTCAACACGGCAAAGTATCAAGTCGACCAGCCCCTCCATTTCGTCTGTTGTTCGGCGCCCCGCGTAATCTTTCACCCGAATGCTTAGTCAGCCGCTAACAAGACATTGACCTGAGCTCTGAGCTCGACAAAGACTGCAACCTTCACAGGCCTCGTGCCTTGCATAACCACCAACACCACCACCGCCATTCTCTCCAACTCTTGCTCATCCCCTTCATGTACGGGACTATGAGCTTGGGTTCCTACTGTGTTCACTGTAAGTTTCTTCCCACCCCCGATGCGTGCCCACCTATGCGATGATGAACACATATTGGAGCTGTCCTAGGCAATAGCCTTTGAGGACTCTAATAATAATATACACTGAAAATTCTGATCTCGCGTGAACGTTGCAATAATTGTTACCTACGAATGTGTGGACCCGTAGCTAACTGTTGTGAAGAATTTGCAGAACTGCCTACAGACGCGTCGAGCAGCAACCCGCCCGCCCACGCTTCATCTCGACCATGTCTGCCGACCCACGACTGCGCGCGAGGCAGGAGCAGCAGCCTACGCCCACTGCTGCTGCTGCTGCTGCTGCTGCTCCTCCACCTCCTCCGCCGCCGCCGACCGAGCCCAGCCCCACGGGTATGGACGGCGCCAATGACGCGCACGCAGAGCAGAACATGGTGCCTGATGACAGCTTCAAGCTCAAGTTCTGCACTGTGTGTGCGAGTAACCAGAACCGGTATGTCCAGCGCTGATCTGCGAACCCAACTTCTTGCTAACTTGCTTAGTTCCATGGAAGCTCATCTGCAGCTTGCTTCAGCGCACCTCCCCACAATCAGCTTTGGCACTGGCTCTCTTGTCCGACTCCCCGGTCCAACCATCACCCAGCCTAACGTCTATCACTTCAACAGCACCACCTACCGTGCTATTCATGATGAGCTCGCTCAGCAGAATACTGCCCTCTACACTCACAACGGCCTGCTCAACATGCTTGGTCGTAATTTGAACATTAAGGGCTATCCTGAGCGCTTTCAAGACTGGGTGCCCGGCAAACCACGTCTGGATCATGCTGAAGACAAAGGTTCGCAGGGGACGGAATCGGGTGTAGTTGATGTCGTTGTAACGTGCGAGGAGCGTTGCTTCGATGCTGTGCTAGAAGATCTCCACAACAAGGGCGGAAAGCTCAACCGACCTGTTCATGTCTTCAACGTTGATATTAGGGATAATCATGAGGAAGCCCTCGTTGGTGGTAAAGCTATTCTCGACCTCGCGCTCAGCTTGAATGAAGCTGCGGCAAAAGAGAGGGAGCAGCATGGCGATAGTGGATGGCAATCAGGTGGCGGGGCTGCTCGTTCTGGCTTCGACGAGCGCGTTCCCGATATACTTGCAGCCTGGCAGGAGCGATGGCCCAACATGCCTGCGCTCTGGAGTTTGGCTTGGTTCTAGTTCCTACATGACGGCGTTACTGTTTTCCACATCCCGGCATGATTGCCCTAGATACCCATATTGCATAGCGAGGCGTTCTGGACATGACATCTATATGACGAGCTCTTACGAATACACGATTCCATAAAGCTCATCTTTGGTCCTTTGATTCGTGCACTGATATGAATCACCATGTGACATCCGACATGACGTCGTATCACAAACGTAGCGTACGCGCACAAGCGTCCACCGGCTGTAGCCTCGAGGCACGGTCTGCAGCTAGCCACGTGTGTGTACCACGAGCTCATCGCGAAAGTCAATGTGCTTTTGAGGTATCCTAGCAGCAAACAACACTCTAATCTCTTCTAACATTTCGATCAACATCTTCTATGCGACGAGGGTCATATCCAAGACGCCTCTACCCTACCTAGGTACTTACCAACACCATGAACGTAGTGCTACTCTTTGTCTTCATTGCTGGCGTCATCGCAACATTTGAATCAAGAGGTGGAGCTGGTAGTAGGCGCTGTGGATGGGAACTTATGCAAAACCTCCGTACGTTCATCGGTCGTCTTTCCGTCCCCTCGTGGACCAATCTGATATTTTTACAGAAATTCCTATTCCCAAACTCGGTGGCTGGTACGCAGAGCAAACAGGTGATCGCTCTTTGTGCGTGCTTCAGGATGACGGCTCGGAGTACTGCACTTGTATCTATGAGTGCGGAAACGGCGTTTGGAGGTCTCTTGACGAGAGTAAACACGACAGTTGGAGATATGGAAACGAGAGCAGCTCGTGGGAGTGGGAATTGGGATGCAAGAAATACTGTCACGCTGGGGTATGTGATGGGCAGGATTGATGGAGTCGGAGCAAATGCAGAACTGAGCGGCAGGCGTTGTTGAGATGCGACACACGACTGTGTTTGAAAATGGTGATTAGGATGTTCCAGGAAATGAATGTGGAAATAATGAGTTCTTTTTGTTGGTTTTCATCTGTTGTGTTGGGAAACACTCACTGATCCCGAATGTGTATCATCATTTGATGACAAGGGGAAACTAGCAAACCGCACTTGCTCGAGCCTTGGCCCGAACGGATGCCAAACGGTTGTTCTCTGAGCATTTTGAATTGCCCTCTCCTCTCAACGATCAGCACAAAAGAGACAATCATATGAACAAACAAAAAATTACTGTGCCCATGCTGGCGAGGACCAGGAATTGGCAAAAAAGACGACGTTGGCCAGATTCGAACTGACGCTCCCGAAGGAACAAGATTTCTAGTCTTGCGCGATAACCACTCCGCCACAACGCCTCGAATCGTTTTCATGCTTTGCTGCTTGATGACATAATCTGAATTTTGGCATAATAGATACTGAAAATGCAGATCATCACTACAGAAATTTGGCTTACGTGCCGAGCTTCGCCGTGTATCTGGTTGGAGTCTAGGGTCAAACGGCATGCAAAAGCGACCCCGTCTCGGCCCCAGCGCAGGACACCCGCAGCACGCATCGTAGTAGGAATTCATGTTCTAGCCGACATCATCTAGGTGTTCGCTGGGAACTCAACCATGTTGTTCAAGCTTGACAGTAACCTGGCCAATCGCACACATTTTCTTCAAAGTAAAGCGCAAGGTCGACGCTAACGTCAGGCATCCTATCTTATCACCGCCCTTCTGCACATAGAGAAAATCGTCGTCTTGGCCGCCCAATCTGTCGGATCACCAACGTTCCGCCGCAAGCTCCGGTTTCCACGAAACGACATGCATCAGTACCGTCGGAATGTTTGTCGTGGCTTGCATCAGAAACACCCATCAACGTCTATTGTGTTCAAGCTAAGCATCGTCGCCGTCAGTCCTTTGGGTAAGTCTGCACGTCGCAGAGACAAATACTCTGCAGACTTCTACCAGCCTTCTGCCGTAGGCCGTGCCTCTTAAGCCTCGATACTGTCGTCTTCCGTATCCTTGATGCAAAGCCACTTGTGTTCAAAATGGTGTACCGTGGGCGGCCATCAACAGGCTGCAAGAAGTGCCGCGAAAGAAAAATCAAAGTGAGTAACGGGCTGCCTCCATCTATACGTCCAAAGTTGCGTTGTGAACCCCTCCAGGGTATGCCGCGCGAGGTTGCGGTCGCCTGCCGCTTGTCGCAACTAGCTTCTTCCTAACTGGGAATCCAGTGCGAGATGGTAGCTTCAGGTCTCAGTTCCGATTTGTGCTACGAGTCCGATCTAGCCTCGATGATGCAGATTGCTGACTAGACGTCTACAGTGCGACGAGCGTCCAGGTGGTTGCGTGAAATGCTTTGAACGAAAATTCCAATGCCCTGGATACGATCGAACTGTCGACGCTTTCTTCCACGATGAGACCGCGCAAACTCAGGCGAAGGCGAAAAAGTCAAAGGCAAAAGCCATTGCCGCGCGTGATGCACGAGATACAAGAGACCTCCGAGAGGCATATCTACAGATCATGGCCAAACAATGTCCGGGAACGGCCATCACAGCGCCGCTCATTGACCAGGGTATATCCTTCTTCATGTCCTACTACTGCACGGGTGTGGATCAGCCATCGATACAGTCAATCGAGTACCAGCAACACCTATCCACACACGGCTTCCATCCGCTCGTTGCAACATCAATGACAGCCTTGGGTATCGCTGGCGTAGCCAACCTTTACATGGACTCTCGTCTCAAAAGCGAAGCGACACGTTGGTACCTCGAAGCTATCAAAATGGCCAATGCGGCAATTTCATCGCCTGAAGACGTAACTGCCGATAGCACCCTCACCTCAGTCAATCTTCTGAGCATGTTCGAAGCAACGTTCAATGACAACTCCCTAGCTGGATGGAGTAACCATGTGGATGGCGCTGCCTCCCTAATCAAAATGCGGGGCATGGGCCAATTTTCGACTCCAGCGGGACAGAGAATGTATCTCCACACCATTGGTTTGCTAACGATGAACTGCATGGGAAAAGGTGTTCCACTTCCTCAGTATGTTCACGATCTGAACACCGAAGTTATAAAGCACCTAGATACCGAGGATCCTAGGAACCGGTTCTTCTTTCTTCACATCAAGACCATTGACCTGAGAGCGCGGATTCTGAACCAAGAAGCGTTCTCATTGGTGGACATCATAGATTCGGCACTAGAGCTTGACGAGGTTGCTGTCAAGATTTTCAAAGATCAAGGTCCAGACTGGGACTATGATGTAGTGCCTTGCGAGGAACAAGAGTGCTGCTATGAGAACTTCTACCATATTTACCCAACTGCAACAGCAGCTCAAACCTGGAACTGGGTGCGTTACAATAGGATCTATTTCCACGACATCATCCGAAATTGCATATTGGCAGACTTCACTTCGACTCCACCCACGCTTGTCGGCACCAAGTATCATCAGCAACTAGAAACAAGCGCTCGCACTCTATACCAGCTACAATCTGACATCATAGCAAGCATGCCTCAATTCTTACACGACGTCCCTGATGAAGTGCCGAGCAGAGTAGCTAGCCCGACAAATAGTGAGCCGACCCCGCCAGGTGCGTCGGGGCGAGGCAAACCATGGCCTACAGCCGCTAGTACAACCTCAACATCTCCTTATCGTATAGCACTCAAATCTCTTGATGGGAACTTTCGAGGCAACACGCACAATCTCGTCAAAGCGCTGATCGGAAACGGATCAGTAAAAGATCGACTTCCCATCGTGCGGGTTGCAGGAGGCTACAGCACTGTATGGGCACTCTATGTGGTATGGTTTTTAATCATAACTAGCATCATGTTCTTACTACTGACGATTCTATGTAGGCTGCCGCCATGCCGTTAGCCTCGTCAAGAAGCCAAGACTTCGTAGACAATTGCATGACACGAATCGAGCACGAATTTGGCATCAACCAGGCTCGAGTGCTATCAAACGCCCTGAAACTCAAACGTCACCTCGCTAGCAAAGGCGCCATTGCTTTCGGTATATGTCCGCAATACTTACCACCGGACGATGGAGTTTATGTTCCGCAACAGGATCTATACAATAAGGTGGGTCAAAAGGTTCCTGAGGTCCTGATGGAGGCATCCTTCCAGGCTACTTTCCCAACTGTGGCAGATATTTTTTCAGGGCCTAAATACTAGAACCAAGCCTGACTCGTGCAGGTTGTTGAGATGACCGACGAAAACGCCTGAGGCGCTGTTGTTCGATGATCTGGATCCAGTATACTGAGACACAGTCAACGTTACGAGATTTTCAATAGGGTGGTATTTCAACAAGATATCTGAGAAATACCACGGTCGTTTCGAACAAGGTAACGAAGCGTTGATCCTCGTCATCCTCATTCGCACTCTGCTAAACGAAAGGACGACCGATTCGAGTAGCCCCAGGCTTACATTACCCTTGAAAACCGCCACCACACCAGCTCTAGAACCGCCGATCATCGTATTATCACACATGGATTTTGTAAATCAGACTTATGTTGCTAGTACTGAGCTTAGTCTTGTGGTGATGTTTTTGCTGGATTGGGTAACAAGAAATGCAAAGGTCAGAAGGGTTGGCTCATAGTGCCTCGAAGAGGGCACTGGTTTCCACCAATCAAGTCAAGCGGACTTTTTCTGCTCTCCGACGGAGTGAATGTCCACTCAATACCGCTTATGCGCATAAATCCACCCATTAGAGGATCGCTTCCGCCGTCGCACATCGTCACAAATCCCTCCTCGAATCTCTATGCACCACACCTCGAACAAGTCAACCGTACGACCGCCGCCCGAGACACCCCGCATCGAGAATAACTTCGAACGCGATAGCCTTCTTCTATAATGACGACTGTATTTATTCCGCAGACAGGCTCGCCTCTGCTCAGCCTTCCAGGGGAGGTTCGGAACAAGATCATTCGAAATGTCTTCAAATATGAGGATCCAGTTCTACTAGTGCCTTATATAGGTTTAATAATGTATCTGTCGTCGCCAGCGATGGTTTGTGCGACGCAGGACATCCAGATATTTACTACCTGCCGCCAGCTCCATGGCGAATGCAAGAGTATCTTTCTCACGAACAACGCATTTTTACTCTCTACGCAGCCCAACACTTTCAGGGACGCTTCAACCATGGGGCTTTTGAGCCGATGGATGTTTGATCTCGGTCCGTTTCGCGATTACATACGCAAAGTGATCATCGATCTGAGCCCACTTTGTCCTGGACCGTGTCATCTTTTCAGGCAATAGATCGACTTGAAACCAATCACTATGGAGATTTGGCGTTACCAAGACATACTTGCAACCAACGGCAGTCGACAGCGTGCAAACGTTGATATATCCTTTGCGTTCTCAGGACGGCCGCTTCATGGACACCTACATCATCCACCACAAAAAATGATTAGCGACTATAATCTGAATGCGATGATCACGCTGCTGACTCCCCAGCGGATCCCGGAGATGAGTGCTTACCTCCAGTCACTGCATGTGCTTCGAGAGGTTCGGACTGACGTCAAGAGCCCGCAAGCTCTGTTCATCTTGGGTACACCTAATCATTGCGACAACACTGGAATGCCAGCTATTAGTTACGAGTTGAATGCCAACGGTCAAGTTGAACGGAAGCATTACTGCGTTAACAAAGGGTCTGGTATTGCCCGCCTCCTTTTTGTGGCATCGATTCGCGAAAAGCTTCTTTCTTTGCTCATGGGTTCAAACGCTACTCGGTTCATATATAACATTGAGAATCGAACAATCTCACCTCGTTTACCCGAACCCTTCTCGATAAATCGCCAATTTCGAGAACTGGCGCTCCGAAAGTTCTCAAGGGTGCATGCTGTTGGAAGAATCGTAGCGTACAATGCGCAGGCTACCTTCGATGACCTAAGGCTGATGTATGATTGGTGCATGGCTAGTCGATTGTTCATCCGTAGCGAACACGCAGCTCGACATGAGAAGTACCCTCCAACTATCCTGATGCGTTCTGAGCTATCGGAGCGAGACAATCTTTCGAACCTTCGGATCCCGATAACAAACATGGTCGTGGCAACGACCAAGCTTCCATTCAACACAGAGATACGGGTCGAATTAGTTCATATCGACTTGCCTGTTAGCGTTAAAGTTGCGGTCAAAACAGTAACCCTTCACAGGCTTCAACAACAATTCCTTGTCTTTCTTACTGATATCTTGGACATCTACCCAGGCCAGAGTACTCAAGTCTGTCCATGTGTCATAATGGATGGTAACTTTGCAATCAAGGAAGCAGAGTGTAAGCGAGAGGATGGAAGGAATTTCCTTGTCAAGAATAAGAGTACCGCTCTTGACTCTGACGAGATGGAAGAGGAAGTTGATTTGTGCATGAACAAACTGCTGGAAAGAGATGATCCCGTTACGGCCGCATACCTCCCCCATCGCGAAGTCGACGATGACGGACATCAGACCGCGTACATCCTGGACTCGCCGCATGATCACTCGTTGCTAGGGGTGGCTGTGTGGCTGGCTTGCTGCTTGTAGGAAGCTGGTACAGCTCGCCACTAGTAAAAGAAATGAGGATGTTAGTTCATACTGGATATCCCAAGATTGACGTAGGATTTAAGCAAACGTTGGCCCATTGTTTGAACGTTTCACACAATGCGGAAAGTAACAAACTCTGCTTCATGCTGATACTAAAGAATAAAACGGTTGCGCTCAATCTAACTAATATGAATCGATAGCTTACCTTCTGAACAACACTCCACACATGACTTTGAATGCCATGAAAGATGTTACACCGCCCCTTTACACGACTCGCCAGCTAAATCGTTACCGCTACTATTCCACTCTTTACACCGAGCGCAATTACCCAAATGCTCCACATTATAATCACATTTCTCGGCCGTCTCATCTCCTTGGTCTCGCACAGGAAACGCGTGTTCTAATATACACCGCTGCATTGACACTTCTCTTATCCATCGGGGTCTGGCCGGAAACCGACAACAGAATCGCCCCACACCAGTTCACAACCATGAAGCGTAATATGCGGTATCTGAAGATGAGAATACAGCTACCGAGTGTAGATCTGAGCCTGCTGGGTTTTGTAAACAGATCAGACACGGGGCAAAAAGATGATTCTATTAGAGAAACGAGTCGCGGTTCAGTGGTACGGATGGGTAGATGGTCGCTCAGACTTTCTTGTTCACCACCGGGGTATTTGGTTGCAACACATCCGCTCTATTACACTACAACTGCCTTTCCAGTTTACGCCTCATAGTCATCTAAACCACGGTAGGGGCAAAGCTGGCCCAGCGACGAGTGGCCGCGCCATCGTTAGACTTGCTAATTGTATCCCTTTCGCCGTGCCTAAAGATTGGACATACACAGGTAGTTTGGTAGACGTCTGCAGAGCGCTTGGCAAATGCGTGAATATTAGTATAGTCAACCTCGTATTTCCAGGTTGGTATGAGCTAGACTCTGTTGAAGGGAAAGTGACACACAAAGTGGAGCGAGAAGCTAAGGGATGCAAATAGTCAAGGCATGAAGATCCAGCTGGTGAAGGTGAGTAGAACGCAGCTCTCGCGAGATGATTTGTCGGTATTAGAGGCAAGGCAGTGGTCATTTTTGCACGAATGCAATGGGACAGGATGGAAGACAAAGCAGACCAGGTGCATTGGATTTGGAAGATTTCATATGAAGGCTGACTGATGATTCGGCCATGAGCATGGTACACTGCTCTAATGAGTTCTTGATCACCACTCTTTTATGATGTTCTACTTCCCAATGCGCACGAGTTCACATAACGGCATTCCTGGAGCATATCATGCTTCTATATAGACTGACATCAGATTAGTTGCTATGAGAATAGACAGTCCAGCTCGCAAAGACCGCGCATAGCGGTGAGATGAAGTTCTCGTTTGGTGTGCACCTCGACCCTTCGTTCCGGTCATGCACCTGAGCCCTATACTCGTCGATGGGATCGAAGGAGGGGGCATGGGCTAAGGTTGGTGAGTTCAACGCTGTTCCCGCACTAATTCAGGAGAGCATACACATGTCTCCTGATCAGCCAACTGTGCCGCTGTGTGGCTTAATGTCGAGAACACGACATACATGATTCGTTCAAAGGTGAATCCCAGGTTGTTATTGGCCTATTTTAGCTTGTGGTATCCATGTGCGAGTAGTGCAGATTGACGCTGGCTTCTTTTCGGATCGCAGCGTTTCGTTTTTGTAAAATTTTCTGGTCGATAAGGCGCTTAGGCAATAAGGCAGCGATTCGTGTTTGTAATTTTTCTTCTCTGACAAGTGACGTGGACAACCTCAGCAACATATCCATGTGTTTGTTCACCTCATTCGCGATGCGGTGAAGAGTCTGAAATTGGTGCCTTTTCTGGGCCATTATTGTTGCATGCAGTAGTCTGTGCAGTGTCGGAGACTTTCGGCATCGGAAGCAGGAAGGAAGTGGAGTGCACAAGCGCCACCTCCTGCCACATCCCCGCGCCACATCCCCGCGCCACATCCCCGCGCCACACTATCGCCTGCGGTCCGCCAATACGGTCCTTCTCCAACGAGTGCATTGACCAAGCGCCACAAGCTATCTTCACCTGACTGATTTTCGGTCTTATACAACACAAACTCATCTATTAAAATGTTCCAAACATGATTGTGGCTGCTGCACACATCCCGCAGGATCCGACAAGGATCGAATTCACATAAAATGAGAGTCTTGCCATCGGAAGACAACAACCCGGCCAGCGAAACACGGCACGACACGCCGCAGAATCGCGCTGTACCCATGATTCGCGACGTCGATCAGTAATACATCCACCACGGATTGCTACCAAACCACAACATACACGATGAGTGCATCTTGCATGTGTTCAGATGCCAGACAACCAAATTCTCTGAGATTTGAACAATGACATATTGTTAGAGTCAGTCGGATCTATCAGCCCGATGAGCGAGTCTTTTTAGCGGGCTTCGTTGGCATGCGCCATCCGTTCCATCGCGGTCGGTGTGCAAGAGCTAGAAACGACAGCTGGGCGTCATGCGCGACACGCCTGTTTGGCGCAACATGACATGCCAAGACACGACGAGCTTGTTTTAAGCTTATGTGAGTAGAGCTGCCATTGGCTGCTACGCGCGAAATGGCAACATTGAAACAACCTGACAATCTAGCAAGATTCTAGCGCAAGGCTCGCCCCGGAGAATGAGTCGCAAACATCTCTTGGCGTGACACCAATACTGTTCCCGGAGAATTGCTTGACTGGCCAGACGTTCCATACGACCAGCGGAAATTTCAGTTCTCCTTGGCGTTCCAGATATGTGGTATCGATGTGGATATTTGTGCGGTTTCAGCTCAAAGCTTGGCATCTTTTCGAGCGTTGGCGCCGGCATGACAGTCTGTATCTAGCCCTAGTCGATCGGACATGGAACGTGTTACTGGCATATTCGCGAGATACCCATGGTAACGGGCTTTCGCGTGGAGTTCGGAAGCAAGCAGTCTATCGCATCACTCAATCTGCCTCCCTGGGATGCAGAGCAAGTTTTTGCTCACCCTAACACTATGGACAGTGATCCCATTATGCTGGATGGTGTTTACTTCACCACGATTACTTGAAAGAAAACACAGTACAAGAGAACCCTGACATGGGCAATGTCGAAACATTCAATCATGAGTTTGTTTACGACTTCCATGCCCCACCAAAGCACGGGCTCTAGCGCCCATGAAACCCTGCGAGCGTATCCTTCTGGACCTGAATCCCACTTACAAACGCATGGTGCGCTGGGCCTAGCCTCCTGAGTATCACCGGGGAGGAAGACTACCTTGTCTTCCATATGGCACATCTTCGGAGTAATGTGTGAAATCACCAGTGCGGCGCGCAGAAGCTGAGTTAAGAAGAGTATAAGTATCACATAGGCCACCGGCAAAAAAGAATCATCCACCATCACATTCATTCAGTCTTTCGTTTGCTTGAAGCATCCCACTTTCGCTACCTCTTTTAGAGACTTACATTCTTTATACATACTTTGCCAAGTATCCTCTTTCGACTTTCCACAGTTTCGATCAACCAACTCAACCATCAAAATGAAGTTCTCCATTGCTATCATTGCTGCCATCACTGGCTTCGCCGCTGCCGGCCCTGCTGCCTCCGCCCCTAGCGAGTTCTTCTCTCTCGCCAAGCGTGCCTCCCTCCCGATCCCCGCCTCCAAGGGCTCTGTTACCTACAAGAAGCCCCAGGAGATTTCCGGAACTTTCGATGGTGGCATGAAGACCTACGGCCGTGGTGCTTCTTGCACAGGTCAGGTTGAGGGTGGTGACAAGGACGCTGTCTTCCTCATCAAGAACGGAGGTACCCTCAAGAACGCCATCATCGGCAAGGACCAGATCGAGGGTGTCCACTGCGAAGGTAAGCATTACCCCTGTATGCACTACATATAGCAAACGTACTAACCGTACACAGGATCCTGCACCATCGAGAACGTCTGGTGGGTCGACGTTTGCGAGGATGCTCTTTCCCTCAAGGGCGACGGCAACGCCATGGTCAAGGGCGGAGGTGCCCAGTCTGCTGATGACAAGGTCATCCAGCACAACGGAAAGGGAACGGTCACCATTGATGGCTTCAGTAAGCAGCTCTTTCGACACTACACTCTGACAACCGCTAACAACTCTATAGCCGTCATGAACTTCGGAAAGCTTTACCGTGCCTGCGGTAACTGCAAGAACTCTGTCTCCCGCTCTGTTGTTATCAAGAATGTCAAGGCCTACAACGGTAAGGTCCTTGCCGGTATCAACCCCAACTTCGGTGGTACCGCTACCATCTCCGGCACCTGCGCTTCTTCTGTCAAGACCATCTGCGAGGAGTTCAAGGGCACCAAGCCCGGTTCTGAGCCCAAGTCCGTCTCCAAGGGCCCCTCCAGCTACTGCAAGTACACCGCTTCCGCCATCAAGTCTTGCTAGACGCATACTTTTGACTCGCTCGATATCTTTCTAGACGAACGAGAAAATGGCGGTTGCGGGTGGAGATGAATGAGTGGGTCGTTGAACACTTTGGAATTTTAGAGGTGGATTCTTTGTACATATAACTTTGCGCACATGCGGTGCATGTAATACACTTGATCTTCAAGCACAAGTTTGTTTTCTCTATTTCTATCGTGATCTACGCTACGTTAGGTCTGGTATATCTGATCATAAAAACTGACCGGTTGAGCTATTAAACCCGAAGCGAAAAGGCGATAATGCGTTCAAGTCTTGTCACTGCTGGACATCTTCACAGTGTGAAGAATACGAAGACCTCACCTCTGGAGAACTGTGTGTTATTGTCAAGATCTACGAGACAGCGGAGGCAAAATTTGGTGAACATCTGTAATATAATACAAGATATCACAGACTACGTAAGACTCTTAAACTTCGCGCAGTGAAGATCAGAACGCAGGTATTATGAGAAGATTACAAAGATCGGAGCTGACATCTACAACATTGTGTGATAGCAGCGAGTTGAAGGGCGTTCTAGAGTTGATTAGCGGTATCGGCAATACAAGCAAACAGAGCTAAAATGCCGTTCTGAACACCTTGCGGAATGAGAGGAGCAAGACGATCGAAGAAAATGGGTACAGCGCAGGAACTTTACACGACGGAACAGCAAATGATGACTTCACGCCTTTCGTCGCTTCTTAGCAGCCACCTTTGGACGGGGAACGTCAACACTCGCTTCACCCTCTGCCTGAAGGATATCATCATGAGCCCGCTTCTTGCCCTTTGGAGGTTTTCGTGGTTGAAGAGACTCCGTGGGCTCTGGAAGATCTCTCTTGTCAGAACGTTCCTCAAGGCCGGTGTGCGACTTGTTGGCCTGTTGCTCCTCGCTAATGGAAGTCACTTTGCCTTTTGCAATCAGACCGGCCTTGTGCGCGTTGGCAGTTTTGTTGGTCGCTGTGCGGGAGGTAAGGGTACGGGGGTTTCCGATGATAGTATAGAATCGGGTACCCTTCAGTATGTCCTGACACGTCGTCTTTGAGCACTGTGAGCAATTAGCAACAGCCAGCGTAGTTGATGCCAAGGGGGAGAATAGGGAATACGCACGTGAAGAAGCTCGCAAAGGGCTTCGAAACGATCTTCGAAGGTGTAGAACATCGTCACCTGGCAGTTCTCACGCTCACTCTTGTCGTAAATGGTTTTGGTCCACCCTTTTGTGTGAATTTCGACCATAGCAAGCTACACTATGTTAGCGAAACAATGACCACAATAGAAAGATTACTTACTACCAGATCGCGAGCCGCTGCTTTGAACTGATCCTCACTGTAATAGGTGGATCCCGCTAGCCAACGGTTCCGATGCTGGCCCGTTGTCGTCTTTTCTCTACAATTCTCCCTGTTTTGTATCGCCTTTGTGAGTGTAGCGATACATGTATTAATCTCGGTTGGAGATGAAGGGATAGTGTTGTCATCAGCGGGGGCGGTCCAGTACACGCCGCCAATATGGGTTCCAGTGTCTGTCTGCGAAATGGTGACCGATTTGCCCATCTGCTTGGCTGCGCTGGTTTGGTTTCGCTGCTCTTTTAGCACAGCCTTGGCTTGCTTTTCTTTGTTAAAGAGAGAATTGCTGGTAGCGTCCACAACTCTTGAAGCTTCTGCTTCTTCTCCGGCGTCAATAGCTTGACCGTTGTCTGACTGGTTCGGCGGGGGTATAGGATACCCATTGTCATGAGGCAGATCCAGCCCGACCGAAGAGTACAGATAGTCATTCTCAAAGCCGTTTGAACTTTCTGAAAGACGTCAGTATGTGCAATACAGGTAAAACAGATACTACCACAACTTACCGAGGGCGACATTGGTGTCAAAAAGCGGTGGGGGATGAGTCCCGAAGTGCTGGGGCTCTTCAGGTAGAGGCCATCCAGACGCTAGTTGCTCGTCATAGGAATTCTCATGAGGCTGATGAGAATTCAGTAAATCGTAGCGATATTCTCTGTTTTCGTCCGCGTATATGTCAGGCTGTTGGGTGGGAAAGAATTCGTCATTCTGATTTAGATCGAAGTCATTGAAGTCAGCGGACTCAGTGAACATCTGAGCATTCGGCGAGATAAAAGAAGCCGACGGGAGATGGGGCGCTGCGCGCTGACGATCAGGGAAAGAAGCGTTGTTGCTCATCTTGTGCGAAAGCGGTTGCTGTACACAGAATGAAAGTCTCAAGGTTGCGTGAAGAAGTGGTGCGGAGAAGAACTTTTTCTTGTGGTGGTGGAATGAAATACAGTTGTGCGGTCATGGGGAAGGAAAAACGTTCTGGAGTTGCCTATTTCGCATGATATACTGCAATGAAAGGTTCTTGACCAGAACAATGTGGGGCGCAAAGTGAATCGTGTGTTTACAGAGAGCGTTTCCTAGGTGGCAGAAGCAGAATTTTGAGGATTCGACATAGAAGATCCCCCAGCACACTGTATTTCCGACAAATAGCCAGTGAATTGCCCTACATTAGCTAACAATAAAGTGCTTTATAGATGAAGTCGTTGTCATTATATATGGCCGTTCAAGAGTGACTGAGTGAAGATTAATCGACACGAACGGACGCTGTGGGTGACGCGTGCGGAGGGTACTGTTGGCCAGACTGTAAAATGTGAAACTCAGCTCGAGCCATTGTATAGTCAGCCGTGCAATTCGAAAATCGCATCGGTCCGCTCCAGTGGATGAGAAGTGAGGGCAGAAGGGCAAATCAAGGGAAATAGCAAATTATCGAAGGGGAGGACAAGCCGACCCACGATTGAGCCCAATACACCACTGTCTTTCTGTGATTTACGTGTGTTCGGGAGTGTTGCTCGACTCTTATGCTGAAGTGCTTGATGAGAATGACAAAGACTTCCAATGCAAACTGGTCGGGCAATCACGTAGACTCTCTAGAACGGTTGCCATAACAGACACGTGGCTCTGGAATTTGGATCAACTGCTTCCCCCTAGCAAGCAGGTGACAGTAACGATGGCTATTCGGAGTACTGGGAGAGGCTCTTACTGCTTGTTGCTTCTTTTGTCGGGGTAGCTCAAAGCGAAGAGTTCAACCAGAACGCATCTGAGAGATGTCGCCAAGGTTATGAGAAAAGAGAGACAGAAAATACCCTAAATTAGTTAAATTTCTGATCCATTGCGGGATTTAGACAGACTTTGCGCCTTCGGCAGCCTCATTGAGAAAGACTGGGTGCGGAGCCTCTGGGTAGTGCAGCGAACATCATCCTACGTATTTCCATGCTCAGAAGACCTGATTGGAACATAAAGTGGCAGTGACCGGAGGAAGAAGGAGACCTTCAGGGATGTAGATAAGTCCATGTAGGTTCGTCGTTGGATTCGAGGTACATCAATGCACGCTAGCGACGACGAATCTGCCCCTCAGCACCGGCCGTCCTTTCCCGCGACAAGCATGACGGCATCCGTACCCATACCAACCCACCGCTGGCCGGCTTCATATGTCGTGCTGGTCATCGTTCTAGATCGAGTCGCAAATGGCCTTCGGAAGTAACCAACAGTCATACCAGCGCCGAACGCTAGGTGCTTTGGTCGTACGAAGACCCAATAGCTAGCAAGCCATACCATCCACAGTTATCGCGATCCACTGGAAACTTACCCCGACGACTGTCCTTAAAACGCGTTACAGATGATGTCACTATCTCCAACCTAAAGACACCCAGGAAACATCCTCTTTATGCTGCGCCTCTCAAGAACAACAGCGAAAGAAAACACTTTGTGACCTACCGCGATCACGTTGATAGCAATGCCAATCGAACTTCCTAGTTACGCGCGATACCATAGCATGGTTCTGCGACGACGCATAATCAACAAGCCACCCACAACACGCGCAAAATATCCGATGTCCCGTCGATACGAGACCCCTCAAGTGAGACAGGTGATAAAGGCAGGGATGGCTGCATACTAAGTGCGCCACGAGCTCATTCTGTCAAATCATTCTCTCCTCCCTGTCCACTATCAGATGCGTGTTCCCTCGGCAACGTGAAGAGGCCATATGCTCTAAACTCCCTATCAGGAGAGCGGTATATGATAGAGAAGAACGGGCAACGTCTCTGAGTTTTTGCATAGCACAAGGCACACCTGTCGCTTTGTCGTTCATGTCTTTCGCAACATGCACCTGCAGCACGACACTACGAGCCCTGGAAGAACACAGAAAAACTTATTCTGGTAAGCTGTAACTCGATGAGAAGCCGAACACTGTCGTGTTGGGTGTGCAAATTGCCACTGTCAACAGCGATGGACTACACCAACAAGGAAGCGACAGGCGCGCTTGCCGATAGTGTGAGCCGGCTCAGCAAGATGTCTGTAGTGATCCTGTCAGTTTGTGTCACTCTCTATGAAAGGATTAGCCAGCCAAAATGAGATTCAGAGTGTATTATTTTGAGCTACGGACAACATCTAGAGCATTTGGTATCATGTCTTCCGAAGCCTACATTGCTTCGCTTTACAACAAAGCACAGTTTCGGCATGCCGCAAGTATTGCAAGAGCTTAAGGAACAGGACAGAAGCTGGAGCAAACGCTTCTCAAATCCAAGGTGAATGCGAGATTCTCAGATGACGCTTGGACGGTTCTTTAGCCACCCATCTGCGGTGATCAATACACGCAGCGCGACATGCATTGCTTACCCAGGCAATGGGCCACAACAGTAAGTTTTGCGATCTCACTGAGCAAGACTTGGATTTTGCGACATTTGACAGGCTTGGCATCACCCAGTGATCACATATCGACACCGGTTTTGTGACAGCGCGACTTCACTTCACTTTACAGGCTGCCTGGAATAGCGCCTTAGATTGTGCGCCGCTTCACTCAAACTTTCCCAGGTCGCCTTTCGACTGCTGCCTTTGTGGTACATAAATACGTGTCCTACGGCGTTTCACTTTTAACACCGTACATATCAATGCATCAACACATCTTCGAGAGTAAGTCTCCCGAACTCGAATTTGAGCACCAGAACGAAACTAACCTCTACGTTACTTGCAGGCAGCTATATTCCCAAGTCAATCCACTCCCTGCCTACGCCCAAGTCCAACAACATGACAGATCGCGATCTCGACACGGGTACCATTCAGGGTGCACCTGAAAAAGCCACCACGATGACTTCTATCACCGCCCTGCCTTCCCCCGCACCTAATCTCCCTCGACTATCTGAACAGAAGCTGGAAAAGGTACCCAAGTTCTTGAAGGCAGCGTATCGCCCCAAGCCTAATACTTCGATATGCCTGAACAAGGATTTTCCAGTGGCCGAAGGCCTGTGCTTTAATAACATGAGGGAGGCTCAGAAATCGATGACTGTTGCTCAGTGGTACGCACCTCAGGAGGATGAAACCATCCCAAAGACCGAGGAAGAACACCGCAGGATTGTTATGATGTTGGTGGACGCATTCAAGGACATGAGCATCGCCAAGGATACCGCAACCAACGCCTACCGCAAGCGCTTCACTCCGGGTGAGACTTCCTACTACCAGGACTGGGCTATCGAAGCCTGTGCCTGGGATATAGTTGTAAGTAAGAGGCGTATGCCAGCGTGACAACGATTGAACTGCTAACAAGTGATTTAGGACAAGGCCAAGTATATTCACACAGAGGGCTTCAAAATTCCGATCTACGACAAGTCCATCGTCGACTATATCGGCCAGACCCAGAAGTGGCTGTTCGGAGAGCGTATTGACTGGATATGCCAGGTGCTAAAGGTATGTTTGTCCCTTCTGGCCATGACTGAACTCATACTGACTTGGCGTTCAGAGCTCGAAGCACGTCGCTGTTACTCTGATGGTGATTATTCAAGACTAACACGATTGTTGATACTTGTAGCTGACACAACGACAGAAGCATGAGAAGAACTGGGTTACAATTGGCGCACCTCACAAGCTCTATAGTAGCACCCTTGTCAACACTATCTCAAACGCCCACCGTGGCAAGTGGATTAAGGATGGTCGTGGAGCAGACAGGGATCATCAAGATCGTCCATTCAAGGGCAAGCGCACTAAAGACCAAGTGACGTTTTCCGAAGGTGAAGTTGTTGGCATGGACTTGCCCAACAACGTGGACTCTGGCACTGTTGCTGGAAGTGAAGAGACAGGAGCACAGAACCAAGAGCTTATCCGCAAGCGTCAAAAGATTGAGCATATTACATTCGAAAGGAAGGATTTCGACCCGGATGATGGAATTACTGCAAAATCTGACGCTGGTGTTCAATCTGTCGAAAAACCCGGAAAGGGTCACATGTCAAATGAGTCCATCATCAACTCCATGGTTGACTGCTTGGATGGAGATTTGCCCACGAAGTCTTTTGCTGTTGACCCCAGACAAGATGCTTGCGTCAATTATTATCCTGACACGAACATCAAAGGCAGGTCTGAGTCGGACAACGAGTCGGAGCTCTCTGAGCCCCCCGATGGTCTGCTCCCTGACGCCCTGTACGCTTCTCCTATCAACAAGAAGACGGATGACCCCAAAGTAGATGCTTCAACTCTAGAGCCTCGGATGGACGACGCTGCTCACCTAGACGGCGCGCATATGTTAGTCTCTCTGAGCGCCAGCCGTTGAGCATCGTGCTAGGTTGTCAGCCTTGACGAGTGATAGCTCCACACCTACCCCGCACTGTGTAGAGTGATCTTTCTCTACCCTCCTGCGGTATAAGAGTCGGCATTGGAGATAACAAGCTACACTCCATGGGTTGAGATACCATAGGAAGTCACGGCGTAATGACTGTAATATTTGATTAGTTTACGAAACCGCGACTGAACAGGAAGATGACTGAACACTGCCTCGACATGCGACATTGCGTGAGCTGATTAGTGTCTATGGGCAGATGATGCCCGGTATAGGAGCCTACGCAAGAGGGTGCGTCTATCCCGCTGAGATGGCGCAATGCTTGGTGACCTTATCGTGTCTCTATGTTTGTTCGGTTGTGGGTAAGTGCCGCACTAAGCTTGATCGCTCCGCCAGCTTGTAACCTCGGAACTTGCGCATCTCCGTTTCGCAACTGAGGAGTTGAGCCAGTGAATACCAGCACTAACACGGCTTCCAACATGGCCTCTAACATGTCAGTAATCATGTCGCATTGTCCTCTGCCGTCTTCTAGATCGGAACTAAGTTGTTATCGCACGTCGTCCGTCGCATGACAGTCGTCTGTCCACACCCTCCACTGCCTACGATGCCCGACCCAAGAATTGAGCACCTAGAAGACTTTACCGCACACGAATGGTGCAATGCTCTGATCTTCGATCCCTCAATAACGCGCGTCCACAAACGTCATGTCTTCGGCAAGGGAGACGAATGGAACTCTCTCTTCACCCGCAGTCTCTTCACCAACGATGCCATTCGCGCCTTCCTCAACTTGTACAAACCTGGCAAAGGGCAGAGAAGAGCAGTAAACCGGAACAGCATAGTCACAGGCGAGCCACCGAAACTCAGGAACGTTGCGCCGAGCGACTACGACAAGGAGTTACGCAGACGAACGGCAAAGGAGGATGTACAACACGACCTCACAGACCCAGAAGCGCCTGAGAATACCGTGTTAGTCTCCATGGGTGGTGAGCTTGATGGTGGTATTGGGCGTCTTCACGGCGGCGTCACTGCATCCTTGCTAGATCAGGCTATGGGCTCGCTGTTGATGCACTACTACGAAAGTAGCAATGCGACTACAGAGTTGAGGGTCAAGTACCTGAAGGCTGTCGAAACGCCTTGCATACTGAAGGTCAGGGCGAAGATAAGTAGAGAGGTGGGAAGGTGGATAGAAGTAGCAGGATGGATCGAAGATGGAGAAGGTACCGTGTATGCTGAAAGCTGGGGTAGTTTTGTGCTAGCCAAGCTTGAACCATCAGCGAAGATATAAGCGTACTGATAAATGGCAATGTAGAGACAAAAGGACAAGGAAGCATGTAACGGGAAAGCCTCCAGCCATCGCCCGCTTCCAGCCATAGGCAGCGCGAGCCGTATCGCGAAGATCTCACGGTCCTGGCATATACATTTTCAGTCTCTCGGCCGCCAACTATCCCGCGCGCGACTCATGCGTTTGATCTTATCATAGTCTAGATGGCGAACGCGATGTGTATCACACCCTCACCCAGATCAGTGCCATCGCTATCGCTCTCAATGCATATATCCATCAACGGTCCCAACGACCGCTATCGCAGCATGAACCGTTCTTGCCGACCCCTGTCAGCACACGTATCGCGACTTCTCGGCTTCTCCAGTGTTCTCAACATCTGACGAATCACATACTGCAGCGTCGTGGCATTGTGTTTCAGATATTCAGGCAAATTGATTCTAGACCGGGCCCCCTAGCCGCCGATCAGGAGAGTTTTGCAGCCGTTGGCAGGTTCACCCAACGAAGTTTTCTTATCGACAACGCACACAAGGCGATGACATGGCACATCTATATTTATGGTGGGGAGGCCAAGGTAATTTGACACCCGTTTAATCTTGGAATGTGCACGGCGTCGGTGCAGAGTATGCTGGGTTGAAACAGCGTTATGCGTTGTAGGCTGTGTAAGTTATGTACGATAGCTATCTACAGCTTTCGTCTTTTACGCGTAAGCTTGATCTTTCATCCTCTCTTCCATTTTTTCGTCGTTCTCTACCGTCGCATTTTGCGCAGTCTCTCGTTCATTGCTATTTTTCTTGGTTCAGCGAACCATACACGTTCATTACAAGTTCATTACATTCTTTTTGCTTTGATTAGCCTACATTCAAATCAACGACATCGTAAATCTAAAATCTTCGTGCCTACCGTAATCGTTAACCATGATACCGACCTATTTCGCCAACGCGATATCCCTCATCGTTCAAACTGCTGCGAAACAGGCCCCACCTCCATCTCCTCCACAACCAGCCGCCCTCTTGACCACCTCAAGCATCCTCGCTGCTTCACTCAAGTCTTCTTTCCCGGATCAAGGTCTAGCATTATTACCCCAACCGTACTGGTGGTGGCAGTCCGGAACTGCGGTCGAAGCGCTTCTCAACTATGGTCCAACAACAGGAGATTGGCAGTATGAGGAGATGCTAAAGAACACGATCGTGACTCAAGCGACAGCAACAAACGACTTCATGACCATCGATGCCACCGGCAACGATGATCAGGCATGGTGGGCGCTCGCTGCCCTGACAGCCGCCGAGAACAGAGTACCGCAACTAGGAGGCATAGCTTGGGTCGACCTAGCAAGAAACGTCTTCAACGAGCAAAGACAGCGCTATGAAGACGGTGCAAACACGTGCGGAGGCGGACTACGCTGGAAGATTGACTACGAAGACGGAAACAACGGATGGCACTACAAGAACGCCATTACAAACGGATTATTCTTTCAACTCGCCGCCCGTCTCGCCCATCTCACAAATGACACAGAGAGTTTGGCCTGGGCTGAGAAGACGTATGCTTGGAGCACGAAAGTCGGACTCGTGGACAAAGATTTCAATGTCTACGATGGGACAGATGAAGAGAATGGATGTTCGGATCTGAACCACAACCAGTGGAGTTATAATGTTGGAGTTTACCTTTATGGCTCTGCTGTTATGGCAGTCCATACCAAAGACGACAAATGGATCGACCGAACCCGCGGTTTTATTGCTTCTGCGAAGCGGACTTTTACTTCACCAGATACTAGCGCTTTGTTTGAATCAAAATGCGAAGGCAAGGATATAGATGATGGAGGTTGCGACACGGATCAGGTTTCTTTCAAGGGTTTGTTAGCACGCTGGTTAGGTGCTGCGGCAGAAATCTTACCAGAGGTCAAGGAAGATGTTGAGAAAATTATCAATGCGGCTGCAACTGCGGTTCAAGATGGAGAAAAGACAGATTTGGGGCCTATCGAAAGCTTTAATGCTCTAGAGGTTGTTGACGCGAGTCTGAGAATGCAAGGATTAGGTGGTGTGGAGGGCGTCATAGGGTTAGGAAAGGCAAGAACAAAGAGGAGCGTTGCTGGCAGGATATCATGGTGATCAGATACGCCGATAAATGTCAGTCGAAGTTGGTCAAGGATATCCCAGCCGTTTGCTTGCTTTTCCGACGTGACCTCAAGAGGCTGCTCTCCACGATCGTGCTGTGTTTTGTACATCATCGCTATCCCAGAAATACCCCTACATTTGTAGGAATGAATCCCTGCCGTCTAGCGTCATCGTCTGCAGCCGGATCGTGGGCGATCTCATCTCGATGCGCGGTCCGCTACGCGGATCGATGTTCCGGTTACCTTGAGGGGCTACGGGTGGCTGCAGCCCCTCAACACCAATGGAGCTGTTAAAGCTCTCATAATGACGTCGCGGGTGCGGAAGCCTGCCAGGAACGTCAACAAACATCATTTAAGATAAGCTCGCGTGCGGACCAATGTTCACTAATATCTCATCTCACCGTACCATTGTTGCTTTGCTGTTCTCAATTGATCACTAGTTGCGTTGCGAAACATCATGCCTTCAGTAAACTCAGCTGTAAGTGTCGCTTTCGCGATTGTGCAAGGTATGCAATTGACTGACTTCTGGCAGGTGTTCCATGCGTACGCGTACGGTACTGCATTCTGGTACGGTCTGCGTGGCATGTGCCGTGTGTACGACCCTATTATGGTCATCGGCTGTACGTTGCTCAGATGCTCTTCACTTGTCTTCGTACCATTTAGATCAGAGTTTTGAAACTAATATGATCTAGGGTTCCGACCTCCTTCGCAGCTGAACCTTGCGCCGAACGATCTCGAAGCATACAACGTGCGCAACGATGGGTGGTGTCTCGTCACCCTTGCGTTGATCCTAGTGTCCTTTACCAACGCTGTGCCTTTCAGCTCAGCACCTGCAACGAAGCTCACGTCAATTCCGTATGCGAAGGCGGTGGTGGCTGCGACAGTCTTCCATCACATCACAACTGGCATCGGCGCGTACCAACACTACAAACTGCCCAGTCACTACAATACCAGTATGAGCATTGGCGTGTGGGGCAATGTGTGGCTGACGCTGACGGGACTTTTTACCTTGGCAATGCTGCAGTCGAATGCAGGAAATACACCGGTCGAGGAGGTTGCTAAGAAGGCTAAATAGCTGCGTAGTTAGCGGCTACTTGTTTGGATTCTTCAAGAAAGTTCTGATCGCGGCAATCGAAAGCCTGCCGTCAGAGTGTAATGATGAGTATCTACCAGGGAAGGACAGAGGATTGGAGTCTACGCAGCGTACGCCAGAAATGCTATGACATCTGACGTATGAGGAGTTATTGGGTGACAATACATGAACCAAACGAGGAAAAGAATTGGTTGACCATCCATTCACTCGCATCAGCTGCCACTTGATCTATTGTGAAGTTAACCCGGTATTTCCAAAGAATGTTCCAGGGGTCATGTACCATATCTTAATCTTCCGCCTCACTATCCGTCATGTGTACCTGGGAAACCCACCAAGTCCCGGTGGGTATCCGCGGAAGTTCCAGCCCTGCTGGGTCATGATGCACGGCGTGCAATATGCGTTCCGGCGAAAGTCGTAGTAATTCTGCTCTAGGCATCTTCGGGATTGACGGTAAGGGATGCCGGGCTGATTGAAGTATCGTGGGTCGTTGATTTGGTTCAGACTCATGCGGAAATGATGACACGGTGGGGCCTGTATGTACTCTCGGTGGTTACAGCGTTCCCAGTGACGATGAATGTCTCGACACATAACTTTGGTGAGGGGCTCCAGGCTGTGAGGCAAAAGAAGTTGCTATGAGCTCAGCTCGACTCGTTATGGGTGAGTCGTTTATATTCATATAGAACATTTCTATATGGTGCCAAAGAATCTTGACAGTCTCACATTGTCACCGCTCTTATACATGTCCCTCAGTGTTGTGATTGTCGAACACATGCTGATATCATCCAACCGTTGGGCACGGGGAAGGCGGGGAGTGGGTTTGAAAATGAGCCTTGTACTGTATATACAGTATGTAGCTATGGTATGAGATCTTCTTGTATCCACCGGTGAGTAGTTAGTATACGTACCGAATGATGTGTGGTTTCAGCGCATGCGAGATACTGTTCGCGGCATACAAAGATGCTTTTCGTGAGGATGCGAGCACTAGCTCAAACGGGCCGCGCAACGTAAGAACACATGGCAGGGATTTCGGACAGCTTGCCAAGCAAAGATGAGGTGAGAGAGTGTTGGGAGCAAATCGGATGCAAGCCGTAGCACGCCACGGGGATGAGGCAACATATGACACTTTGCTCAGCCTTAGGTAGCATATCCAGCTCCTGGAGTTTAAGTATACGAACGTCTGGTGGTACGTAAATCGCCACAAGGCTGTCGTGCAGCGCTCTCGCTTGTCTAAAGCTTTGGTTGTAGTACAAACGACCGTCATGTTTGCTCTGCTGTGACCAACGAATGTCCAAAAAAAAGAGCGAAAGTAACATCCGGACCGTAACCCAAAAAGAAAAGTCAGCCGATTTGCCTGTCGCAATAAACGCTGTATGCGTCATACACACTTGTAGCTGCCCACAAGAGTCGATACGGGTACCTCCCCGATTACGCGAAGATCAATCCTAGAGGTGCATTGAGAGGCCCTCCGCCGGGTAAAGGAATAGAACCCCATAGGATGGAGCTGAAGACCATGTAAGTTTGCCATTACCTTAACTAAAGTGGCAAATGTTCTGTTCCAATTGTGCAGAAGTCATAATGGCAAGAGGTCCACATTAAGCAAGTCTGACTTGGCTTCGTTACCTCGACTGGTAAAAGACCTTTCATCAAAGCAGCCATATTTAAGATTAAAGTAAGAACGAACCAGAATTCTGCGATGAATGTTTTGATTGATGAACGCCTACTAAGCCACCCACCCGGGTATAAGTTTTTTCAAATGCCAACAAACCAGAACGCCTAATATATGCATGCAAGGGGTATCGCCCAATTCCAATCCCGAAACGCTCAAATGCAAATCAACGACTAACTTCCCAGCCTTCATGACCATGCAATCGTCATCATCATCATCATCATAATGTTTGTCTGTTCGTTTGCGCAAGTGGCCTGCCACCAGAAAGCGCAGTACGCATGCAATAGAAGGAAAGCGCTGGATACAGAAAGGAAACAAATATCATGCCTATGACTGCACCCTTCACAGTCCTCTGAACTTGGCACCGTTTTTGTGGTAGATGCTGTGCATTGCACGAGGAATAATTGCAGAAGCAGCAGGTTGAGTTGGAGCTGACTGTGTAACAGTGACCATGACGGTGTTGGTAACCGTGACGACAGAGCCGGGGTTCGTCGACGATGTAGGAGCTGCTCCAGGACGCCCACTGAGAGTCGGGATATCAGTAGGAAGTGGCAAAGTGTAGTTGAGGAATGGAGCTCCGCTGCTGATAGAAGGAACAATACTGCTGACAACTGGAGCGCCACCGGTTGGCGAGGGCGCTGCGTCTGTGACAGAGGGCGTAACAGCAGGTAATCCTCCGGAAAAGATGGGTCCGACTTCGCCTTGCACGACGTTTGTCATGAGAGCCGTGCGAGAGGCGAAGTCCGCTACAGCAACGGTCATGGCATCTTGCTGAGGACCAAGATCGAATTTTGTCTCTGCAGCCTCAGCCATCGCGACATCTTTGGATGCGACATCGACATCGATGCATGTGCTGTAGTATTCATCCTTTCCGTTCGGATAGCTTGGGTCGATCTTGCCAGAAGCTGTGTTCCATTGCCAGACCCAGTAGATAGTGTATGGCTTGCCCATCTCGGCGTTATCAGGAATCTGAACGTTCGTTTCGCAGGAGAGAGGATAGTTGCCTGGTGCCCCTTCGACAACTTGTCCCATTGCGAAATTCGGATCGGACTTCTTGCGCTCGGTAGCGATAGGTGAATCGTTCTGTTCATAGCAACGGCCATCGTCGAAATCGTTCATGGTGAGTAACTTGCCGCGCTTGTCCCCGCCTTGGCCATCTTGAGTCCAGCTCAAAACCGTCAATAAATGCTCGTCCTCCTTTGGTGAAGTGGTGCCGTACACAAAAATGGTACCGCCCTTCTTGGGTTTTCCTAACTGGTTGTTCGGTAGAGAAACATGTCCATTTTCCGTATACCGCATGGCTACGAAACCACCAGGTGTGGCTTGAAGACGAGGATATTTGTCCTGAGACTGCTCTTGTTTACGTTGCTTTTCGTGACATAGTAGCGTACTGTTTGTGATGAAGACGTTGCCTGGTGTTTTGTCGCCGGGAATCTCATAGTTCATCGAGGTGCCGCTATAGCCCGGATCGGTTTTCGCGACCATGCCTCGCGGGTAGCCATATTCGCCAACGTACTCGCCTTTGTCGTTGACGTTGCGCAGCTGCTCAATCCAGCTGTGGCCCATGGCGACGGGGGCTGCGGCCATCGCCGCGATTACTAATGTGAGTATGCTCGGCATGTTGGGTGTAGATATTCCTTCGCAAAAGCGGGATCGAGTGGTGTTGTAGTTTTGACCTGCAAAACAAGGTTGTCCGTCAAGTAGAGTCGGTAGATAGTCGTAAGGTCGGGAATCTTGTAGCGTGGTAGTGTAGTTGAATATGTCGTGGCTCGTAAACGAAGTATTGTCAAGGTGAAGAACACTATTGACCCATATAATTGTGGAATAGCTGGCTCAGCTGACACGCTGTGAATGGGAGTACAGTGTGGAGCGACACGCGATCGATTCGTGTTCACCGGAAGAATAGCAACAAAGTTATTGTTCAGCAAAAGTGTATGAACGTTTTGGTAATAGTACCCAACACAACGTACACCGACAAGAAAATAAAGGAATGAGAACGCAAGAGAAGAAGTCAAGACGCACACGAGCCAGGTGTGATGACAAAATGTAAAGCTCACGCGGCCATGGCCCTTTATTGAGGCAGGTGATGGTAGTGAGACAGACGCTGTTGAACGTTGTAAAATCTCCGGCCTAGAAGAGAAGAAGTGACAGGAGCCAATAGAGAAGGAGGCACACGAGGTATCGAAACACAGCGCCACTCCACGCGGCGCTGCAGTCAAGCTTGTGAGCCTGAGTTCTATGGGTGTAGGATGTGTGTTTCAACGCTGGCCGACACTGTAGCCGCCAGCCATGGCTTTCCCGTCCGGCAGCATGGCCGCGGCGTAGCGCGCATATGCTGCAGCCTCCCGTACTCTGCGGCGCGAAGATCGGCCTCTGGTACTCGGTAGTTGATAGTTTAAGTCGCATTGCAAGGCTGCGCTAGGCTGTTCTCAGACATGCAGAGGGGCCGTTGAGTGTCAGAGGACCGTGTGCCGTTGATCTACAACACAACGACGGAAGCTAGGCATCATCTAGATCATTATGCGATCTCGCTGTAGGGTTGTGGAGACATGCTGGGAAACAACAACAGCCTGCCATGGTGATGTTTAGAGGCGCTTTCGCATCATGCACCCACCGAAGACGCGCGACGACCCACGTGGAGCGAGCGAAAACAACGAGAAAAGCATCGCAAGTGTGCCAGAGAGTGATGCCCGAGCCACCCGACGACAGGTGAATGTGCGCTGTTGCAGCGCTTCGAGAAGGAAGGTGAACCTGCAAGCGACGGGGTGGGGTGAAAGAAGTTTGGTAGGAGGCTCCGCTTCGTTTCAGGTCAGAGCACAACCGAGCGTCGATTGGCTGTTGCCCGCTACGCTAGGCTTCATACTAAGGATTGGAGATATCATCTGATTGGAGCGCATTATCCTATTTCACGATACCTCCCAGCTAGTCTCTTCGTACGACCAGATTGACGCCCATCCAGTCTCTATATTTGATAAGCGAGATTCCAGACACCTGGCCGACATCATGCACTTTTTTTTTCCATGGCTCTCTCGGCGTGTGGGAACATGGACGACAACAAGATGAGTTATTTTCCTGAGGCTCGTTCCCATCCACACGAACACGTTTCCTATCGGTTATTCATGTTTCATCCACAAGGGAAAACTGCGGGGCGCGGAACAGCCCTGAGGCACAGCAAACGGCACAAACGGGAGCCTGGCCAGCATCCCCACCTGTCAAAACGGCTCGCAGATTACAGGAACCAAACCCGAGGCTAACCACGTCGGACGACCATAGCGTTACATCTCTTATTGTGACTGCTCAAACCCAAAGCGCTTGGCTATGTAGGAGACAGTCAGGCACCTTCCCGGAAACCATCTTCCCAAAGTCCTTGCACCTTGGAGGCCCCAAGTCAAACATGCCTTGACAAGGAACGCTCGCTCTGGACACTCTACTGATACGTTTACCATATTGACACACCCATGGCTGGATCATTGAGAGATGTCTAGGACACGAGTGTTTAGTATATTTTCCCGAGGCGCTACAAGAAGTTGCGCTCAACATTGACACAGTTATCAAACTCCGACGGCACTTGATGGGCCAATCCTTCAGTCCAGCCGACGAAAGTGATTTCTTCCTAGGCGCTAAATTACGAGCACAACTTCCGTCCCCTGACATAGTAGGCCACATTGTCGACATGTGCCGATTTGCCCTCGTCCTCTGCATCTGTGCTCACACTTTCCACAAGGAATTCTTTTGGTGTCCAGCAAGATTGACACAGCCATCAAACAGCTTCTGTCTCTGCGTCGATGTGCACTCAATCACCGTCGAAGGGTAAACAATGAAGTGACAACCTCATGAAAGCATTGGAGGTTGGTATACGCTTCTTTGAGATGCTTGGAGATCAAGACACGTGTTGGTGAAGATATGAACAGAAGAACGACATGTACAGTGCGTGTGATCAACAACATTGTTGACGTGAAAGATCAAGAAGACCGCGAAGTCAGCGGTAATAGCATCAAGCATGTTACTACACTACCGTTACGGACTATCACACATTCAAGCACTGAATGCAGCCTTTGAATTTTCTCCTTGCTTTTGAAGGCTCATTTACAGCATAGCAATGCGCTTATCTTCTCTGTTGACTCGCTCCCATTACTCATCTACAGAGCAGTCTCCAGACAAGCGAATATTGCCTCCTTCCTGAAATGCCACTGCCTAGCCCCAAACCAGCAAACTGTACATGCGCTGCAATTACCAACTCTTGGGCTTGCGGCTGCCACAGCTTGACTTATAAAGCTACTTGTTTAGGACCAATCTACCATCATCCACCAGTCATTGTTGGAGCAGAACTCCATTGGAAGGAGATATGCGGGGAGTGCTTAGAAAGGTCGAGTGTCGCGGAGAGTGCGTGGTGTCAGAGGCGAGGTGTATGTCCTTACCACGTGCCAGAAGATGAGAAGTTATGATCTAGAGAGGCATTATTGAACTTTACGTAAGTGTAGGAGAAGATTTTTGAGAACCTTGGGTCATACCGACTTGGTGTGCGGACGTCACTTGTTGGCCCCAAACCGATATCCGTTTCGTTATTGATTGCGACAAGTGCTGCCCAACACGTGTGGAGACCAGCACGCTTTGGTCATACATGATTCCTTTTTCAATGGCTATCGTTCTTCCTAGTCAGATCACTATCCAAACCCCAACATATCTTAGTGTTGTTACAACCGCAGCCAGGGGCGTCGCGCCAATAACCAAGTGCGTCTTTCATACAAATTCGTGCCATGAGACACTTAGTCACCAAGGGAAGCCTTTCCAAAGATGCAGGCTTGATACAAACTCCATGGTACTCTTTAATCGCACGGGTATGGTCTACCTCACTTCTCTGGTAAAGCGCTTCGTAAACCCCGCAGGATTGCGACATTTCCGACCCAGCAATCAACTCTTGGTGATATTGTTGTACCATCTGGGCAAGATATTCCCTGTTTATACTACTGACCGACTTCCTGTTCCAACACTCAGTGCCAGCGTTCAATGCAATACTGTTCTGGTCATTCGTGAGGTGCGTTAAAAGGACCTGAAGGTGACAGTAATATGATTTTGAATTACACCAAGACCTCGAATGCCAGCGACAATAGACGGGTGTTAGGAAGCAAATTGTAAGCAGCTAGTAGACTGATGAGTGACCGTGGTCTATAACGCCATCGCGAGTAGCTGACTAGTTTGAATGCTGCCGGCGTTGCCACAGCTAATGCGACATCATTCTGGATTGGAAAGAGACGATGATCAAGAAAGTGAGTGAAGGTGGCGCTTCTCGAGGATTCCTTGGCATTCGCCTAGCTTTGTCAGCTAACCACGTGCACTAGCCTCCGCGACAATCTGCCTAGCAGAGAGCTTCGCGCATCGCGACTTTTCCAGCCCGCGCGCGACAACCTCACCACGCCATCGCCGTTTGCCCTCGACACAATCGAAGCGCTCTTACATCGACACCTCCAACACCTCCAACACTCTCTTGAACAAGCGCAACCATGGCCAACTACCTCGCCTCCATCTTCGGTACCGAGCAGGACAAGGTCAATTGCTCCTTCTACTACAAGATTGGCGCCTGCCGTCACGGCGACCGCTGCTCCAGGAAACACGTCAAGCCGTCGTACTCGCAGACTATCCTGCTGCCCAACCTCTACCAGAACCCGGCGTACGACCCCAAGAACAAGATGAACCCGCAGCAGATGCAGATGCACTTTGATGCATTTTACGAGGACATCTGGTGCGAGCTGTGCCAGTATGGACTTGTTGAGGAGTTGGTTGTTTGCGACAACAACAATGACCGTACGAACCCCCCTTTTCTTATTTCGCTGCTTCAGAGTTGAACAGTTTGCCAACGTAACCTTTCTGACAGATCTCATCGGCAATGTCTACGTCCGATTCAAGTACGAAGAAGACGCGCAAAAAGCCTGCGACGCCCTCAACTCGCGCTGGTATGCTGGTCGTCCCATCTACTGCGAACTCTCGCCCGTGACCGATTTCCGCGAAGCCTGCTGTCGTCTGAACAGTGGCGAAGGCTGCGTCCGCGGCGGCTTCTGCAACTTTATTCATCGCAAGGAACCAACGGCCGAGCTGGACAGAGAGCTGGACATGTGCACGCGCAAGTGGTTGAAGGAGCGTGGCAGGGACGCGAGGAGCATGTCAAGGAGTCCTACACCGCCTGCGACGAAGAACAGGTTCTAGGGTAGACATGGAGTGGGAAGTGTGAGACACGGGCTGAATACGAAGGGCGTTTTGGTGTTATACATGCTCGCATAGTTTGGGACATGTTGGTTGATACCTCGATATCCGTAGCGGGCATGGCGTTGCAAATTGGCATTTGTAAATTAGCTTTGGTAAAATAGTGAAGTGTGGATAATAGGCTGGACTAGGCTACGCAAAAGCGATCATGTCAGTTCATTCTAGTTGATTCGTGTGCTCAGACTATCCCGTGAGTTGCGCAACAATGATGTGATTTTGTCAAGGAAAGAAGCAGACATTGCATTGTGGTCAAGTAAGACCTGGTATCATCTAGAATATAAACAGAAGAAAAGGAAAGATCCATGCATCGCTGATGCAGGTCGGTACCCAAACACCAGCCCGCGTCCTGTAGAAAAGACATCAAACGCCGCCTATACACAACATGCCCAAATAACCATATCTACATCCATCTCATACGTCCTGATCTTCCTCATGTGATTCCCTCAGATAATATTGTGCGCTTTCAACACCAGCACAGTGACTACAACGCCTGCAACCAGCAGCAGAAAGATCATCCAGAAACACCAGCAGATCCATGTTCGCTGCTTGGCTTTGCGTTGCTGCTTAGCGAGCCATGAATCTCTATGTGACGCGTCAGCCGTGATCGTCGTCACGAAGTTGAAGCGTGATTGCGGACGACCGGATAGGCTGAGGGAAAGTGTAGAGAGGTTGGGGGTGCGGAAGAAGGAGCGTGATGGTGATGCAGGAAGGGGGGACAGTGATCTTTGAGGTGGGGCAAGGTCATCCCCATCTCTGTTCGAGGGATTCTCTTGGACAGAGATGGTCGGTCGCAATAGTGGTTTGGTCGAATTCGTCTTTTGGAGTTTGGTACGAGAGCGTTGTTTCTTCTCCCGCGGTATCTGGCTCGCAGATGCCTCTCCCGAAGATTGGGATAGGGGCGATGTAACAAAGGACGACCGTACGGACGGGAGTTGGACCATGGGCGGGAAAGCAGGGCTTAGGTGTGATTGGGAAGTGGGGGATCCGAGGGGCGAGTGCGAAGGGGAAGACAGGGAACTTTGGACGTACGGTTGCTTGGGGTCCTGAATTGTCTTTTCAAGGTCATCTTGGTGCACCGCCACGCTGAAACGTTTCCAGAATTGAGGATCGCGCACCATGTTGGTTGATGTTATGAATGGTGTTGGAGAGAGAGCGTATTGAGGTAGCGACGGTATGTAGGCGATGGCAAGCTGCCAACGTTGTTCTGCGTTGAGCGTGTACGTAGGTGGAGACAGTGGTGGATTGTAGTCGAGGAGCGATGGATTTGGGTTGTAAAAGGTTGTGGTGACGAGAATTATTGAGTGAGAGTGGTGTAGGCGAGCAAGGTAGTAGACGTAATCGTCTGTATTATCATATACAGAATCGTCTAGTAACACGAGGGTATGACGACGGATATAGGTGTGTCGCACAGCAACAGGCGAGATTTGGTGTGGGTATGTAGATTGGAAAGGGTCCAGTGAGCCAGGAAACCGCCGCGTGTAAGGAATGACACGACTGACACGACGTAAACCTTAAGTCGGAATAGTGATCGACGATGGTTTGCGATCCGAGTGAAGCTGAAATGACGTAGTAGAGAAAGGAGCGACGATAGTAAGATGAAGCGATCGTTTGCACAGGTGTAGCGCTTCAAGGCACAGTCGTGAATGGAAGTAGTCATGAATGAAAAGAGGAAACTACCATACTTAACACTGCACGCCTATACAGGCCCCTAAAACAACAGGCGACGGGCCTCGGACCCATGCGATGTAACACTATTTGCCTAGACTCGACGTCCAGGTGTCAAAGCAGGATGTTGATATTATCGTGAGAAGGGGGGGCAACCACAGTGATGGTTCTCGTTGGTTTCGAGGTTCGGGGTGGGCCTCACAAGCTGGTCAAAGCTGGCCAATGGGCAGCTTCGAGGCTGTTTGGATCCTTGCCGGCCATCACGCTGGACACATGGCGCCGATGGCGGTAAGGCGCGGGAAATTGGAGAGAAGGTACCTGAGACGAGGGACCCATGTGCGATTGGTAAGGCCATGCGGCTGTTTGATTGCCGTGCAGTGCGGCTCTGATTTTGAACAAGTATACGGCAGTTGTGTTGGCTGCAGCATCCTGCATCTTGGGTTTTCTGCATCGCACCCTTCGCAAGACACTTGAAGACGCACAGAGCTGCTACCGATTCTCATCATCAGCATGCGGGTGCTCTTCCTCATCGAGGCGGGAAGCCACGTTGAAACAGGGCGCTATACGCAAAACATGGCTTGACAACGGCCTTGCGCAAGCTTCAGCGCGGTCCCACCCGCCGTTTCTGTCGTTCAACATTCCCTAGGGCTCACCGCTAGGGTTCCCCTAGACTGCTGCACCGGCATCCTTGCAGTGCAATCCCAAACCCTGCCAACACAATCTTGTACCACTACGCAGTTGTTTACTTTCGACTGCTCACTATTTTCCGGAATTAGCAGCAGCAAGGATGCCACACGAGGAGTTGCCTTTCTGGCTAGTCAATGTTCCTAGAGATCAATGGCCGAGCGAGTGCCCGGACTTCTTGAAAGATATTAGTGAGAAGGATAAAGGGATCATCGGGACGCCTGACGAACACTACAAGGTGTTGACATGGGACCAAGTGCGGGACATTGTAGGTGAGATAGAGGCTCGACGCGCGATAAGCGAAAGGCTGATGGTCGTGGTCAGAGAGCAACCGGGTCGACAAGTTTCATCGCATGCCAAGTGAGTTGAGGCGGTATCGGCAGTTCACCCATCGGCTGGAGAGGGATTACGGCAGCATCATGAACTTCATTGTTAATGAGCGGTTGAAGTGGGGAAGTATGGAGCCGAAGGGCAAGCCGTTCGAATTCGATGGTATGTGTACCTGTGTTACGTTGACTTGCATCCATGTTTACCGACCTATAGAAGACATCAAGATACTATATAACGACTGGCCATATGGCATCGATGCAGACGTTGTGCACCTCGTCGTGTGGACCAAGTTTGAACTGGACGACGACCCCGACACTGGGCTCTCTACCGCAGAATCCCAGAAACAAATCGGTGATTACGTACAAAAGACGTTTGCTCCAAAGGTAAAAGAGTTGGTCTGGTTCAAGAATTGGAAGAGTCTGAAGAGCGTGCATGCAGTGGAGCACTTCCACGTCATGTTGTACAGGCCGGACGCTGTGTTCTTAAGGGAGATTACGAACGGCGATGTCCCGATGACTGAGAAGTTCGCCTAGCAAGGAAGGCTGACGGGGCATTTTGGCTCTAGTACAGTCGAGAAGGGGGATAAAAACATGCCGAGTGCTCTCCATTGTGTTTCCCACGCTCCTGACTGTACGAGAGATTTGAGAAGGCAACGGGGCGTTTTGGCCTGCCGACGGGATATTATGCATGGACGACGGGATATTTTAGATGCAAGTCTGCGATGGTATTGCTTAGATGGGTTATAGACATGGGGTATTTGTTAGAGTAACAGCCGCCGAACATTCATAGAGGTGCATTATCTGCTATCGATATCATCCAGGCTTTGGGATTGATCAATTTTCTCAGCCTTGTTCTGCACCTGGGCGCAAGGCGACACCGATGCTGATGCAGTTCCCCTGAAGATCATCCGGCTGTTGTTGGGATTGATTGGAGCGGCGCGCAAACCGGGTTGAAGGCCAGCCCTCTGCAATTTTGACAGGCGCGTCATTTCCTGTGGCGTACGTGGCGCATGGCGTGTGGCGCAAACTCGAAGTGCATAACTAATGCATCGCCAGAACAACAGGCCTAGGATATTTTGAACCAAGTACGCTGAGCTGGTCACGCAGACTAGCTGTCAAAGACGACTAGGCGCATACGTTGTGCAGGACCCTTCTGTTATCTCATCGTCTATCGTCGAATAGAGACGTCTTGCCTGGGCCGGGATACAAAGCGGTGAGGGTGCTGTCTGGCCTAGCGTTGACAAAAAAGTCGCGGGACGGCAAGGGGCCTTCCTCCACATTTGAGTCGGCACCGAGTGTGTCTTGTGCACCAGCCTCTACTCCCCCTCCTTATTTTTCTTCGAGAGCGGCGCGTTTACGTGTGCTGCGACGCCAATTGCGGGATTCCGGTATCGCTCAGGCTCCATAGTTGGAGACTTGACCGTGTCTTGGTACCACGACCGACCACGGAGTGTCAGCGAGGTATGGCGGCGCTAGAAGGAATATCCGGCAGCGACAGTACTGACATGGTCAAAGGCCTTTTCTTGTAGTCACTCGCCCTCGCCATTCGCACCCCATCCCACTACCCGCTGCGCACAGCCACGCCTCCGCGTCATTCCATGCGAGCCGCTCTCTAGACGGCCCTGCAACACTTCCCACTGAATCAACTTCAGTGGTGACCTATCCACCATGCTCGGCTACCTCACCAGCCGCTGGCAGTCGACGGGCGAGCAGAAGAAGACCAGTCCCATCTGGTTCGACCGCCACTTCTCGCCCATCCTTCTCTCCGTCGCGAAGAAGGCATGCACCCACCCAATCCACACCATCGTCACCATTGCCTTTCTGGCCAGCTACTCATACTTGGGCGTTCTCGACAGGGGCCTATTGGAAAGTGGCATTGAAGACGTCTCTAGCCGCGTCGACTTCCACTCCCTTTTGGCCGGCAGCAAGACGCTCAGAGTAGGAGAGGAGACATCATGGCAGTGGGAGGCTGAAGAGCCCAAGACTCCCCTTTACAAGGACAAGGTAGGCAGCTCCGCCGTCCCCCAAGACATCTGGCTAACAAACCAGACTGCCCAGGAGCTCGCTCTCGTCACTCTCGTCTTCCCCAAATCGAGCACCATCAACTCTGCTCCCTCGCAACAATCCGTTCCCAACAATGTCTCTGCCAAGCTCCTCCCAAGCTCCTCCAGCTCCTTCTCCACTCTCTCGCACGACACTTCGCTCGCATTCTCTATCCCGTACACCGAAGCTGCCGATTTCCTCCAGGCTATGCAGGAGATTTCTGCGCCAGAGGACGCTGCTCAGTCGCATGGCTCGGAGAAAGAGGGCACGCGCGAAGAGAAGAAGTGGATGATGAAGGCCTCCAAGAACGGCAGTGCGCCAGGCGGCGTGCGTAACTGGATCATTGAGTCGTGGACGTCTTTCGTCGATCTCCTCAAGGTATTTTGTCTGTGGATACAAACGTGAACTTGGCTAAGACCAGTACAGAACGCTGACACTGGCGACATCGTCATCATGGCCCTGGGTTACCTCGCCATGCACCTGACTTTCGTCTCTCTCTTCCTCGCTATGAGGCGACTTGGATCTAACTTCTGGCTGGCTACTGCAGTCCTCTTGCAGTCGGCCTTTGCTTTCCTCTTTGGTCTCGCCGTGACAACCTATCTCGGTGTTCCTATCAACTTGATTTTGCTCTCAGAGGGTCTTCCTTTCTTGGTGGTCATCATTGGGTTTGAGAAGCCCATCGTTCTAACCAAGGCTGTCCTTTCTGCCTCTCTGGACGGCCGACGAGCAGCTGAGGAGAAGCGGAGTGAGCCTTTGACCATCCAGTCATCTGTACAGACGGCCATTAAGCGGACTGGTTTCGAAATTGTCCGCGACTACTTTTTCGAGATCTTGATCCTTGTCGCTGGCGCTATGTCTGGCATCCAGGGTGGTCTGCGACAGTTTTGCTTCCTTGGCGCCTGGATCCTTTTCTTTGACGCCATTATGCTGCTCACTTTCTACACTGCTATCCTTACCATCAAGCTTGAAATCAACCGGATTAAGCGCCATGTGGCTCTCCGCAGGGCTCTTGAGGATGACGGTGTCGATGGCAAGGTTGCTGAGAACGTCGCTCGCAACAACGACTGGCCCAACGCTCGTGATGTGCAAGTTGTCAGCCACACAACAACTGTTTTCGGAAAGAAGATCACGGTGCCAAAGTTCAAGATTCTCATGGTTGCTGGATTCATCCTCGTCAATGTCCTCAACGTAGTTACTCTCCGATTTGGCCTCTCTCCTAGCAAGGTCTCTCACGTTTCGGGCGTAGGTGCCACCCCTCCGCTGGACCCCTTCAAGGTCGCTGGAAACGGATTGGACCACATCTATGAGCATGCCAAGAGCACCACTACATCAACTATTGTCACCATTCTTATGCCGATCAAGTATGAGCTTGAGTTCCCTTCTATTCACTACGCCGAGCCTTCGATTACAGACAACGAGTTTGCTTTCGGAAGCAACATCAGCACTCACATAGTTGACGGTGTACTGAAGAGTTTGGAGGACCCTTTCCTTAGCAAATGGATCGTCCTTGCCCTTGTAATGAGCGTGGTCTTGAACGGCTATCTCTTCAATGCCGCTCGCTGGACCATCAAAGAACCCCACCAGCCACTCGCGCCACCCTCTCCCTCCGAAGTCCAGGACGGGGCTCCTACTGTGCCAGGCACTCCTCGCGTACCTTCGATGCACATGCCTACACCACCTCGCACCCCCGGCCCTGAGGATCAGAACGGTCGTCTTCAGCCCCTTACGCAGATCGCAACACGAACACCGGAGATACCAGTCGGACCCTCTGAAGAACAGCAAAGACAGCCAAACCGTCCCTTTGAGGTTCTCGACCTGATGATTAAGGAAAAGCAAGCACCCAAGATGACTGACGAAGAGCTTATCGAGATGTCGCTCAAGGGAAAGATTCCTGGTTATGCTTTAGAAAAGACGCTTGGTGACAAGACTCGTGCCGTCAAGATTCGTCGTGGTCTAGTCTCACGTACCCACGCTACACGGGAAACTTCAACACTACTGGAACGTTCGCTGCTACCTTACAAGGACTACAACTACGATCTTGTTCATGGCGCATGTTGTGAAAACGTCGTCGGCTACCTCCCTCTCCCCCTCGGTGTCGCTGGACCTATCCTCGTCGACGGCCAAAACTACTTCCTCCCCATGGCAACCACCGAGGGTGTACTTGTCGCTTCAACTTCTCGAGGTGCTAAGGCTATCAACGCAGGCGGTGGTGCTGTTACTGTTGTGACTGGCGATGGTATGACCCGCGGACCCTGCATTGGGTTCGATAGCCTTGTACGTGCTGGTGCTGCGAAGAACTGGCTTGACTCGGAGGAAGGCCAAAGGACGATGAAAGACGCATTCAACTCCACTTCTCGCTTCGCCAGGCTCCAATCTATGAAGTCTGCCATCGCTGGTACCAACATCTACGTTCGTTTCAGGGCCACCACTGGTGATGCCATGGGTATGAACATGATTTCCAAGGGTGTCGAGCATGCTCTCACCGTCATGGCAACCGACTGCGGCTTCGAGGACATGCGTGTAGTGACCGTATCGGGTAACTATTGTACTGACAAGAAGTCCGCCGCTATCAACTGGATCGACGGTCGTGGCAAGGGTGTTGTTGCCGAAGCTATGATTCCCGGCTCTGTCGTCAAGTCAGTCCTCAAGTGTGAGGTCGAAGATTTGGTACAGATGAACATTTCCAAGAACTTTATCGGATCTGCAATGGCTGGTGCCATGGGTGGATTCAACGCCCACGCGGCGAACATCGTTGCTGCTATCTTCTTGGCTACCGGACAGGATCCAGCACAGGTCGTTGAGAGTGCCAACTGTATTACCATTATGCATAAGTAAGTCGCTCCTTTCATGAGATACGACAAGGCCACAACCTAACGAAGAACAGTGTCAACGGCAACCTTCAAATCTCTGTCTCTATGCCTTCAATTGAAGTCGGCACAATCGGTGGCGGTACCATTCTCGAACCTCAATCTGCCATGTTGGACCTGCTCGGCGTACGAGGTGCCCACCCAACATCACCTGGTGACAACGCTAGGCAACTGGCTCGTGTCATCGCTGCTGGTGTATTGGCTGGTGAATTATCGCTCAACAGCGCACTGTGTGCGGGTCATCTTGTCAAGGCGCATATGGCACACAACAGGAGTAATGTCCCATCTCGCGCCCCTACACCCGCGCCTGCAACACCAGTTACAGGAGCTCAGACACCCGTGACCGGCGGTGGACCTTTGTCAGCACTGAGCTCTGGTCCCGCACCAAGACGGTAAAGATCCAGGGAGTAGTCAGGTTTGGCGTAAAAGGTTGTCCTTGGGGTTGTAAATACGAGTGACGATACCTGGTTTTGTATTTGCACATTTCGGGCTAATCTGGGTTAAGAGGAATAAGGAACGGAACGGGGATTTATATACATACATTCGCAAGAATATGTTTTGTCATTGTGGCAGAATTACCATAACATTAATTCATTCTTGATAAGCTTAAAAGTGTTGCCTTTACTTTGATTGTGATCGTTGCTCTTGAGTAATTCTAGCGCACTACGAAGGGTTGCATTAGGGGCCGCTCCGGTGCTGTCGTGAAAGCTTGATGCAATCTTGATGAGTAGGCACCCATTGTGTTATCCCAGACATACGTTTTGTAGAACGTTTTTAACGTGCTTCGATCAATAGGATGATTGTAATTCTTCTCACGCGTTACAGCCGCAAGCAGGCACGTACAAACATTCGCACCAGTATCACAACGTCTATATCGTAGGTGCATACACCTGCGATTATCATGGAAGAGTCAGAATACACTCGCCAGGCGTTAAGGTGATGCTATTGAGAATAGCCGGTTCTGACGTGATGCCTGAAAGCTTTCGAAACTGTCTTTATACGCGCCGTTTCAGGCGCGTGGCTGTGCGCCAAACACAAAGGCAAAAACTGACTTGTTCTCCTCGGCGCCAAGGCTCAGCTCAGCTGCGGTGCGAAGGGGTGGCCAATCAATCTGCCCCGGACCCCAGCTGCCGCAATTACGGGGTACGCCGTTCGTGAATGATCATCAGCTCGCGTTTGCATAAAAATACACGGAGCTTACCCTGCTTTTGAGCCATCTCACTCCTTCGTAGGGCCTCCACTGCTGACTTCCTCTATTCCTTTCAACACAATCCTTTCTTCCCATTTCAACTCTTCAACTACTGTCGCTCCCTTAGAACTTCAACCAACATGCGTTTTGTATCAGCGCTTGCCGTCGCGGCGGCCACTGTCAGCAGTGCCCTTGCGCAGGACTTCGTTTTGGGCTTCAACTCCGGTGCATCTGATGATACTGGCAAGGCAAAGACCCAGGAGGACTTCGAGAAGGAGTTCACCACCGCGCAGAACCTGGAGGGCGCACCAGGCAACTTCAGCGCTATCCGTCTCTACTCCAACATTCAGTGGGAGACGACCGACACACCCATCGCCGCCTTCCCTGCCGCCATCGCAACGAACTCCAAGCTCCTTCTCGGTATCTGGGCATCAGGCACGGACAACATTGACAACGAATTGAAGGCATTGAACTCCGCAGTCGAGGAATACGGAACAAAGCTGACGGATCTTGTTATCGGACTGTCTGTCGGTTCCGAAGATCTTTACCGTGTGTCGGAGCCTGGTATCCGGAACGAGGCTGGTGTCGGTAACAGCGCGGAGAAGATTGTTGAATTCATCAAGACTGCGCGCGAGCGTCTTGCCGATACGCCACTCAAGGGTGTGAAGATCACTCACGTTGACACCTGGACTGCTTGGGTCAACGAGTCGAACAAGGCTGTCATCGACGAGATTGACTTTTTGGCTGTTAACGCATTCCCCTTCTACGAATCCGAGCTTGACAACAAGATCGATAACGCTGGCAAGCTCCTAAGCAGTGCTATCAGCGCAACTGAGGGCGTCGCTGGAGACAAAGATGTCTGGATTACCGAGACTGGCTGGGCGTACAGTGGTCCTGACTTTGGTGCTGCCACATCGACTGTAGACAACGCAGAGACATACTGGAAAGATGTCGGATGCGCGCTCTTCGGCAAGAGGAACGTCTTCTGGTACACACTCCGCGATGCCAACCCTGCAAACAAGGTCAAGTTCGCCATTTCGGACAAGCTGTCCACCACCCCGCGCTTCGACATCAGCTGCCCAGAGCAGAAGGAGCTCCCCTCGGCAGAGCCCGCCACGAACAACGGTACTTCGACCGGTGGCTCGTCGAACAGCAACTCGACTACAGATAGCGGCAACAACGACAGCAGCAGCAGCAGCAGCAACAACACCAACGGCGGAAGCGATGGCGGAAACGGCAATGCTCAGCAATCTGGCGCTGCCGCTCCCAGCGGAACCGGTGCGGGAGCTGCTACCTCGGTGTCGGTCGTGAACTCGATGGCCATGGCTTTATCTGTCGTCTTTGCTGCTGCTGCCTGGGCTCTGTAGACGTGGATGTAACTTTCGAGACTAGCTCTTTTGCGGCATTTCCTTGTGTCAATGTAAAATAGATGAATGCGTTCATATAGGGTCGCGAATGGATGACACTCGCACCTAGTTTGAGCGACTGGTTCGCAACACTATGGTTTCATAATATACTAAGAAAATGAGATGGCTTTGTGCAGATATTACTTTGGGTGCCACCTTGAAGAATCTTGAGGTGAAGTTTGATTTGATTCAAGATGATGATAGAACAGAAGAAGTCATGGTCCACGCACTAGCCAGTCGAGACGCGTCATGACCCCACACTCAATCGACACCAGTATTCTCTGGTTCTCCACCTGCTTCTCATCTCCTTAACGTCAAGAAGACACAACATCTGCCGACCACGCAACAAACCACCAATGGGCGGGATTCTATTTTTTCTGTCTGGTCTGCCAACGACCTGACCAGGAGCTCATCCTCTCTTCCCCCACGTCCGATCTAAGACCTTCCCGCTGTTTTTCAAACACGGCCGACCGGACACACTCGACCTACTTCCGTCATCAGACTCATCAGAATAGAAAAGTTCAGGACTGTGAGTCTTATACCGTTGCATTGAGCTCATAGTTGGGGCCATGTAACGTGGTAAGTCCGCTTGCGGCTGAGAAGATAGCGGAGTTGCGGGTGGTGTGATAGCAGCATGCGCCTCGTGTTCGTATCGACGAATGACTTTTGCAGAGAAAGGATCCTTGGGAACCGCAGAAATCCGAATTGGTGCAGTCCGAGGGATTGGTCCAAAGCTACGGCTAAGGGGGGTCTGCGGCGGTGTCTCCTCCGTCGGTGCTGGCGTATCGTTGGATGCGTTTGTCGCCGGTATAGGACCTCGAGGCTTAGACTCTGACAGTGATCGCCGAGGGTTAGAAACTCTCAACCTTCGAAAGGAATTCCCGATGGATGAGAGCATAGACGTTGTACGAGGCTTGGTGGTATATGCATCTGTCTTTGCTGGCATTTCGGCAATTTTGGACGGTCCCCGAGGCTTTGGGGCGAGAGGCTTCCGAGGAGGTACCATCGGGGTGAGTCCAGGTCCCTTCCGAGGCTTTGCAGACAAAGCACTATCCTTATCTCGAGAAGTATTTGCTGTAAACCTCGGTCGCTGAATTGTAGGCTTTTGTCTGACTCGTTTGGCTGACTGACCTTTCTCCCTCATTCTCTTTAGCTTCACCAGCTCCAGGCTCTCCATCACTCTTGCTCTTTGCGGGCTTTCGTGATCATCTCTGAGCTCCTGAAAGTGGATGGCCTGAAGGATTAACAACCTAGCAGCGACATTAATGTCTTCCTCGAAAACACCATATGCGTACTCAGTGAAGTCCGCCCAGGTCCGCACTTGCTCTGGTAGTGGGAAGCAAAAGTCCACCGACTGATAGACTCTGCGAAGATCATCCGGTATTTGCTTCGCACTCATAATGATGGACAGCATAGGTGTTGTTTCAATCAGCCCTTTTGCTTCAAAGATGAGCTTGCGCACACTGTCATATAAGGATGCATAAGCTCGATTGCATTTTGGATCAAGCTGACAGCTGCTGGGAACTTCGAGCAGATAACGATCAATCTCATCATATTGGATCAAACTTGACGATCGTTTAAGGTGTTTGGAACTGCCGATTTCAAACGTCTTCTTCGTACGGTTTGAACTCCCTTCTTTTGGTTGAGCCGCGCTCGAGATTGTTAACTCGTCATGAAGCACCGAGTCTAGCCTATACTCCGAGTCGAAGGAATAGTCCAAAATACACAGATACTCACAACCGGGTTCCAAGTGCCCAAACAACCATTCCCACGGCTCGACCAGCTGCTTGTTCATACTGTATACGATTCTTGTCAAAGCTTCATCAGGCGCGGCGTGATCTATGAAAAATCTTGTGTTGACAGTCAGTGTCCCAGGTAACAATTTGGCATCGCGGATATAGTTGACTGGTGCGGCTTTGACTATCGGCTCACATGCTGAAATGGGCAGCGGCGTATGACGAACAGGATTTTCTTCCCAATCTGGCTTCGAAGGCAGTACCTCAATGCCTCGACCGAAAACGCGGAGGAGAGTACAAATGGTGTAAGGATTTGAGGACGCTACTCCAACGAGATCTCTCCGGGTGGATCTGCCGACATCGTAATGCATGGCCAAGGCTTGTAGCATCTATTGCAAGTCAGTCACTTATTCTCATGTATGACATCTGCTTACCTTGGTAGCTCGTCCCTGGTTGCGGTAGCCTTCCAACACCAGTAGTTGCGTTATCCACCACACCCGATCGTCGCCGTGCATCCACTGGCTTATAAAGCAATAGCCGACCTGTAGACCATTCTTAGTAATGGCTATCACTAGGATGTTGTTGACTCCGTCTGGTAAACACTGAGCTCTTAGCCTATCGCGACTAAGTCTTATGTGCTTGCCTACACAGGGGAGTTAGAAATGGGTTCGTTTTTTTTTTCGCTCTACTAACCATACTCAGCCCAGGAGCCCATAACGAGACGTGCTCTCTGACTCCACACACCATAATTAGTCGAGAATTGCTCAGCGCAAATGTCCAAATGTCTCTTCGTCACCACGGCCCCAGGGATGATGCGATATACTATGTCTTCGTCAATGTCTGGGTCTTCGTAGAGGTGGTTTGGCTCGCTACGGATGCGATATTCGACACTTTCGATGCTAGCAGGATCACGGTAAGCTCTCTCTTCTCTTGGATTATCGCCTAGTGTGACCAGCTGTTGAACGTGGTCCATGGCGGGATTACGTTTTTCTGATTTAGTGCGTGTATGGCCTTTGTATTGTTTCGCATTGAGAAGAATGCGTTCGAGGATGTTGGTGTGAAGGTCGACTGGGCCTAAGACGACGTTTTCGAATGTTAAGCCTGCTCAAGCGAGACGTAGAACCATGGTAGAGATTCGACCACCCCTAACCACTACGAACTTGCCTATCTGCGAGCCTCCTCACTTCTGTGCATTCGAGCGGATGGATGCTGAGCTGTTTCCATTGTATTGTTCAAGTCCAAGATACCTGGGTCGTCGGGACGCTCCATTGTGATGTTGCGGGAGGACAGTAGTGTCGGGTGCAATAGCGGGCTCGGGCGACTGGTTTTGAGTGCGGTTCAGCATGAAAATGCATGCCTTCTAATGCTCACGGTAACGGATTTGAAGAGCAGGTAACGTCAGGTAATGCACCTAACTTCGTATGGACGGCAGTCAAGCTTGCTACTACCAGGAAGTCGACTTCCGGCTGTCTTGACCGGAACGGCACCCCTGCATCTGGCATTCTGGTCACAAGTGGTACTCAGGTCCCGTAACGCCACAAGACACTCCTCGATGCCACATCAGGAAGCACAAAAATAGCATCTCGAATTCTCATTGGTCTGCTCGCAATATCACGTGCCTGGTGGATACCTCTCGCGAAGCGACAAAGTGAAGTGGGTCATCCAGGGAACCGTTGGCCAACCGCAGCGCCTACTCAGCTAGACGCTATTTCAGAACAGGCAATGTACGAAGATGCGGTCTGTGCACATGTAAGATAACGGCAATGGAGGATTAGGGGATGTTGGCAAGTCAATATACAGGTGGAGTTTGTTGTTTTGGAATGGTGCATGGCGTTCATCATTTGAAAGGCACTGCTGGCTGCTTTTTCCTGTTCATTCACTTTCGTTCAGTCTTTACTTTCGAGCATCACGCTATACTACCTTTACTTCGTTTTCTTCTTCAGCAGCTATAGAGATACACGTCAAATTACTCGAGAGTATCTATCAGCCTCGCAACCTGCTACACTCATCGATAAAAAAGATCCGTCTCCTACCTGACACGGAAACGGTAGCACCGTTGTCAAGCCTTCACATCATAACATCACTTGCACCAAGAGCGATACCAAGCATGATTCAAACAGCAATCCTCCTTCTCGCACTTCTTAACAACGCAACCGCCCATCCTCTCATTAAGCGCGACGATTACGCAATCCCAGAGACCGTCATCGTCCTCCTCATTATGCTAGGCGCCGGTATTTGTGTTTGCGTCGGCTATGCCATAAACGCGACCTTTGGTTTCAGGGAGGACGGCAACGGCATGAAGCCGATGACGCCAGAACAACAGGAATACATGGCTCAGGTTCGGGTTACGAACATGAATGGATTGATGGTGGAGGGTGCGAGAAGCCATCGGGGTGGACTGAGGAGAGGGGAAGTGGTGTATGATTAGAGGAAAAGAGGAGACAGGAATTTGGAGGCTTGGAACACCTATTGTGAGTGAAGGGCATAATCGAGGAAGACAGCATACAGAAGTGCATCGGGGCCGACATATCAAAGCGAATGATGGATACACCCCCTCACTCTTTGACTTTCTTCTGTATGTTGCTGTATTCATTTAGACGGATGTGTTTGATCATTCATCTAGGTGCATGAAGCTAGTGTCGCAAGGTTGCAGTATATATGACCTTGATCTATGGATCTTCAGGTGACTCCCGTGGTAGCGTACAGTAGTTCTATTCGAAATGTCATCCGCCTTATCTCTCCTCATATATAGGTGGACTTTCACCCCTCTCATACTTTGGAACAGGATCTTCCAAATCGCCCTCTTCTCGCACTACATCGTCGAAAAATGTGTCTGCAACATCAATCCATAGATACACTCTCTTCAGTCCTGTAGTTGTGCATTTCTCCACTCTTCCCATTCTTCCTTCATCTTTACCAATTGCGCTACGCACTGCATCAACTAGACATTCTTTTCTAATGTTTTCGTGGTGATGAAATTCTAGAACAATATGATCTGCATAGAAGATGTCAGGGTTCGACCATGATGGCAAAGGTGCGTTAGGCGTATAACGAATGGCGTATAAGTGACGAGTATATGTGGTCAGAATGGTGGGCGACGACTCCGTTGATCTACTCTTCCGAGTCGACTGCGGCATGCATTGAGTTTCTTTTACTCTGTTAGCCTTCACTCCAATATCAAACGAGGAACGCCGTGTGCTGGACTTGTACTCACCAGACGCAACCAACCCATCGATGACATCTTGGACTAGGTCGCCGGCTTTCTTTACCCTAGCTTCTAACGACCCAAACCCGCCATTAGCCACGGGCATCTGAATTTCACCACCCCTTGCATCTCCTCGCTGCTGTCGTTTTCTGCGAACTAGTTCGTTTGCCCATATTCCCATCAACTTCGTCCTTCGACTGCCACCACGATCTGTACGTTTCATATGCTCCACATCCTCACGGGATCGAACTTCGATAATATATGGCGAATCTGCAGCATGGTGATCGACTCGGTATCCCCAAGAGGCGAAATCGCGGGCTATAAAAGGTACAGTCGTCAGGAAAGGTCGAGTGTGCTGCGTAGTGTGGATGAGGTAAACCTTAGCACCGTAGAAAGTGCCCGACATATCGGATAGCTGGTGATTGTGTCTTTTTTCGAAATAAGAACTTGATGAGAAATCGAGGCAGAAAACTGGGACTTTAGAGAAGACGCAGATTTATCTTGTTTCAGGCTGTCATATAGACAGCGCGTTTGACGTGTATGCGACACCATCGCAGCAGTGCGCCAGCATACCCAGGCGTCATGGTCAGAGCGCAGGTGAAGTGAGGCGCTCCAGAACAGTGCTGAATTCACTTCCAGTTCCAGCGCAGTTCAGAACACCAAAAGGGGCCATTGCATCTTCAGCTGCGTTGCAGAGGCCATTCTTGGAGTGAGCGCAACATTAGAGGTCCAAAATGCCATAGGGCTGAGGACTACTGAGGGCGCGATGGCATAGTAACCCAAGATCGGTCTGACATAGCAAGTGTGCTGAGATGGTGCATTGTCAGAAGGCGAATAGGAGATTAAGTTGTCATCTGTTTGGAGCTACCGCACGCGCTAAACCTTCAGCTACCCTGCAGGGTATCCACGTCTTCTTCCGCCGACGAATCCGGAGCCAACTCCTTACTCTTCCTCACCGCATTTACTGAAATGGACTGCATCAATCAGCTAGCCATCATCGACACCATTGCGCAACTAACGGCTACTTTGTAACGTGCATTCAGCGCCACGATCTTCCTGGTGGCTGTGAAACATCCGCGCCCTACAATGGTGGTATGGAATGCGACTATATGGACTAGACTTATTAGCATCAAACCAACCTGCATCTAGTCTTTGACATCTTCTAGGCTTGTTCCGATGTTGTCTTACTATTTTCAAGGAAAGTCTATCGAAACGAGGACGTCTTATGCCCCATAACTGATGCGGTCTTCAGAAATCTCTACCTGGTGCCACGACATTCACGTCACGTGTGCAGAGGTTTGCTCGCATGTGCATCCATGGATGAAGGCCACGGTTGAAACACATCACATCTACTGCAATTCCTTATAGCAAGCGAGCGTGAGTACGTCAAGACTATTCATAGCTTATGAAAACCGTCTATCACAACACCCATGCCCAGTAACAATGCTCAGATACATCTACCACCCAGCAGACCCCAACCGCTCAAATGTACATATGGCGAGGGAAAGATGGCGAACATGCAAAGGACAATAAACATTCTAATCGTATTGATGAAAACTGTGGTATCTCGCAAGCAAAATGCAGCTAAGAAAGAAGGAGCGGTTGGTACCTTTTTGATGTAACCCGTACATGCGCATGCGATAACCCGATCCTTTCCTCATGTTGAAAAACACCATCCGAATGTTGCGCCGTGGTATCTTGTGGTCGTTTCGCTGATTCTTTCTATACATACCCATACATTATCCCATATATATCAGACGCCCACTCCAATGAGCGCCATACTTCATTTACCATCAAACGCATGCTGTCAGTTCATTTATGATAACCCTCCTACAGATCTGCGCTTTTAGGGTTCACCAGATAGATGTCGGGCACTTTTGGTACTTGCGGACTCTTCTGCAGCGCTAGCTTGATTGCATCCCGCGTTTTTGCACCTTCCTTCTCTCCGCCACCCCCCGTCAGCCGTCTCATACCACTCCTAAAGCGACTCCTTGTGTCATGAGCAACAGGCTTGATAATGTTCTCTAGACTGAAGGTGCCGCCTTTGTCTGTGCTGCTCGACCGACCAGCAGAGTACTCGTCATCGGAGAAGGGCTCATTTTGTTCGTCGAGCGTGGTTGATGAGAGGGAAGGAGAAATACGTTGGGGTTGGTTTGGCGCCGAGGGTGACGTTACGGAGCGGGAATGGAGACCCGGGCGGGGATGACTTGTTGGAGGCAAGGCGCCAGTAGAGGAGTTGGCGAAAGAGCTGAAAGCGCCTGGTGTCATGACACCTGGATCCCTAGCGGGGGAGAGTTTGACATCCGAGATGAACCCCGATTGAAAAGAAGTCACAGATGCGTTCCTTGTGAGTGATTTGTGCAAGATTGGCGCCGTCTGCTGATCGTAAAGGTTCTCGCGCATGTCGTGAGCATATGGTCCGTTACCGTACCGTCCCGAGGACGAAAAGTTTGGTAGATCCGTCAAGGTTTCCGCATCATCATCGTCCTCGAAGAAGTCATCCAAGCTGTCTAGTTTCATGACTAGTTCGCCAATGTGACTGTCGCCACGGGTATCCTCGGAAGTCATGGTCGCAGTTCGGTGGTAGTCGGATAGTGGGCTGAACGGGAACTCCTCTTGACGGAATTCTACCTTGGGTGTCTCAGTGTCCGGTACGTTCATGTCGTCAAAGTTTCCGCACGTGTAGAAAACAGCGTGAACGTTCGCTCTTGTCAACTGCGAATGTAAAGCAGGCATTGGAATAGACCAGCCACTTTCTTCAGGGATACCGTACAATGATTGCGTCTTCTCGAACTGCTTCTTGTATCCTCTGGTAGAGTGGGAGCCTGCCATGCTCATGCGAATGTGCTGTTTGTCGAACGGTGTGAGGGTACTAGTCATGTTGAGATTGATGACGAAGTCAAGAACCCTTAAAGCTTGTGGGCAATATGCGCTTTGTAGTAGTCGAAGGAGAGGCGAGAAAAGATCAGATCCTTTGGATGCCATTTCCGGCTTGCGCATGTCGATTTCAGGTAGCAGGATGCAGAGTACTTCCATCGTGTTGATCTTCATCCAATCGATCTTGTTCATGAGTAGACCGAGAAGGAATACCAGGCTACCGAACTCATGTTCCGAATTGAACGTAGAACGTATAGCAGACATTGTCTGCGCAAGGAAGTCTTTTTCATGGCGGTATCTCTTCATTGCAAAGGCAGTCAATGCCTCGGAAAGCGATGTGCACTGGTAGTGCTGGTCTGCGACTTGTGCAAGCACTTCTGCAGTGGCGCGGATACTTGAATCTTGTGCTGTAGAGTCAAATGAACGCAGAAATCTTGGCAGATTCGCAAGAACGGTAAACATCAGTCGGCTATCGTCACCCACGATACGGCTAGAAGGTAGTACCACCAGTCTTTCCAGAATTCGTAAAGACCGGTCCAGGCATGTACTTGATCGGATGCCCTTGTACGTCAGTTGGGCAAGGCCTTCGAACTTGCCTTCCCACTTCTCCGGGCAACTTTCTTCTAGGATGCTCAACACCTCCTCGTCACCTAGATCAAGCTTGTCGAGAAACTTGTCTAGCATTAAGAGGCTCTCCATAAATTCGCCTTCGTGTATAGTATCCAAACACGCGCAAGTCGTCCAGAACAGCTGAGGGTACTGTATGAGATCTTTAGGCGCTAATGCCTCAATGATGGTCCGTAGCGTTGTCAATATCTCCATAGAGAAGGTCTGTATGTCACTCTCCTCATCCGAGATGGTGTTGGAGAGTCTGGCGAGCATGTCGGAAAGCATTTGCTGATCGAGCGAACTGAGAATGCAGCGGAACAATTGGAATGACCGACAAGCGATATGTCTGACTGGGCAAGATGTGGCCCAGTTCAGTGCTACTCGACCCCAGGCTTCTCTCAGTCCAGGGTATGCAAATGAGAAGAACTTCATCACTTCGCCAGAAACGTAGCCCATTGGCTCAGGAACCTTGAAGGTTGAGTCTGCCACGTCCTTGCCGTTCTTGTCATCATAGCTCCATACCACTTTGGTGTCATGTTGTCGAATGCTCTCCACGAAATCTTCGATAGACCTTTTGTCGATGTCTGGTGTGTCGTCTTCGATCTTGGAGATGACTAGCTCGTGAATCAAATGCACAAGCATCTCACGAGACTGGTCCTGCACCACAGAGGTGTAATGATCCCAGAGCACCAGGACCACTTGCAGAAGCAATGGAATGTGCTCTTTGGCTACCTCTACTGGGGATACCATAAGGTCAACCAGCAAAATGAGGCAAACCTGTCCCAAGGCAAAGCCAGACTATGCAAGTCAGCGTAAGTCAGTATGAATTCCATATTATGCTTACCTGTTTATTGCTACTTGGCAGAACCTGGGTGAGATCGGCCAAGTATGGAAGATTGACAGCGTCTGGTGGCGGTGGCATAGGCTCGCGCTTCTCGCTTACCATAGACCGTGGGTTGATCTGTAATAGCAGGAACTCAACGACCTTTAGTCCCGCAGGAGTGCTGGAAAGATGGACTACGATCTGTTTGGAGTAGTCGACGTAGTTCTGTTCTCGCTTGTCTAGACAAAGATTGATGATGAAGTTCAAGATAAGTTGAACATTGCCACCGTATGGTCCAGTTGCTAGTGCTTGCCAGAGTGCTTGAATCTCATTATGTAGTACGTTGCCTGATCTGTAGGTGATCTCGAACAAGTTGACAAGTAACATGTAAGAGTTAGCAGTCGGTCCTCCGTCTGGGTTGACTTGCAGTTCGACAGACTGCACCCAAGGAAGCATAGCGGCAACCATATTGCGCTTATGGTCAGGCTTGAGGTCTTTGAAGTAATACGAAAATTGCGAGAAGACCAAGAAAGCAAGCTCGGCATGCTGCTTGGCAAGCCTTCGTGATGTTTCAAACTGTGCGAGCTTGTATACCGCGACCGTCTTGTCAGAGATGCTGATGTCCAGGTCCTGTAGTTTCGAATTCTTTCCTTCACGAGCTTCAAGCGTTCGGAGTAATCGCGCGGACTTTGTGCGTATCTCGCTGTTCTCATGTCCGAGTGTGTAGAGACCGGCGCTCAGTACTTTCCAGAATGGCAAAGTGTAGTCCTCGTGTTGGGTGAGGACCTGAGTAACAACTTCGAAATAGCTCTCGAGAGCTTTACCAGAGACCGCAAGATAGCACATTTCAATTGCCTTGTCTAGCAGATATGGATGCTCGCGATTGTGCAATATGAGATTCGTAAGTGCTCGGCGGCCAATGGCGTGTGTTCGATCGCTCGGAGTTTCGAAGATGCTCTGTATCCATGAGAGCATACGAATCACATCGAACTGAAGCAAGACTTTGCTATCAGTTGTGATACTAACAGGCCCGCCACAGAGTGCAGCCATAGCGCTCAAAGCCGCGGTTCGAAGATCGCGTTTTTCAATTTCAAGGG